TAGCTTAAAAATATAGAAATACTTATTTTTTTACCGTAATTAATATATCTTAAAGTTTTTACGCATTTTTCTTATAAGTTGCGGATTATTTTAATATAGCCATTTTRATCCCCCTATCCGGATATATAGGTCGAGAGTTTGTATAGGAAAAAAACCATTTTAATATTAAAATGCGCGGATCTAGGATGTTAGAGTTTATATAGGAAAAAAACCATTTTGATATCAAAATGCGCGGATCTAGGATGTTAGAGTCGTACCAACCGTCACAATAGTTAACCTCATTTCTATAGCCTAGTCACTCTTTACCTAGCTATTAATACAATAGTTAACGCTTCTTTTAGAACCCTAGTTCCTTCTACAATTAGCACCTACGACTATAACTACCTTATTGCTTAGTTAGACGCCCTAACGGCCTCGCCAATATAAAACCGACACTTCTCTAACTACCCTGTAGCATAGAGTCGTACCAACCGTCACATCCACGTGAGGGTCGCATAACGGGTCGTAACACTTATTATATGTTAGATATATCGGAGTGGAGCGATGGTTTTCGTAACTTTAGCTTTTTTTAGTTGATTCTCTCTTTATTCTTTTGGTAGTCTTTTTATTTTCGGTCTTATAGCCTTACATAAGGAACAATAGAGTACCTTATTGGAATTCCAACCGTGATCAAACAATCATCGTGCTTTAAACCGAGTTACTCGGATGCCAAAGCACTATACATATTTCCATGACCAGACAAATAATCCCCCATTCCATTCTCCTTATTGATATCTTCCCACTCATCTGCACCAGTCGGCTTGATCAAGTCTTCGACTGCCCATGCAATACGCTCAGCACCAACCTTGGCACCTCCAATGTTCGGCGCAGCAGGGCCCAGTTGGAGACATGCCAATCGTCCCGCCATGAAAAGTGGTACGTCCTCCCGCCATGACAGGTCTTCGGTAAGGCAAGGGAATCCTCCGTGAGCCTTGATGGGGTATTTTTCAATCATCTTCTGGAGGTATGGAAGTGTAGAAAAATCGGTCTGGATCCCCGTCGCGAAATAGATGAAGTCCATCTTCGGAAGGGAATTCGCTGCTGGTTGAAGTTCGACTGACCACTTTCTTTCGGCGCCTTCGCCGTCCAGTTTCGCATCCTTGATTGTCGTGTGAGTCATGAGCTCAAGTTTCCCAGAGGCCATGTGCTTCTTCACTCTCTTATTGAACAGAGGGGTGACGCTCCCACCACCGCGGGCCTCTTTGATGATCTCTAGTCTCTCTTCATCCGTGTCGGCGGTCCAGAAGCGTGACTGCTCCGCGTTCTTGTACTTCCCCATCCAATTCAAATCAACGTCGAAGTGCTTGAGCTTCAGAGGACCACGCATGAGCAGCCAAACCTTGGTAACACCCTTACGAATTGCCAGATCTGCCAACTGTGCCGAGGTGAGTCCGCCTCCAACTATGAGGATGTTTGTGGGGTAATTGGAGTTCATCCTGCTCATCACAATCGGGTCCGGAAATGACTTGATCTGCATGCTATGACAGGCCTGTTCGATGGGACCTTCCCTAGCCATCGATGGAGTTCGGGGGATATAGGGTACATTGGCCGGGCCGACTGCCAGGATAACCACTTTGGCAAACCGTCGCATAGTATTTGTCGTCACCGTAAAAAGCTTTTCTCCGTCGATGGAAATACCACGGACCACACCATGGTCAATATCCTCCACGGACTCCTTGTGTATAATATCATCTCCCAGATTGTACCGAGTTGCCACATCTTGGCAATGGTCGCAGAAAAGAGCCTGTGAAGGCGTGTAGTAGTCGTTCCGATCGCGTAGGTTGATTGCCACACGGCCAGCTTGTCTAGAGACTGTCAGACTTCTGTTCATTAAATTCAGAAGCTAATAATCAAGTAGACTATTTTGTTTCCAGACTTACTTTCCTCCGTATGCCCGAGGGCCAGCAGCCTGTTTCTTCTTGGCGTGCTTGCTAATCTCCTTGCCGACGCAGTGCCGAATCTCAACGAGCTCGTCTTGGCGCTCAGTCCTGTAGGCGTGGGCAAGGAGGGCATCGCGGTCCAAGGGATCGACATGCCACAGCATAGGGCTGCGGAGATGCTGTATGTCGAAAGTCTTAAAGAGAGACTTCCATCGGCCTAGCCAAGCGTCTGACGATGAATCCAGTACGGCCATTTTGTATTCAGGACGACGAGTGGCCTTTGCCGAGGTCTTCTTGCCACTACGAACATTCTTCAATGACACCTTGTTTCCGTATTTGCCAATCCAATGATAGCGGCGGTGTTCCTCGTCGGTAAAGAGTGCATCAGGCGCATGTTCTCGAAGGCGAGCAGCGGTAGCAAGCCCACAGGGACCCGCGCCGACGATGAGAACATCATAGACGTCTTCTTCTTGCAGCATAGGGCTCATCTTGTATGATTTTATATCTTCCCGTGATGGATCTTTGACTGCAGGAACGTGCTGGTTTTCAATGAAGAGAAGCAGGGAGTGCAGGTCTTTCTTACACGAGGAGAGAATTTCCAGTACGAATATAATGGCCTCAGCTCGGGATACCATGGTCTTCCATGTCCGACAAGGTAACACTCGCTCCAATATCATGTAACCTTGATGGCTTCCATAGTAGGTGATGTTGCGGACACAGCTAAAGCAGGTCCATCAAGGTGCTTGCTGGTTTGTTGATCGGCCTATGGCATTCTGGGGCCAGCTCCCTCAATTGGTGAATCCGTCGGCTTTTCTTGGATTCGCCTGTTAGTACTGGCATCTTTATTCGTACGAGGACCAGGGAGGTCCTCGTTTTTCCATGTGGAGCATGAATGCACATGTCGGGGCGTAGGACCGGGCTACGAGTACGCCTCTCTGGGACCATGCGAGCCCCATTGAACCAGGTCAAGGCATCCATCGCATTTCTCATATAGTAGTCCTTGCTTCAATGAATCTTTTTTGCTCCGAGTTGATCATCAAAGTGCTGGGTATAATATTAAGATCAGATGAAATAAAGGGAGAGGGCGATTTAGAGCAAAACCCCCTGCAATCGGTCAGTGCAATGTTGTCTGGTGGCAAACAGAATGCTGCGTCAGGCAAAGCGGGAGCAGGCATTACAGAAAGGAGAAATGATGCATCAAACAATCTAAGTCACAGGCACATATTTCCTTAAGATATTAGGGCTGGTATAATGTAGCGAAAAGAGCAGTTATATGGTGCTAGTGATACTAGTTGAGAGACGCGCTACCTTTGACCGGCAGTACCAAGTCGTGATGTCATGGAATCCTAAGTCACGGCTTGACGTCACTCTTAACTCCAGATACCACATTATGAGAAATTCAGATGACTAGCATAAAAAGGTATCGTTCTTTGCTTTCTACATTTCCATTATCCAACCCTTTGCTGCTGATATCAAACACAAATTGTCCCTATCACCAACTCCAATCACAACCGGTATTATCATCGCACCAAGTTCCCAAATATAAAATAATGCCACTTTTACGCCCACACACCATTGCGCTCTTGGGCTGCGCATCAGCTGCCCGAACGGCAATGCGCCGTCCTATACACACGACGGCCCTTTACCGCAATGGCCAGAATGAGACCATAATTCCAAAAAAACGCAAACAAGAGGGAGCTCATGGCCGCACTGGCGGGGGAGAGCCTCTGGACTCGAGCTCGTCCAACGCGCCACCCCAGCCCAAGATCTCCAATCTCAGTGTTACAGGGTCCAAACCGGAGCAGGATATGACGGATGAGCAGCGCAAGGAGGTTGATGAACACAACGAGGAGTTCTCTCGAAAACATGATCGCTCACAGCCTGCTCCCCATGACAAGGTTGACAGAAAGTACTGGAGTGGTGAGAGCCAAGGGAAGCCGTAATCGGGAATCAAGGAACCAATAGTTACCAGATAAGTGTAATTCTGTTCTCTCAAGAACTGTATTATAAAATTACAACCAAGAATGAATGAAACCAAGCCTATTATTCATTTTGAGCCCCATGCGCAAGCAAATGGTGATGAAGATGACCAACATGCTGTAACCCACGTAATCTAGTGACGTCGCCACCTAGGCGCGGAGGTTTCTGATTTCAGTAGCCATACAACATAATTCTATGGCAGGCCATCCCTCGTAGCCCTAGTTGTGTGATCGAAAACAAGTGGCAGCCTATCCTACTCGGTGACACATCAAGGAGAATGGCGATTTCCTAGTGAGGTGATCATGCGGGGGTTTCGGGCTTGATCGCTTCTGATCGGCTCGACCTGTGAATGGCCTCGCATCATGATGATATTTGGGTGTAGTACTATGGTGCAACGCAAGAAGTGCACCTGCGAGGCAGATGGCTGCGAGATGGCTGCGAGATACAATGTGAGCCCCCAGGTAGCACGGAGGGCTATTACAAGCCCGGCGCTTGTGACGGCGTTCAAAAGGACGGGGCGGCAGAGCTAAAACTGCATGTCTTCCCTTCATTGTTAGCGACTGAGCAAGTAATGTGCTTTCTCGGTGACAAGTGTTAAAGGACGGTGAGGAATCAGAATCAAAACCTGAAATTAAAATCATGCAAGATGAAACTTGTCAGATACAATCTAGCGTAGGTATATTCATCATGCTGTAGTGCGGAGAGAAGAGCTGGTGATATGGTGTATGCGTAAGTGGGAGGGAGTTGGGTTCGTACAAAACCTTTTATTGTATCCTGGCTTTCGGCTTTCGAAAAGCTGTCGTCACCGTACTTTTATAATGAAGTCGTTGTGCGATATCCGCAAAAAGGGATCGGAACGAGAATGGAATGTTCGCTTCAAGGCCTCTCCATGCCTGAGAGGCTTTCGCCAATCATACCACGTGCTGAATCAACAATGGCCTTGAACATTCCCTGGTGCTTCGCCTTCCCGTCGGAGTCTTGAATGGGTTCGGTACCAATAGTGGGGAGAACATTGTCGCCAGCTGAGAGACTAACAAACAAGGAAAACGGGACGAGCCATACGCACAGGCCAAAGTATGAAGCAATTTGTGTGAAAGTCGGCACGTCGACATCGTCGTAGTATGAGGACCTCTGGAAGGCACGTGTCTGGTAGCTCGAAAAATGTTTGAACCAGACGTAGTGATCGGCAAGAACGAGAACTGCAATGACAGAGAAGTGGTTAGTTAGGGTCATTGGTCAGAAGTGACAAATGGGGACAGGCGTCCTTGTGCTCTTGACATACTACACGACATGATAAAGAGAGGGTCTGATAGCTTGACAAAGGGGAATTTGCGCATGTTGCCCAGGTAGACAAGATGGCAAGTTATACCAAGCATGGTTGCCCAGAAAGATAGTCCATCCACGACCCATAATAGCAGATGAATGCCCATGATGACATAGACCAGCCTTGTGAGGAGGCGTTTGGCGATGACTGTGTTCTCTTCAACCAGCTCTGACAGGTAATACAGGCCTGACGCGATGGCCATAGTCAGGAAGCAGAAGCCGAAGATGGAACCGGCATAGCCGACGAGCGGAAGAATCCACATGACTTCAACGTATCTGAGGCGGGAAGTCGATCATACTCTATACACACAGTGCACGGGGTTTGCAACGAAGAGGTAAGGGAGAAGTAGTTTCCGGTCTGGGTGTCGCCTGCACACGCAAGGACACGTTCGTCACGCTAAAGGCACCAACGGCTCCCAGGGGAATACTATAAGAGGTATTATTAATTAGATGAGCCGGACCACTATTTCTTCCGATCCGTTTCGGCACCTGCCCCACACAGCCATGCTGCGTAGCTTGTAGATTGAAGTGGTTAAAACTGTTATCGATAAGGTAAACACCGCGAATGGCGAAAAAAAAAGTTCGAGATACTGCACGATATTATCAACATTAATATATTATTTGACCGCTAAACAACCACAGGAAACCAGGTAAAACAGTGCGCCAGTTTGTTTTGCTAAGACGATCCTCTCACTTGCAAGCTTCCAAATAGAAATAGCGGACTTGGATATTACCTCTGCCCACCATGTCTCGCCCTGAGGATACGCTGTATGAACCCCTCCCCCTCCCCCGCCTACATTGCGCGTGCCCTATTTCTGACCAAGTTGCCAGGGCCGCTGATGTCTACTATGACGACTCTGAAGCACGCAAATACACAACGAACTCCCGAATCCAAAACATCCAGGCGTCCATGACCCATCGCGCTCTCGAACTTCTCGATCTTCCAGGCCCTTCATTCATCCTCGACGTTGGCTGCGGCAGCGGCCTGTCGGGGGAGATTCTGTCATCTTTAGATCCGGACGAGGGTGGCCCTCACGTGTGGGTTGGAATGGATGTCTCACCATCTATGTTGGACATCGCCCTACAACGCGATACTGAGGGAGACCTCATGCTAGCAGATATTGGGCAGGGAGTCCCGTTCAGGGCGGGCTCCTTTGACGCCGCTATCAGCATCTCGGCTATTCAGTGGCTGTGCAGTGCGGAGACCAGCGAGACCAGTCCGGCTGGTCGCCTCTCACGCTTTTTCAACGGCCTATACGCCTCTTTGAAGCGTGGTGGCCGTGCTGTCTGTCAGTTTTACCCCAAGAATGACCAGCAGAAGAAGATGATTACCGAGGCCGCCGTCAGGGCTGGCTTTGGCGCAGGCCTGCTCGAGGATGACCCGGGCACTAAAAATGTCAAACTTTACCTTGTTCTCACTGTCGGAAATGGAGGCCAATCGTCCGACATCACTGGTGTTGTCGATGGTATGGATGGTGTCGATATCATGGACTCTCGCTACAAGGTAAATAAAACCGCCACTTCTGTTGTCAAAAAGGGTAGTAAGGCTTGGATTGTCAAGAAGAAGGAACAGCAGGAGCGCAAGGGAAGGGTCGTTAAATCTACGTCCAAGTACACAGGACGCAAAAGGCGTGTGGCCTTTTAAGGGATGGAAAACGAACAAGTTTGGGCATGGCATGGCGTTTTTTTTTGTACGAATATTACGACATATCTTATAGATTCTTTTCCTTTCTCTTCTAAATCTATTGGTCGAATTCGATACCCTTTTTACGATACCGGTTAGTTCCTCCATGTGTCAACGTGTCGCATGCAGCGGCGAAAGACATGTGTAATCATCTTTTTTTACTGAGCTGGATTCCTCTTGATTTCCTGTTTCTAGCTTATGCCTATTTAAATCTACTCGTTCTGCTCGGGCTTCATAGTCGGGAATGCCAGGACCTCACGGATACTCCAGTTATCGGTAAGAAACATGGCCATTCGGTCGATGCCCATACCGAAACCTCCAGTAGGCGGCAGACCGTGCTCCAAAGCACGACAGAAGGTCTCATCGATACCCTGGGCCTCATCATCACCCTGGGCCTTCTGGCGGGATTGCTCCTCAAAGCGCAGGCGCTGCTCAGCAGCCACGTTCAGCTCGGTGTATCTACACAGTCGTGAGTCGTTAGCCATGAGATGTGTGCAAAAATAAGACATGTGTAAGTCGGTACTTACGCGTTGATAATCTCCTTCGTGCACACAAAGACCTCGAAACGCTCACAAAGACCGGGGTTGTGACGGTCCTGCTTGGCAAGCGGGGACATCAGCTGGGGGTGGCCAGAGATGAAAGTTGGGTTTGTCTGAAAGTCTCCGTGTTAGTCAAATTTATCAGAAATTGTGATCCGCCTCGCCTCTGTCACAGCAAACCACTTACGCATTGCTCCTCGAGGAAGTGGCCGGTGAGAGCATCCAGCATGCGGGCGTTGGTCAGGGGTGGGTTGCATTCAACCCCGGTCTTTTTGAGCACCTTCTTGAGAAACTCGCCAGACTCTTCTGTGTGGAGGTCGCTCGAAACAGGGAATTTCTCTCCGGTGCACTCTTCTAGAGCGGGGATCATGTCGATACGCCTCCACGGGGCTTCCCAGTTGATGGAGATCTCCTCTCCCTTGGCAGTGTGGTAGGTGGTGACGTAGCTACCGTGGACATGCTTGACGAGCCCAGAGACGAGCTCCTCTGCCATCTTCATAAGGTCGTACATATCGGCGTACGCCATATAGAACTCGAGAGTGGTGAATTCTTCCATTTGTCAGTCATTGGCTCTCAACATGCAGACAAATTATGTTCGTTAGTCAAACGCTATTCAACCTACCAGGGTTGTGGGTAAGATCCATGCTCTCATTCCTGAACTGACGGCCAATCTCGTAGACACGGTTCAAACCACCGACAACCAGTTCCTTCAGATATAGCTCAGGGGCAATACGAAGGAACATATCCATGTTCAGGTCATTGTGGTGAGTAATGAAAGGCTTTGCGGTGGCACCACCAGCAATGGTGTTGAGCATGGGAGTCTGGACAGCAATAAAGTCGCGGTCATCAAACCAACGGCGAATGTAAGTATCGATCTTAGCCCTAGAGATGAGAACGTTGCGGGCCCTATCATTCATCATCAGATCTAGGTATCGGTGGCGGAATCGCTGCTCGGGGTTCTTGAAGCCATAGTGGTCATCGGGGATCTGGCGGCGAGAATTAGAAAAGGCACAAGATACTTTTTGACAAGTATACTAAAACGCATACCTGGTGAAGGCAAGGAGACAGTAGGATGACTTCGGCGGCGGCAATCGACAGCTCGCCAGACTGGTCGCCTTCTCCCTGCTTCTTCTGAGGGTTGGTACGTGTAGGCCAGCCACGAACGCCTATATCAGGAGGGTCAGCACTAGATGCTTTACTGGATAGTGCAACATACCAATCACATCGCCACGACGGAGGTTCACGTGCTGCTCGTCAAAGCTGGGGGACTCGGGGTCGACGTTATCAGCCTGGGCAAGGACTTGCAGGCGGGCACCCTTCAAAACTGTTAGCTGCTATTCATTATCCTCGAGCGACCAAGTATTATTTAAAGCGAACCTCTGATCGGATGTCGTAGAAGAAAAGCTTGCTACCAGCAGAGCGACGAACGTAGATTCGGCCGGCAAGCTGGATGGGCTTGGACTTGTCCAAGTCACCATTCTTAAGGTGAGCAAAATCGGTGGCGAAGTTTCGGATGTCGTAGTTGATGTTGAACTAGTCCCCGTGGTATCAGCGATGGCCACCATCAATGCTCCCATGCCAATGTTTGTATGCATCGTCATGGTTTGGGGGGAGCGGAGCCCGACAAACCTTGTGGGGGTACGCCTTTCCCTTGGCATGAAGTTCGTTGACAGTGCGGGAACGGATCTCAAAGTACTAATCGTTGCACATCAGTCAGTATGTTCCATAGACATCGGGGGAAGGCAGGCGCTCGCAAACCTGGTTGGGAGTGAGTTCCTTCTCCTGAGCCTCGGCACTCTTCTTGCTAGTCTGGGCAGGGCCCTTGGCGGCCTGCTTCTCCTTTTTGGCTGCCTCCTTCTCGCGAGTCTTCTGGCGCTTCTTGAGCTCGGTCTTAGATATCATCTCTCCAGTGACCTCGTCTAGGTGCAGCTTGCCGACAGCCTCTGCGGCCTGGTCGCCGGCGCTGGGTTGCTGGTTGTCGGCCATGGTTCTAGTACGTCGATTGTGTAGGTGGAGAGGTTGGCTCAAAGCTGCGGATTGGATCACCTTAGTCCAGGTGGAAGATCAGGCTTCGAAAGGAGCACTTTCACCGAGAGATGGGCAGAGGAGAAGATGCCGTGATTGTTGAGTCACACTATCATTCAATCTGCATCGCGGGGCAAAATCAAACGGCAAGTTCATGAACCCCCACCATCCAGCAAAAAAAAAAGCCAAGGGTACGTACCGCGGGGTAAACTGCCCTGCCCTTGGACGATTAGAACATGAGTCAGCTATCTTGTTTCTTTGAATATTTACCTACGCCTGTAATATTATGAAGTTCGGTTTCTAATTCTGTATGCGCATACATTTGTTATATATTTTGGAGTTCTGTGTATTTTTCTTCATAATGTTTACTTAGAAAACTTCACAAGCGCCTAGAAAGTGTTTATTGTTTTAGACACAATCGAATAACCATGAATGTGCATCAGATATTGGCGACGCGATTGAGTATGTTCCGATTTTCTCAAGTAGATAAGGTAGTAATTCCTCAACGGCCACTACATACAAAAGCACATTGATGCAAAGTCAAACATTCAATGAAAGGGCATCATAAGACAATCAAGTTGTTTCTCCCTTTGTAATTTCACGATGTACAAATGTTACAAACAAAGCGCATCCCAGGTCAAGTTGAACAAACAGGAGAAAATAAACGATGTTCCCCAAAAAGTAAGACATTTTTTCTGCAATGCAATGCTACACGTACACGAGTCACCTCGATTCCTCCTCACTCCACTTTGCGCCATCAACTTGCGTTTTCAAAGTGCCTGGCCGTCATCAATGGCATGAACGTCCTTCAACGGCACCGCACACAGGGAATCTCCAATGCAGGGGGTGAGAGGCGGGAAAGAATAAGACAAAAGAAAAGGCGCGCTTTGCGCGGCATGTCAGGTGATATTATTTAGTGTGGTCGGTCGAAAGAATGTCGATGTTTAGACGGTCTCCATCTTGTCAAGGATGGCACGGGTGAACTCGTGGGTCGTCGAGTTGCCGCCCATGTCGCGAGTGCGGTGGGTGCTGAAAAGAGAAAATTATTAGAGAAATGGATTATACGACGGAGCACTGAAATAATTGACGCAATACATACCCATCGGCGATGACGCCGTAGACAGCCTTGGAGATGCGGTTGGCGTGCTCATCGAGGCCGAGGTGGCGGAGGAGCATGGTACCACTGAGAAGCATAGCGGTAGGGTTGGCTTGGTCCTTGCCTTTGATGTCAAGACCGACGTGGCGGCAGCCGGGTTCGAAGACGGCAACATCACGGCCCATGTTGCAGCCGGGAACGATTCCGGGGCCACCGACGAGGGCAGCACCAATGTTTGAGAGGATGCCGCCGTATAGGTTAGGCATGACCATAACATCAAACTGCTGGGGCTTAGAGACGGCCTGCATACTGGCATTGTCGACAATCATGTCGTTGACCTCGAGGGTAGGGTAGTCCTTGGCAATCTCGTGAAAGGTGCTGCGGAAAAGACCGTCGGCCAGCTTCATGATGTTGGCCTTGTGGATGCAGGTAACCTTGGAGCGGCCGTTAGCGAGGGCAAAGGCAAAGGCGAACTTGGCAATGCGCTCCGACTTGGCGCGGGTGATGATCTTGAGCGACTCAACGACGCCGTCGACGCTCTGGTGCTCGAGGCCAGAGTACTCGCCCTCGGTGTTCTCACGAATGATGCACAGGTCAACATCGCGGTGGCGGGTGGCGTAGCCGGGTATGTTCTTGATCAAGCTGATGCTGGCATAGATGTCAAGCTCCTGGCGCATGGCCACGTTGAAGCTCTGGTGGCCGGAGCGGCTGATGGGAGTGTGGAGGATACCCTTGAGGCCGAGCTTGTTGCGCTTAAGAGACGCAACACTCTCGTTGAAGGCAGCTTCTGTGCGGCCAGCATCCTCGATACCGGAAACAGCGACCTGCTCCCACTCGATGGGGACGTTGTCGGCCTTGAAGATGGTCTTGACGGACTCGGTGACCTCACCACCAATACCATCACCGGGGATCAGCGTAACCGTGTACTTGCCGCCAAACTTGGAGGGCTTGAAGATGTCGGACTCGACAGTGGCGAAGCCGCGAGCGGCCGAGAAAGCAGCCTGCCTGCTGGGGGCAGCAGCGCAGCGCAGGGCCTGCGAGAATAGATGTCAGTGTGTGTTAGTTAGCCGAGGATGGACGGCGGTGCCCCGGAAAACCAAAGGAAAGAGGAACATTCAAAATGAACAGTGAAAGGACGTACCTGGGCCGTCCTAAGTGATCCGCGCGACAGCATCTTGGCCAATTGAGTCGGTATTGGAGTTTCTGAGAGTAGTGGTAATCGGCCAACACGCTCGTCTTCTAATAGATGGGTAGGAGTCGATTGGGAGACGGTGGTATAACAAGAACAAAACAGCAATTAGTCCCAAGATTTTTATTGGAGAAGTTAGAGGTTTGGAGCAAATCCCGCAGCAGCCATTGAATTGCCCCGGCACACGGCGAGTAAGCATTCTCTCATACGCCGGATCCCCCGACGCGGTTATTTTGCCGGCTACCTAAGGGCCCACTTCTCGGAGTAAGCGACGGAAAGCGAGCCCCTCGGCCGAGCAGTGAGCGAGACGCTAAGTTGTACCTTTTTGGTTTAGCGCACCCAAACCAAACCTTTAAATTACATGGACAAGTCCCTTCTAAAATATTACTCCATAGTATTGCCATCATATTTCCTGACTGGAGTTGAGTTCAGTCTGCTTAAATAGTGAACCCCTTATAGGTCGAAATGCTTTGTTACTGGAGCACTGATAATCATCCACAATCAATAAACTTCAAAGCTATTAATATTCTCGTACTGCCACAACATCTATCATGCTGCCACAAAACAATCATGATTGTCGCGCAAAACCTACATCTACCTCAAACCCTGAACGAGAGACTACTTCCGCTGCCCTCACGGGAACCTGTGAATTGACGCCATTATCTTAGTACTAGAGGACTCGAGAAAAATCGTTGCCACGTTGTTGTTCTTAATATCGTGCTTATGTCAGGAGCCGTTTGGCAGAAGCGAGGCGAAAGGGGCCTGAAAGGGGTTATACATAATTAGTCATTGATCCTAATTCCATCGAGGAAGAGGGCAACGATCAATACACATTAGTATCTTCATTACTATAACGCTTTTACCACGCCTCTATACGCAGACCTGGTCACTTGTCTCACTGTCCCCTGCCCCAGGGAGATTCGTTGTCCGACAGCTTGGGCCTGTACCGCGCCTTCTGGCTCTCGAATTTGTACTCAGATGGATATTCCAAGCCCCCGAGAGAGAGATTCGAAAATTTCTAGACTTCAATCTCCCTTGGTATTTCAATTGAGGCCGTCGACAATGTTCGGTTCAGAGAGCCTGTTTAACGGAAGCTTAGAACTTTTCATGTACGGGCCTCCGCCATATTCCTCGTACCTGTATATCTTGTAATTCAGCATTCAATTAGGCTTATAGATATATACCGTAATCGACTGCATAATGTAAACATTCGAATGTAGCACTCCCACACGATAGCAAAATGTCTATATAATAATAAAACTCTTCAAAGTAAGCTTCGCTACATGCACTTTTATACAAGCTATAATAAAGTTTGACTATACTTAGAAAAATACCCGACGTTCCATCCGGAAAGGGTGCGATGGTGTCAGACATCGAGTCTACTTGGGGTAATGAAATAAGTGACGAGGTCTACTAAATAACAATAGTGGGAAGTTAAACGCTAATATATTATAGTAGTAGAGGAATTAATGACGAGAACATGTGTATTATTCGTTATTCCTTCCGTTCGATAGAATTTAGGAAGATGACTTTATTTGACCTTTCAGACCCTTTCGTTCCATTTCCATGTAATCCCCCCCTATAGGTCCTGACATACGGAAGCATGTCGATGATGTCTCTTCATACTTCTTATTGCTGTAAGAAAGACAGGATCAGCATTTGAGGTCTCGTGTGACAAGCGCTTTACTTTATCAGGAGATAACGATAGACGGTGCTTTCCCCTAGAGCGTTCAAGCGTTTTGCGCTTCTACAGCCCGAAACGGGCAAAGTAGGAGAGAGTGAGAGATAGGATTGGCGACATTGACAGTGTGAAGAATTTGGGTGGTCATCAATGGAAGGAATGGGTCTCTGTCACAATGAACTCACGCTGATTGATCAATCTATCATGGCATTTATTGGATACTGTATGTGATCAGTGCTATATAAAACGTCCCGACAAAACAAAGTCCCAGGTCTATACACAATATTATGACGCCTAGTTTCCCATAGTTGTAGTCATTAGATTTACCATATATTATACGGATTGCTGCTGCTGCGCGCCCAACTTCATAGCGTTAGCCAGCCTCTGTCGCGCGCTGTCCTTGTTGCGACCATGAGCCGTCTCGGTCCGGGGCGCATTGTCATAAAAGCGTTCGGCCTCCTCGATGCCCACCTTCTGAGGGCGAGGCGGGGGAGGAGGAGGAGCCTGGGTTGGTGCACCTTGGTGCTGCTCAGGGGCAGCCATATAACTTGCGTGATCCCAATTCTGGGACGAGTTGCTGCGGTGGTCAGTACCATTGGTGGTTGGAGAAGCGGCAGCAAGCGAGTTGTGCGTCACGTTGATGGGGCTGGGGCGGCGATGCACCTGCTTCGGCTGGGACTGCTGGTACTGATAGGACGAAGGCCGTTGCTGCTGCGTGGATAGAGTAGACGGCAATTGCTCGTCATCGGTATCGGGGTATTCTCCATCATCGTCATCGTATACCCTAAGCTCGCTGCGCATGGCCAGACTGGCACAGATGTTGCGGGCTTCGACAATGGCGTCCCTTTGCTCCTTGAGCGCAAGGCGACGGTCGCGCGTGGCCTTGTTCTCAGCGGCAATGGCCTCGATTGTGGAGTCGGGCATGCGTAGAATCTCGATGGGATTGAATAGCCGTAGCATTCCGAGGAGAAGGTGGCGCTCGACGACTTGAGTAACGACGTTGCGTACAAAAAGGCGTGCCGTCAAGTCGTAGTAGATGAGCATCTTCTCCAACACCTCCTCAGCCTCTGTGTAAGTGCCGCCATTCTCGGTTGCTGCTGCGCGCCACTTGCGAAGGCGATCTTCGTACTCGGGGTCAAAGGGCTGCACCTCAAGCTCCATATCGTCAACCAGACGTCCGAGTTCTTGACTTGCGTTCTCCATGCACTCCTTCATCTTGAGCTCCAAGAAGTGCAGGCGGAGGGGATCGCGCATACGCATAGGCCAGACATGGTCGATAACATCGGCCAGGAATTCGTTGCAGATGACGCCTAGGTTGTCCTTGTACTCCTGGCCCAGAACGGACCAGTTTTGCGAGTAATCTTGGAAAAGAATATACGGGGCGCGGGGGTTGGAGTCGAGAGGTAGTTCGTTGCCACGGATCTGGCGCAACAGTGGCTCCACCTCATTCTGGGCAAAGGCCTTCTTGCTCAGATCACCTGATGCGTCATCAAAGCCCTCGGAAAAGTTGACCTTGCGTCCGTATTGGCGGAAGCGGCGTGCGAAGCGGTCGCTCTCTTCGCGCGTGCGGGCACGCAGCTTTTGCGAGGGCGTTCCCTTGGGGTCAGAGTGCCTAGCAAAGAACTTCTCGCCAAATGGGTTCTTATAGTTGCCGTTAACAGCGGGTGTGACGAGGTTGTTGGATGCTGTGAAGAGTTCGCCCATTTCGAACCGCATCTCCTCCACAGTATCCTTGCCGGATCCCATGGCCTTTAGCTGAGCATCGCAGTTCTCGAGAGACTTCTGAACCTGGCGTCGTAGAGACTTGACGTGCTTGCCAATGTGTCTCTGGAGCTGAGAGCTGAGCTTTTGCTTGAGCGCATCAATACCCCACATCTGAGGTGGCAAAGAAGCCCATTTACCGCGGGTGAAGAACTCGGCTTCACGTCGAAGACGGTCCTCTGGCGTATACCAAGGTTCTCCGGGTCCTGGATTGAGAAGGACATACCAGCCCAATTTGAAGTGATTTTCCGGGTCCTTGTTGGTAATGAGCTCGATAAATTTCTCCTCAAGGCCAATACGCTCAGTCATGTCAGGCTTGGTCAACACACCAATCGTTCGCGAACCCGTGGGGTCAAAATGTCGAGCCTTCTTGAGAATAGGGGCTTGGACATAGTCGTTGTTTCCACCGACGACAGCCAAAATGATAGTGCGCGAGCTCTTCATGTAGCGGTCAGAGAGAGCATCAATCGTCTGGATATCGGCGTCGGACTGGTCCCTGTTGGCGACACGTACGAGGCCAGGAAGATCGACGAGAGTGAGGAGTGGCATGTCAGGGCCGGACTTCTCTACCACGAGGATATCACGAGCGGCAAAGCGACCAGGAATCTCCTTGGGCGCAATGAGATCTGTAGCCTGCCTCATCAACGTGTCGAAGGGTACGTCGCCGGTGACGTTTCCGCCATACTGTAGAAGGCGCTGCTGGTCGTTGAAGGCCCGCATCTTGTCGGGAATGATGGAAACCTTGAGGGCCGCCTCCTTGGAACGACGAAGACGGATCTCGGTCGCGAAGCGTGTGCAGGCGCCTGCATCTCTGGGAAATGGCGTGCCACTCAGGGCTTCTAGGACTGAACTCTTGCCAGCAGACTGATCACCGACGACGACGATCTGGGGAAGTTTGACATTGTCGAGCTGCGCGAACTGGAGCTTGTCGATGAGGTCTAGCAGACCGCGCTGCTCATCGGCGAGGCCTTGGCCGGCCAGCGAAGAATCGATTGTCTGCTTCATATCGATGGCGTTTTGCTCGAGGTACAATAGTAAAGCCTATATAGTACCGTTGGAGCAAAAATGCAGATGAATAAAAAAAACAAAATCGCTCCCCGACATTGGGGGCGATATCCTTTTATACAATGAGTCTTACCAAAGGCTCAGTCCCGACCAGGTGCCCCCACAAGAATCTGCAAATTCGGTACAGATCAGCCGCGTGGCCAGGCTACGCAACATGAGAATAACGAAGTAGGCTGAATCTCTCAGCCACACTTAGCGTGCGCTTCTGTTAGGGTATATTTCATTATTCGGCGAATGATATGTCCTCACCATAGAATGTCTGAGACTTGGTTTTGGTCATGAAAGCCAGGGAAGCGAGAACACAAGTGGCGGAGCATGAGGTTGTGGCGGTGCATCACTGTAAAGATGGGTACCAGTTAATACGTTTGCCACGCTCAAAATAAATTTCTTAATATCTATGTCGTCACTTTCACATGCCAATGCGACTTCATTTATATTCCTTCTTTCTGAGAACAGAAGTATGATAATGATAAAAACTGTACACGATTGCCGATTTGATTTACTGTGGAATTTAAATGTCACCCTGGTATCAGATAGCATTATGTTATAACCTAAAGGTGAGAGAAAGTTCAAAGATATGGTTCCCAGTTTAACATACCTAGGTGTCTGATGAATTGCTCTTTCCCGAAAAGGAAATAAGAGATGGAAGAGAGTGCTTTTCTTTAGATGTCCCTCCTCTTCTGTATATTACTTTTTTGAGGCTCATTGCTGTCGTGCTATTGATATTTATTATCAAAATACCTCTTTTCCTCTTCCAGTGACTCTTCAATTCCTAGATTTTGTGTTCTTCTCTGAATGATGCTTTCTTCTGTGTAGATTGTGACATCACAATTCAACTTGATGATGAGGGAACGGAAGAGTCGACCTCGCTGATTCAGGTGGACATTGCCTTGGTGATGGTGACGGTGTCGACTACGCTTGCGCTTAGCCGGACGATGTCTTTTCCAAGGCGACAAAAATAACTGGTACATCGACAAAATGACGTATCAGTAACCATGATCTCACAGGGAAGCGCTGGCCTGGGTCGTCTGTAATGGGGCCGCATGACCTTGCACAATCCCTGGACACCAAATGTGGCTTTTGCAACTCTCTCATCTTTGGCGGATTGCCACCAACCATCGTATTGGCCTTCCTTCTCCACCCGGAATTCCTCGCTACTACGGCGCAGATTATTTAGCATCATAGGCTGTTAGTCTTGTCTAACCTTCTTGAGATCGCGGAGTCCTGTGCCATGACCTTTGGAGCTGGAGGAACGCCGCTCATCATCTTCGTATATCTAGGACAATGCAACCATGTCCTTCGAGGAATATGGGCAATCGCTCGATACAATGATGCCAGCACATTTCCACACGTGAAGATGCCCTTCTTACCCGGCCTGGGACATGATAGTGCGAGATTTGCATCTCCTGTTAACAAAAAAATCCTACGATATGGGGCCCCTTTCCCACCATCGAGGAATGGTGTGTCAATCCCGCGGAAACGGTTCAGGAATACAGATGAGTGGAGCGCTTTATAGTGCCCTTGATTGTTTGAATGCCAAAGAACATATAGTTACATAAATACCCCTCGAATGACGACAGACGTGGTGCCGACGGTAACTCTGGTCGCCGCTGTGGTGTTCCTAACAGCACCCGATGCCATAAAGGAGAGTATTATGGGATTTAACAGTGGAAGCAAAGACCCCGGCGACCAGCAGGTGGATTATGACGCCCCACTGAATGAGCTCGTCTCGACTGATTGTGTGAGGACTTGGAAGTAGGCTATCACTTCATGGTCAATCTCGGGTTTGCGCCTGGATGTGACCTAGGAGAGATGTTTTCGGGAGCGCCCCCCAGGTAGACTGTTTCCGAGCTCTTGTAGGCGGATATAGAACCACATCTATAGCCATCTTTTCCACCGTCTTATCATACAGTCAAATGCTGGATCGCTAATTACTGGACTCGTTTTTCTTCCCATGCTTATATACCTCTATAGAGCAGTTCTGTTTCCTTTTAATAACAACCAACAGAATAATGATAATATCCAATCAAGAACAGCAATCTGCTCATACAGAGCTATCTTGCGACTTCTCATCAGAGATTTGCTGTTCCTCAATACTAACCTTTTCCTCAACTTGGTGCCTAGAGTCCCGGTCGCGGGAATGCAGCTCGCCCATAAGGATCTTATTGGCGCGCCACGTGGGCTTGAATTCGAAGAGGCGGTCCATAGACTCGAGAGGTATAGACTTGGTCTCAGGGATGAAGAAGAAGACAAAAGCAACGGATAGGAGCATGAGTGAGGCGAAGAAGAAGTATACGCCATATCCCCAGGCGTTGAACATCTGCTCGGTGAAGCGGGCGACGATGAAGTTCCAGAGCCAGTTGTTGGCGGCCGCGCTGGCCTGGCCGAGAGAACGCGTGTTTTGGTCAAACATCTCGGAATTGACGACCCAGGGTCCACCGTTCCAGCTTGGCGTGTAGAATGCTGTCCAAAGATAGAACATGAATATGGCGGCGATTCCGCCGCTCGACAGGCTGCCGTCAGATGAGCTGGTGCTCCCGGCTGAAATCTTGATATAGGCGCCAATGAACCACATGCACAAGGAGCCGCCGACAGCACCAATCATGAAGAGCATCCGCCGTCCAACGTGGTCGATGAGGAAGAGGATCCAGACAAAGGTCAGCACCGTCTTGACGACGCCAAAGATACCGGTAGTCAGGAAGCTCGTGCTGGTCCCAGAAACACCAATGCTCTTAAAGACGGTGGGGCTGTAATAGTTAATTGCATTGATACCAGACCCTAATACAATGTCAGCGCTTTTTCAGGTTCCAATTGGGCGATGAAGCACTGCTCCTGGCTTGGTTATTAGCATACCATTCTGGAAGATGAAGAGAACAGCGCCAATAATGAAACGGCGCTGAACTTTGCGTTCCTTGAGAGCCTTGAACGGTTTCCAGAATCCAGCTCCAACCTCACGACGGAAGCGTGAGATGTCGTCCTCGATGAAGCTGACCTCCTCCATAATGTACAAGTCATCCGCAGGCAGGCCTCGCATCCAGCACAGGCCCTTCATGGCCTCTTCGCGCCTTCCCTTGGAGAACAACCAGCGAGGAGACTCGGGTATGAACATGATACCAATAAGCAGCAGGCCGGCCGGAATAAGCTGGACAGCAAACGGGATGATCCACTGCTCGTGGCTGGGCTCCATTGTCTTCTCGAGGCCGTAGTTAATCCAAAAGCCGACAAGACCACCAATCTGCCATCCAACCTCGTAGATTCCGACAAGACGACCACGCACAGCTGGTGGCGAGAGCTCAGAGATATATATGGGAGTCATGTTGGAGCAGCCTCCGACACCGACACCGGCGAGAACCCTGCCGCCAATGATGAGGCCCAATCCGCGGTCGCCATTGGCACCGAGCATCAGGCCAGCACCGAGGATGAAGACGACTGAGAAGACGATGAGTGACCACCGACGACCCAGGTAGAAGCTGGTACCGTAGGCCATCAAGCTACCAAAGAAGGCTCCAGCCTGGTACACCGACACGATGTTCTGCTTGAGCAGTGCCAATCCATTCTCCGAGTACTCGTCAAATTTGAACTCATCGGCGAAGGAGGGGAGAGCTAGCGTAGTACCAATGAATGCGGAGTCGTAGCCAATCGTGCATGAGGCAAACGACGCAATTGCTGCGCATGCATAGACTCTCCAGTTGTAAATAGCCTTTGGCGTAGGCCGATCTTCCTTGAGGGTGAAAATCGACATTGTATGCGGTGGAGGCTCTGCATGTAAGCAAGAACCAGAAAAGGGGGATGCGCAGAAACAGCAACACAGAGTTTCTCCAACGACACAAAGTCTCTAGAAAATGCGGAGAGAGGGAGAGAGGGAGAGAGAGGCGTGACAAACTTGGAGAAGAATCGCGGTAGAGGAAATCGAATATTTATTCAAAGACCGGCATCGGCTGCTCCACCAAGACCTCGAACCAATCTTGATAGGCAAAACTGCAAGCCCTGGACTTGTACCCACCATTTGAATTTGAATCTGGGGTCGCTTGTGCGGGGAACGGTGCTGTGTGCTAATTCAACTGGACCATAGTCGTTTTTGTTTGGCGCGTCATTTTTCTTTGGGATTGGTGTCTTGTTGATCTCGTTGGTCTCGTTGGACTTGGCTCAGCAAGTCTTAGCCCGAGGGATTGAAGGATTATCCCGCACATGGCTGCCAAATGCTTAATCGTCCCTCCTCCAATGAACCCCTGGACCGTACACCATCATCGTGCTTGCTACACACCATCTTTCTGTCCCTTGTGGCCAATAAGGTATATAGTTTGGTCAGACGGTATGCATTCTAGAACTCTGGGCAGACTTGTTGTATTCACATATGCTACCTTTCTGTTATCCCTTTTCCCTTCCGGCAACATCCCATGAATAACGTGATAGCCACCAGATGACAGACGATTGACTTGGTCCATGCACCCCCATCCAGCAATTAACGTTTAATATACCGAGAGAATTTCTAGCAGGTTAGCAACTGTTCGGATATTCTGGCTAATCAGAATCAGGGGGTAATTGCAAAACTGGTTGCTGAGTACAGCCTGGGGGAGTGAGATCCGAGGAATTACGAGCTTTCATCCCTCTTCAAAGGAGGGGCAGGTGAAAGCAGTAGTGGTATGCTACCCAACATTTGTTTGGAAACTCGTGATGAAGACTCAAGATTCTCATACTCTCCTTATGGGCTCTATTGACGGTCAGCATATGTTGGACTGATGGCGCCATACGCAATGGCCTACGTCGGGAATTACAAAGGAACCCGAGGCCTTGTTGTAGCTTTGTGTAAGAAAGTGTTGCACCATGGATCATGAGACGGGTGCGTGCCTCAAGCCTCCAACCTCCAGAATAGCAGCATAGATAGAGCTTTCGCGGGAAGACCTCTTACTGGATGGTAATCATATATAGTTTCAGGCATCCCACACGTTCTTTTGAGGTTTTCGGGTAGTTGCTCGTTATGTTTCCTTATTTTCGCTTGGTTTAGATCCTTACCTTGTATATTCCATCCGGATGTGAGGTATTATGCCACAGGAAGTCCGTACGAGTGAAGGGAGGATATATCAGGGTTATTGGAAGAATCCTACTAAAGTGGGGCCATCAGGACGGAAGGGGTTATATAAGTAACCGCCTTCCTCGTTCCACGAGGAAGGGGGCCAACGATCAATACATCGCCATCCCCTACCGTGCCTTTGTATCCGCTGCTTCGCTACGACTACGCCGTCATTTAGCAGACCTTGTCACTTACCTCACTACTCTCCCCTCCCAAGCAGACTCGTTGTCCTGCAGGATAGCCAATATTGAACCATTCTCTGGACTTTCATCTGCCTCCATGTTTCTCTCTCGAATCAACTCCCAGATATTAGTTCATCATGAACTATATCAGTGAAAAGTGGGAGAGTAGGTGAAGTGTAAGTCGATTTCGTTTAGGAGAAGGTGAATGAATGGCATTGGAAGCTACGTCCCGGCCGTGTTTGCTAGTTTGTCTATACCTAATCCTGTTAATCTATTATATATTGGCGTATTTCAAGAAAACTGGAAAATTTCTTTCTGTTTCATGAACATGTGCATTGTAAATTTGTGAAGAAAGAGTCTATGTTCTATCCAAATATCTACAGATCATCCTTCTCTTTACTCCAACCTTTGTGACAGAACATCGGCTACCTTCTGCGCGATGGCTTCCTTTGCAGTAGCCACAGGTAACTCATTCAAACTCTTGCCAGTCCAGAACTTATCCTGCTCCAGGCCTTGCCAAATAAGGGCTTCTGTTCCCAGAATGACCTGCCATCCCTTCTGCTCAGCGAGGGTACCCAGTTTCGTGTAGGGAGTAGGGTTATAGCACATTTCCAGCATGGCACCCTTGTGGTCCTTCCTGGAAAGGAAGCTGTCCGTCACACCACGGGCTTGCCTCTCTTCGTCTGTCTGGGGTTCAAAGTCAGGCACGCATGCGACAATAGCACCGGGTGTCTCGAGTGACGCAGCCTGGTCCACCGTCTCGACGTGGATAAGGTCCTCTCCGTATCCGTGAGCCTTGCAGTCGTCGATGACAGCCTGAACCTCACCGGCGTCGCGGTTGACGAGGTAGATGCTCTTCACGCTGAGCCACTTGCGCAGGGCGTAGACGGCACTACGAGCGGCACCGCCACCCCCCACGACGAGTGCTGGACGGTTATGGTAGACTGCCTCAGGCTTCTTGATGGTGTAGAGGAAAGAGTCACGGATGCCAATCACGTCGGTATTTGTGCCGCAGCGCAGACGACGGCCGTCAGGGCCAATCTTGAAGAAGATGGTGTTACAGGCGCCAATGGCACGGCACTCATCTGTTGTCTCGTCCAGGTGGTCCATGATGGTCACCTTATTAGGCATGGTCACCGATGAACCTTGAATGCTGCTCAGTATCGAGTATTTTTTGCCCCCTCCCATGATGTGCGTTCACTTACCAAAACAGTCTGGATGGTCAATCAGTTTCAGAAACATGTTGATATCACTACCTTCGAGCCGTACTTGACCCCATCGTAGGCCGAGCTCCTTATAGATGACACTGTGAAAGAAGGGTGACCACGAGTTTGTGAGTTTAATGCCGAACAGGTAACCGTAGCGTTCAAGATTCGACGTCTCTTCCACTACGGCCTGGGGTACTTCGGAAACAGCGCCTGGCATTGTATTTGGGCAGAATTGACGACGTGGGATGCAGATTTCCACAAACAATCCAGACTAGGCTGCAATCTTGTCATTCCACGGCTGGGGTCTTAATGGGTTGTCTGGAGATCTCATGAAAAGCTCTGCGGTGTTGTTCCCGCTAGATTCATGAACCCCTCCAAAACAAAACAAAAAAAACCCCGACGCAGAGCGTTTTGTGGGGGGTTTCCTGGACACTAAAGTGACTACTATAGCACCTGGCCACGTCATGCAGCAGACCTACAGCCTGTGAGATGACACAGCGCCTATGCCGTAAGCCATAACTTATTCTAGACGCTGCACCTTATTGTGGCATGGATGAGAAGCATAGTTCTCCCTTCTACGTAATTACCAATAATAGCTTGACTATATATATATAAGACTATCACTACGTTGGATCAGATGGATGATGGCCATGTAAAAACGCATCGCCTCTTCTCCCCCAAATCAAAACATCTCTAATTTTCCACATGCCTAAACAAGATACCTTACCTGTGAATGTGTCATATGTCGAGAAAGACAATACTATCGACATTATTACCAAGACGGAAAACGGTATTCCACTTTGTCCTTGGAACGGTGTCATTATATGTTCTAGCAGGACGTGGATGTCGAACAATTCATCCCCAAGTCCATCAAGAAGACGTATCCTGACCACAAGTTCGCCAGTGAGGATACTTGTCCAGCTCGTCGCGCGACCACCTAGTTGATGACTCCCCACCTGGATCGTCGACACACTCGACGGCATCGTCCACTTTACCCACCTGTTCCCCATGTTCTGTGTGTCTATAGCCCTGACTGTGAATGGTGTTCCCGTGATCGGCGTCATCAACGCGCCCTTTTTCCACCAGACTTTCTCCTCGTGCAGGGGGAAGGGTACCTGGCTCAACAAGACTCGGAGGCTGCTCACAATTCGCAACCCCCCCTCCCCCCCCCCCGGCTTCTGGAGAAACGCCCACGTAGCACCTTCTCTTGCTCATGGGGAAAGTACAGGTGCGATACCTGAGAGCAACATGACGCACAGGATTGACTCGTTTATGAATATGGCTACTGAGAGCAAAGGTCTTAGTGGCCTTAGTGGTACGGTCCATAGAGTGCACAGTCTTGGCAGGTAATACGCCATGTCTTCCCTTCATATTCGCCATCTTTCCCGGCGGCTGGTTAACGAGTTCCAAAGCTACTATGGATTTAGCTTACACCGTTATGGGATTATTTGATGTATGGTAGGATTGAGGTTTCTGGGAAGAGTTAGTAGTAGTGCCTGTCCCATATCTGTGACTTCTATGTTTAATACTGCGTAGGGATGTCGCTGCTGGCATGGCTATTCTCTAGGAAGCCGGTGGCCCCGACACTGCCCTAATTCCCCTGCGGATCCAACTATGCTGAAATAAAGAGGGCAAAGCTAGGTGGACGACTATACCACGCCATCTAGTAAGAACTCTGCCTCAATTCAGATGGGAGTTCCCTCAGCTCACATTGCATAGCCCGCTGGTTATTCTACAACAGAAACTAGTCGACAGACACTGGAGCGAATAGTACGCGAAGCATGGAAGCGAGCCAAGGAGTTAAACTACATCGCCCGGGAGCTTAAAGCAGAGAGCACCATTGTATTTTCAATCCTTAGCAACTAGCCACAATTGGTCATTGCATCAACCTCTTCCATGCGCACGATAAACTCACGCTGAAGTCGTTCCAAATACTGCGCTAGGGTCGCCCCCTCGCCACAGTTCCTTGCCTGTTTCAGGGATTCATAAAGGTCAAGGACAAGATGTCTACGAGCAAACTGTTGACGGCCCTGGACATCTTGGCCACCACCATCCCTTTTCGTCGATAGATCAGTGGCAGTCTCTTCTGCCTTGTCAATAAAAGACTGAGGGAATCCCAAAGCTCGTGCCAAGTTGATGCCGTAGAGTTCGCCCTCATCCCTTATGCCGGAAACCACTTTGTAGAGCATTTTGATACGCGGAACGCCGTCGTGTGTTGTTGTGTTCTTGGCTGTTAGATGAAGATTGAGGACTCCGGGTCGGTCGGAAAGAGCCTTTGCCAGTTCGATAAAGTGCGTCGCAAACCACACTGATGCCTTGCTTTGAATCAACGCCTCCGATATGGAAATGGCAATCGCCAGGCCGTCACGAGTGCTTGTGCCACGCCCGAGCTCGTCAATAATCGCCAGGCTCCTGTAGTCGATGTTCCTCAGAATGAAAGCCATTTCCCTCATCTCGACTGAAAACGTTGACAAGTTGGACTCGATTCTGTCATCCATTGAAATGCGTGCGAATATGTTGTGGATGACGGGAAACGACGCATACTCCGCGGGAACAAAACAGCCGATCTGGGCCATGATCTGGAGCAGTACAACCGTTCGTATGTAGACACTCTTCCCACTCATATTGCACCCTGTGACAATGTGAAAGCGGTATTGTTCACTTGAGTAGTAGTCGTTTGGCACAAATGAGCGTCCAGCAGCCTAGAACATGTTAGTCTTGACAGCAATCCTCCTAGTGGTTATTGTTACCTTGTCGAGCATCGGGTGTCTTGCTGCTTTCAAGGCCAAAGTCCCAATCATTTGCGGCCGGACATAGTCCCTAGTGGTAGCTGCCTGACTGAAAGAGCACAGCATGTCGGCCAAAGCCACAGATTCGCAGGCTCGAAAAAGATGAGGTATCTCCTGTCGGAGCTCCTCTACAAGATTCCGGATCACCGAATCGCTGCGGAGACATACCTCGTTGGAAATGTCTGCCAGCCGAAGGTTTAGCTTCACGAGGTCGAGTGTCTGACATTCAATCCTGTTCTTTTTCTGCACAACATTGATGAATACATCCGGCAGTATAGTGTCGCCCAAGTCGGACTCCCTGAGACAGAGCCAGTATTTCCGCGAGTTATCAAATTTCAAGGAGGATTCCACCTGGTATAACTCTGTAAGAACGAACGCTTCATCAGACATATGCCCTCCCCTAAACGAATATAGTATTGTAGCTTACCGTTGAGTCGGTCTATATGCTTGTGAATCTCTTCGGTCAGTTCTTTGTATGTCTGGCGGGACACATCTAACATGTCACTAATTCCAGATTTGACGGCAAGAGTGCGCTGGTTCCGCAAGCCCAATGGGGAGGTGGTGTACGCAACATCAGCTTCAATGACATGCCGTATCTTGTCCAGGGCCAGACAGATGATCTCTGGGTGGCAAAGATCACGGATCTTAATGAGCAATGCGCTGCTCGCGGGTTCAAGTGCCGTGTGCAACTCTGGCACAGCTTCAAGGAAGCTCTTAATCATGAGAACCTGGTTCATCTTTTCTTCCACATGCAACAAATCGGTTTCGTTGTGGACAATGATAATCTAAACTGTCAGCTTACGAGCAATCGCGTGGTTAGCGTTTCCCCAACCTTGGTGAGAATCTTCTCAGCGTCCCGGAATGGTCGGAGTGCTTTGCGGATTGCAAGGAACATTTCGTCATTGATAACCAATTCCTCTAGCGCATCATGACGAGGGACTATAAATGAATCAGTCTGCGTTGGTGGCTGTAATAAACAGCTTCGGAGCATCCGTGCTCCCATTGGCGTCAAGGTGAAGTTCAGCAGGCTAAACAAACTGTTCTTCGACTTGACGTTGCCCAGGCTGCGCATAATCTCCAGGGACTGGAATACTGAAATATCAATCATCATTGTATTGTCACTGGGCTCGTAGTGTATTCGGAGGGACTGTGGAGAAAAAGTGATGTTGGAAGTGACCTCTATATAATTCATTGCCTGAAATTCCTCTCATAGCTTGTTAATTCTCGTTTCTACCGGTATACGAAAATTGGACTTACAGCACTGAAGGAAGACGTCGCATGGTATTTTCCCTGGACGGCTACCATAAGTGGATCGATATCATCCTCAAAGGCCAAGTGACGTATATAGTCAAGCCCAGAAGACTCTGACCAGGCAGCACGGTTGAAAATCTGAAGCTGCGTCTCGGGTAGTAGCTGTCGGATAAGATAGTATAAAGTACCTGGATTGTTAGGCGGACAGGCAGCTGGCATAAATATAATGCTGGAGGGAGACAGCATATGCATCTTGTGTACAGTTCTGACATAGGACTGATTGTCGAGTATCTGGCTGAGAGTGACCTCGCCCAGAGTAGAGTTTATGAAAGCGACTCCCACTGAAGGCGTGACGCCTCGTGCCTCACTCACAGCGCAGATAATATCTTGCGTATCATCATAACCAAGTATGGACGAGGCCGTGGTGGCTCTGGACTTGCGACCGGAAGATGACTTGGGTCGATTTCCAGTTCGCAATGGCTGAGAAAGGCTCATTACCGTGCTTGTGGTGGCAGATGAAGCATGCGGCCCGGACCGCCTCAGACTGGAAGATGAAGGCGGCATGACTTGCAAAAAGAACGGGGGAAAGGGTCATTCATGGAAATCGAGGTCATTCGTATATGCAAGTAGTAGTACTTGTTTAATCTTTGGACCTGGAACCAATACGGCAATGAATTTGCGCACCACAGTAGTAGTAGTAGTACTACCTATATCATCAAAGGGAAAATAAAGAAAAAAGAAGAAAAGAAGGAAGGTGCAGAAGGTGAATACTCATGATAGTTATTGGAAGGAGCCCGGATGAATCCTCGGAGGCAGGTACGCGTCTGCCCAGCCGTACATTAGTGCGGGCCGGTGTTCTACCGGGTTGTGTACGAGTATGTGTGTGGCCTGTCCTGAACAACTGAACCTCCCAGTCCCCAAACATTTATCACAAACGGCCAGCAGCTCGCACCGCCCACTGTCCAAATCCGCACACCATCCACCACCCACCACCACAATCGCCGCCACCAACATTTGGTTACCTACACTACTTGCGCGCCTGAGCAAACAAGTGGGACGCTTCTTCAGCGTCTAAGTCACCATGTTTGGCATTCTCGAGGCTGTCACCGTCCCCCACGATGGTGTCTTCTCCAGCTTTGAAGACTTGATGCGCGTTCTGAGCGATCGCGTCACGAAGGAGGGCTACAAGATCGTCAAGGCGCGATCCCACCGCGTACGATCAGGGGGAGCGGAAGGGGGCGCAAACACCATGAACCGATGTGATCTGGTGTGCGATCGAGGTGGTCGACCATATAAAAGCCAGGCGACAAAACACAAGACGTCAACTAAAAAGACGGACTGCCCGTGGAAGGCCAAAGCTGTGTTGCGCAAGACCATGGGCGGCTGGGTCTTGACCATTATATGCGATCAGCACAATCATCAGCCGGGGACACCGGAACCGCCCACGCCACCCGAAGGCAGTGAAGATGGGGCCGAAGAGGGCGAGGACGCAGAAGGTAAGTTCCATGGCCTACCTGGTATCAGCGGCCAAATGAGAAATCACCGAATGTTAACCCTCATAATAGGTGATGAAGAAGGCCCACGGCCAGATGCCGACACTGCGGCAGCTATGCAGGTTGCAGGCGTGTCCAGTGCAGCTATGCGATTGACGGGCGATACCTTTGCACAGTTTAAGAACGAATATCGCAGCATGTCTCAATCCGATCGGTTAAATGCCCTTTCGCAAATGCAACTCCGAGTTGCCGCCATATACGCGATTCAAAACGAGGAACTACAACGATTCAAAAGATGGGAGACCACGCAGCAGCGCCACAATGAGATCGAAGAGAACCGGAAGCAACGGCAGCAACAGAAGCGAAGCCGCCGACAGACTCTACAACCACAACACTTGCAGCAGCAGCAGCAGCAACAGCAGCAGCATCAGCAACAACAGCAGCAGCAACCGCAATCGCAACAAAGGCAGCAGCAACCATTGCCAGGTCAAACACCCCAGCCTGGGACACCAGTACAGGTTCCAATGCAATCCCAGCAGCAGATGCCGCAATCGGAGATGACGCACCAATTTCGATTGTCTGACAGTCCGGGTATGATGGCCTTGCCTGGCATGACGTTAGCTCTGCCCCAACAACCGCAATATCCCCCGTCGAAGCGTATGCGCGGTAATAATGGACAAGCAACCAATGGCCAGTCAGCGTGATAGGACTGCCTCAAACGAAAAGTTCAGTGATCACAAAGGCCCTGTGAAGCATTCTCCTTTTTTTCCCCTTCTACTCCTCCTACGAGAGCGTCCAAATTTTCATTTGCTTGGGTTGGGTCTGATACGTTTTTTCCCTTCTGTACGTGTAACGTCAGCAGTATTATAGAATTGCGTGCGCAGAGTTACAGAGTTTACTATTCAATCGGCGTGGGGCAAAACAGGACCTGGTGTTATTGTATAATATTATGTATACTTAATGGCTGTCCGCATTATTGGTTTGCCGGTACAGGTAATACTAGTGGGACTAATTGGACCATGCCACGCTTGACCGCCTAAATTCTCAGAAATTTTGCCGCTTCCGTGTGCCCCACCATCCAGATTATTTCGTCCCTCACTCCATGAACATAAGTGAAGTAAACAATTCGCACGACAGTACCAAAATATAAGATGGCGACCGTCGTACCACCCCCGTCGAAGCGCCAGAAGCGCCAGGACCTCGAGCGCGCCACATATCAGCAAGATGTGACGGCCGCGGCGGCGGGCCCCGAAGGCTCGTTCAAGGCCCGGTTCCTCGATGGCGATGGCAACCAAATGGCCGATGTCATTGAGGTTCCTCTTGCGCATGCGTCAGAGAAGAATCTGTCTACCCTTCTTAACACCATGCTGGAGAGGGTATGTATACACTAGGGTCCTCTGAGTAGACCACCTCCTTTGACTGAGGCCGACTATTTAACTAACATACTTGCCTGATCAGGAACGAGAAGAGTTCTTGCCGTACCGCTTCCGCATCCACATTCCCGAGAAGGAGATAATTGTCGACCAATACCCAACGGACCTGCTCAAACTCCTACGCGACCATGGAATTGAGAACCCGTTTGAGACGACTGTGACGCTGAGCGCCGAGCCCCAGGCCGTCTTCAAGGTGAAAGCCGTCACGCGCATGTCTCACAGGATACCCGGGCACGGCGAGGCCATACTGGCGGGACAATTCAGCCCGGCCAATAGCAACAGATTTGCGACGGGATCAGGCGACAAGACGGCACGCATATGGGACACGGACACTGGAACCCCCAAGTTCACGCTGTCGGGTCACTCTCACTGGGTGCTGTGTGTGTCGTGGTCCCCGGATGGTAAGAGGCTGGCCACTGGCAGCATGGACAAATCAGTGCGCATCTGGAACCCAGAGACGGGCAAAGCTGCGGGTCCGGCCCTCACCGGTCACCTCAAGTGGATCACCAATATTGCCTGGGAGCCGTACCACCTGTGGAAGGACGGATCGCCGCGTCTGGCAAGTGCGAGCAAGGACACGACAGTTCGTATCTGGGGTGTCAACACTGGCAAGATTGAGCACATCCTCTCTGGCCATAGGAGTAGCGTCACTTCCGTCCGCTGGGGTGGAACCGGACAGATCTACACGGGAAGTCAGGACAAATCAGTACGCGTGTGGGATGCCGATAAGGGAACCATGATTCATACCCTCTCTGCTCATGCGCACTGGGTCAACCACATTGCTCTCTCGTCCGATTTTGCTCTGCGTACCTCTTACTTCGACCACACGCCGATCCCCGACACTGAAGAAGGAAAGAGGCAAAAGGCCAAGGAACGATTCGAGAAGGCCGTCAAGGTTCAGGGGAAGACTTCGGAGAGGATTGTCTCCGCAAGTGACGATTTCACAATGTATCTCTGGGACCCTGCACAAGGCACAAAGCCCGTGGCTCGCATGCTCGGTCACCAGAAGCAGGTCAACCATGTCACCTTCTCGCCGGATGGCATGCTCATTGCCAGCTCAGGATTTGACAACCACACTAAGATTTGGAGTGCAAGGTACGTTTCATTTAAGAGATAGCCCTTACTCGATATAACTATTGCCACAGGCATACTAACATCGGGTTACTTATAACAGGGACGGCCGTTTCATCAATACCCTTCGTGGCCATGTCGCGCCTGTCTACCAGTGCGCCTTCTCTGCTGACTCGAGACTGCTCGTTACCAGCTCGAAGGATACCACGTTGAAGGTTTGGTCCATGGCTACATGTCAGCTCGCGGTAGATCTCCCCGGTCATCAGGATGAGGTCTACGCCGTTGACTGGAGTCCTGACGGGAAAAGGGTCGGCAGCGGAGGAAAGGACAAGGCAGTCCGTCTTTGGTGCAACTAGTTGGGAAGGCGGTATACATTTAGAAGGAACAAAAGCTTGTAAATGGATGATGTCTGCGTACGTTCTCTCCTGATATGAAATCGGGGTTTTCCTTACCCAGTGTCTTCTTGTCAGGACCATTATAAGGTCCCTACCAAAAGTGGGGCCATTAGAACGGAAAAGGCCTTATAAGTAACCACCTTCCTCATTCCACGAGGAAGGGAGGGTCAACGATCAATACATCACCCTCATGGTGCCTTTGTATCCGCTGCTTCGCTACGACTAAGCCGTCACTTAGCAGACCTTTTCACTTACCTCACTACTCTCCCCTTCCAAGCAGACTCGTTGTCTGGCACTTCCATCGTGACTCTGGCGCGTGGAACGTCAATTACCGGAAATCAATTGGATCGAGCAGCAAAAAAACACATTGCAATTTATTGCCATCATGCTCAAAGACACTTGTATGAAAATCACCAACTGAATTATACTAATAGTGATCTTCCTGTTGAAATATGCTACGGCGAAGTATATCGGACAATCACGGTTGTCTCTCTTCCTTCTGGTATCTCATCTTGTACTGTCGATGGACTTATCTGTAGAAGATCATACTTCGCAGTCATGCCACTTATACTAGGGTCAGATCGAAAAGTATCATGAAGTTAGAGCTAGACATGATGAATAGCGACAAATGTACAAGAGAAGGTAAATGAGTAAGAAAAAAAGGGGAGGTGCACGTGAGGTCGCAATAACGGGCCGTGACACCGAGTATTATATCCTGGATATAGGTAGGATGAAGAGACGCATTGAAACACATTCAGTGGTGGTCTTGCCGAGTTTTCACGTTAGTCTTGCAAGATTTGACTGGCTACACAGCCGTGCTTTTGTGGTCTACCCAAGCATCAATAAGGCAGGTTGTGAAGTCAAGAACCGGACATTATTACGGATTACACCCTCGGTGTCTAACATTCTCTGACTAGAAATGACGCGTCATTGGCGACGTTGATTGGGGAAGTAGCCACCTGCGCCAAGTCGGGCAGGAGCAGCCACGCACAAGCCACATAGCAAGCTGGCCAGGATTACCACCCCGCACCCCAGGACGGCATGTGAGAGTCACATCCGGGATAAATTATAATCATTGCAATACCAAGCCGCCTCGCCATCTAAAGTGCGGCTCCACGAAATAGATCTGCGTAGACGCCACTTTTGGCGCAGCCCGGAGCGCGATGCCCAAATGTACCACATCGCCAGTGCTTTGCAGCAGCGACATTTTGACGGCCACATTCAAGTCTTACGGCTAGCTGGTAACACGCACGCTATTAAACGCGGCAACCATCAACCCGCCACTCCCGCGCTTCCTCGCCGTACATCGGACAATCGCACACATCTTACATTTATCTGGCGCCGCAAACATATCGACAGAATCATCCGAGATCTAGACAACGACCACATTCGCTCTGACGGCACTACCCCGCTAGACGATCTCGTGAGGCTGAGACTTGGTGGATGGCGGGACCACGGAATTCCTGGCTGATCCTTAGCAAGGAACATGGTGAAACTTGTCAGATGGCGGCTCTTATTATCAAAGCCGGTGTTCTTGAACGCGTGAGAGGAGCCGGACGCTCAAAAGTTGCGCAGCCGGTCGCGTTAGCTTGCGTTTCGCCGTGGCCAGATAGACATACGAATACTTGGTCGGTACTGCTACCCTCTGATAATGGTTCAAAGTACCGAGGTATATGTACAAAGTTCCAGGCCATATCTGCCATCATCACTGCCAAAACTATACGTACACTCATGGTCTGGTATCCATTAATAGAGGCATCTGAAATGCTGCTATACGCTGTGATGATTTGTTTGGTGTTATCGCAGACTTTCCATAAATCTATTCGCTTGTATTTCTGCTTCCCAGGTAATCACGACAACAGGTCTAAAAGAAGAAGTTTGGTTCAATGTCTATCCCATAGAGATGCGTTGGAAAAAATGATTTGAAATTACAAATCTTTGAGGCCTTAGTGATGATGAGTTCAAGAACCATTATTCGATTAAGCGCCACATTATTCCATTTTCAGTACTTGCCTGCCATCACGATGCTAGGTAGTATTAGTCACAGTTATCGAATGATACTTTCTTCTCTTAGCCACTAGCTTCGAGGTACGCGTTGAGCATCCTCCGAACGGGTATCTGGATATATCGTGAATGAACTGAGACGTCTTCCTCTCATTAAGAAACGATTTTGACCCTGATAATTCGGGGGGGAGTTCATCCTCAATCTCCCCGGCCACAGCGCGCATGTTAATGATAGACGGAAAGACCCAGTGATCACCAAGGGCAGCCTGGATGCTCACATGTCGTCAAAGTCGGGCCATCAGGCGTTCATGAGCCATACCAAGCTACACAGCGTCCCCCTTCTTTTTGCTTTTTCTGGAGGGTGACGGCGAAGACTTCTGGATCACGCCGTTGTTGCTGCTCTTCCTACCGACGTCTCTCTGCATCTTCAAGTAGCTGCCTCGGCCTTTGTACTTCCCCCTGTTTTTCTGGAGACATGGTGGGCCAACTGATCAATCCCACCCTTGTAGTATGACAGATGGGATGGTAGGGTTAGGTTAAACGTGAGAGCGATGATGACCACCGAAAGATTGACATGCGCGACGATGATGACTCTACCCATTGCTGAGATATAGCGTGATCTCGCAGTCCACGTGTCATACCAAAGAGTCACAAACTCAAGCTAGTCAAGCCCCGGAGCAGCGAACGAGGTACGCTTAGGTGTGTCACGGAAGTGCTATAATACAGGTGGGCCGGGACACGGCGGGTATATTTAGCTTATTTTCAAAGGCCGGCACTGCCGAGGGCAGGTCAGGCTCGGGATACACGTAGCTCTTTCAGGAGTTGAAGCTGTCTGTGATGTTTCCCTTCCGAGACACTGTAACGATGTAGAACCACACTAATCGGTACTGTATGATTAATTCCACTATTTATCCCTCACTCGCACACCCCTATTTTTTACCATATTCCTTAGCACGAAATACACTCAGGGTAACTATTCGCAGACATCATTTTTGTCTACCTCGCAAACCATACTCTTAGTGCACCTAGGTAAGTAGTTGGCTTGTCCCAGAGGATCGCTTGGCATGGGTTAATAGAAGCATCTACCATTGATGACCTGGAAAATAGTAGATGCGCAATTTCCGGGAAGTTGTGGTCTACGGGCACGCATGTGCGTACCATTTGGCCAGCCAGGCTCATAACTGCGAGACATGGCAAAGATGTAGAACCACACTGCCATGTGATTATTTCTACTAGCTATTAATATCCCTCGATCGCACAGGGGATTGAATGCGAATAGACCATTGTTGGAATTCAGGACACATCAAACGCCGCACTAAGCTAATCCCTACATATTCTAGGCATCGCGGGTCATGGCACACCAAGTCCTCTCTAGGCTTCGCTTTTACCATGTGCGTGACAAAGAAAGGAAGATGAAAATTAAAGGAGTCAAGGGATATGTGCTGTTCAAGGAGGTGCCAGGATGTGTATATCTGGCCAAGTCACCTCTGTTGTTGTAGGAAAGGCGAGAGCCATTTCTTTCGTTCACCTTGAGTGTGTTCAGAAGATGGCGTCTATTGACCCGGACTAGCCAATGACCTCAATAAGAACTGGTCAGGTTCTAGACAGGCACACTGCCCAAAAGAGACAAAGAACTGTTCATATCACACAGCCACCTAGAATTCGATATAAAAGGTTCTCGAGTCTCTCACAATCTAAGCAAGACATCATCTACAACACCGCACCCAGGCAAAGCAGCAAAGATCCTCCAAGACAAATACTACCTTTGCTCATCCATACCCCAACAGTTCATCAAATATTACCCCTTTCCCTCCTTCATAATCATGAAACTTGCCCTGGCTACCGTTGCCTTCCTGGCTACCATAGCCATTGCCGCCCCGACCGACTCAGTCAATCGCGGTGCCGAGCCTGACGCCTGGTGCGAGCGTCCCGGACAGTCTTGCTGGAAGGACAAGCGTGCCCCTGAGGCCGTCCCCGAGGCCGCCGAGCGCGATTCCAACCCCAAGGCCTAGTGTGAGCGCTCCGGACAGCCGTGCTGGAAGGCAAAGCGCGCCACTGAAGCCATGAAGAGCACTGCCAGCAGCGTCTTCATGACTCTCGCTTAAATTATCCAGGTCACACGAAACATTGAGTTCGGTCTCTCCCCCGCCCGTTTGGCTGCATCATGCCAGCATTTTGACTTACAGATGGCTGTCGACCGATCTAGTCTTGGGTAAAATTCTAACAGCGATTTAAATGTGTCGGATGAGATGAGGAGTTACGACAAACGAATACGGGAACATAAGGGCTGGCTGCCTGTGTAAAATTATTTGCTGACGGGCTGGAAACCTCGGATTTTTCTCTTCTTTTTTTAAAAAACTTATTGATTATAAACGGCGAGATTGTGGTTCCATGACTCGCTCTTTTTTCCTCGAAGCATCTTGAGAGTACGCTGCATAATCTGATGAAGAACCATGCATACTTTTGCCGTTTGACATGGAAGAGAACCTCTTGTACTTGGTATTCTTGACTGAGGTGCGACGCTGAGGCAAGCTTTGCTCATGTTTCCTATGCGCCTCTTCCCTCTAGACAGGTGACTACAGGAAAAAAAAGAAAGATTAGAAGCTGCCTTCCAGAATGTGGTGCATTTGCCTCTATTCCTTCCATGTTGAGTTTCAGAGTTCTTCTATGCTGTTTTCTCCCTTTGTCGAGTAGGTGTAGCTAGATTCTTGAGGCAGCATACACCCCTTCATCAAACTTGGGCATGAATAATCGAATGAGAAGAAGGGTGGAGGATCTACGGCTTCTATGGCGGTTGTCTTATTGGGATTTTCATGACTATGTGGTGGTCTCGTGTCGTTGAAGCCCTCTATTGACTCGTCCATTGATACCCGAAATAGGCAATTCAGAGGTGGCCCCACTGCAATATCAAGCCAATGATGTGTTTTAATAGAGTAATAAAGCAGAACCTGTAATCTGTAACTGATTGATCATTTTTGTAGGCCCTGGAGCAGAATCACCTTTTGGTGATCATTCTGCTGTGCAAGTTTATTCTGAGCTGGGGATATCCATACCAGAAAATTACGTGCTCCGATATCTTCGAATGATACCTGGATCGCCTTGAACCATAGATTCTGGGGCCTTGAGTTTATCGCTGATTAGGAGAGATGGGGGATCCTTGCTACGCACTTGGTGACACAACTATGGTGTATTACTGAGTGTAACGCCGATTCAAATAATGGGTCTTAGTCCCTTGAACGCTAAGCGACCCTTTCTTAGTGTACCCTACCAGTACGTACATATATAACATGCTCATGCTACTCTGTATTCAAGTTTGTTTCTGACAAGTCACGAGTAGTAGTCTGTAGGTGGTTACTAAATTCCTCGTAGCGCTTCTCATCAGAAGTACACGGTTAAACGATAGTCGCAAATTCCTACGCCGATACCCCGGATACTCGTCAAACGTACAATTCAAGAGATGACTAATATCTGAACTACAATATTCACATATCCTCAAAGGCCGAAGTTCATACCTTGCAGTCCATGGGCAACAAATACACATACAACATAATTGACCAACTATAGTCTCATCAGGCGTTTTTCCAAACTCATTTGTACATCCTGTGAGTGTGGCAGCCTCTGGCTGCTTAGTCATGAATTCTTAGGTGCCACACCGGTCCGACTGTAGGGTAAATGACTTCACCTTGCTCTTGCATCGAGGATTACTAGGTCTCCGGCGTCGGACTAAGGGCGTAGGGTGCAATTGACATTTATGTGTCACGGGCCGTATCTTTTATTGCTTGCAATCATGTAAGCTTTTATTAGGCAATGATTGTTTAAAAATTTCAATGTACTCTCTTCAAGTCCACATCTATCTCGGGTGATTACTGCTATCCATTTCCCTTTCTTACCTCTACTTATATCTCTTTCATTCCTGTGTAAATCTCTCTATTGTCTATGCTCAGGCAATAATCAAGCAAATCAGACGTTATAATCATTTAGAACAAGCAAGTATTATGAGAAGATGGGGATTTTCCGGGCTCGACAATGACCCTACACTTCTCAATACACTTGACTTCCAGGATGATCAACATGGTCAAGGGCAGTATCAAGGACAGCAGCGACAGCAGCGGCAGGAGCGGCAGCAAGAACAGAATCGTTCCGAGCAACAGCAACAGTTACAAGTCACAGACATTGATGACTGGACGACAAACGTGTTAGCTGACTGGGCGGGGTATGAATTCGGCGAATCCCTACCAGATGCCAACGTCCTTGATATCGATATAGACCAACACCAACCACAGGACCAGCGTCAAACACAACCACAACCGCAACTATCTGAAGATGCCGCACTGTTCAGCTTTCTGCAGCCGCTGCAGCAATCTCAGCCCCGAGACCGCGTATCGTCACAGCTTGCAGGATCATATGATGAGAGAGAAACGCCGACAACAATAACAACAACGACAACAAATACTACTACTACTACTACCGCTACGACGACACCATCGAGCCAGTCAGAAACGACGCCGCGGCTCGTATCCTTCCATGGTGCAAGTGCAGGTGTAGGCCAAGTTGTACCACCCAAGGTTGGAACACGCTTCTCCAGGGAATCTCTCCGTATCTTGAGGAACTGGCTAGCTGCCCACTCGGCGCGACCCTTCCCGACCGACGAAGAGCGGGAGATGCTCCAGAGGCAGACGGGGCTCACCAAGACCCAGATCCTCAACTGGATGGCCAACGCACGGCGGCGAGGCAAGATGGCGGAGCGTAGCCGGACAGACTCACCGCGCACACGGAGCCCATCGCCATCTAGGCCCGCCGACATCCCCCCCCAACGGGCCGGGACGCCAGCACCGCATATGAAGCCGCTGGACCGATGGGTTGACTCACCGCCCGAGAACGAGCCTGCAGCCGTGGCGGCCATTGCGCGGGCCGTGCAAGAGTCGTCGTCGTCAGCCGGCCCATCAAGCAGGAGGTCATCTGGTGATGGCAGTAGCGACAGAAATTATCGACCTTCACCGTCGAGCAGCGTAGGCGGCACGTCGCTATCCAGCGGCGCATCGGGTTACTCATTCGACAGCCGGGACTCCAAGGGGTCCGTGGGAGCTGTGCCACGACGCCATCATGGACTGCGGAGCGCAAGGAGACGACGGAAGCCCGGGGACCGAGGGACACATAGGGACAAGAACCCCGGCAAGTCGGGGACCAAGACGCCCCTCGTGGCGCCCATCAATACCTTCCAATGTACCTTCTGCACCGAGACTTTCAGTTCAAAGCACACGTGGCAGCGACACGAGAAGTCACTCCACTTACCACTGGAGAGATGGGTATGCGCACCTAAAGGGCCCAGAGCCCTTGACGTCACTGGGACGAAATCAACTTGCGCCTTTTGCGACTTACTCGACCCAGGCGACGAACACATCTCCATGCACAACTACGCTGTGTGCCACCAGAGGAATCTCGAGGAAAGGACATTCCACCGCAAGGACCACCTGGGACAGCACCTGCGGCTGGTTCATAACCTCGCGCCCGATGTGGTAGGGCGCAGACTTGCACAGTGGAAGATGGACACACCGACGATTCGGTCCGTGTGTGGGTTCTGCTCAACCTCCTTGGACTCTTGGGAGGCCCGCGCGGATCATCTGGCTGAACATTTCAAGATGGGAAACACCATGGCCGACTGGAAGGGCGATTGGGGGTTTGAGCCGCATATTCTGGCCAGATTAGAAGACTCCCTAGCACCATGTAAGGACATGACTTCCCCCCCTTCCTTTTTTTTTGCTTCAATATCGGAACAAGTCTGGTACTAATAACACATTTATGTAGATATGATTGCCCAGGAGCGCACTGCTCCATTTCCTTTTGCCGCCAGCAAGACCCCAGTCGAGTCGCCCCGCAGCGCATACGAGCTCATAAAGCTGGAATTGCTCATCTTTGTAGACATGTACTACGACAGGACGGGACGGATCCCGTCATCAGACGAGCTGCAGTTTGACGCCTGCCGCGTCATCTTCACGGCTGAGGTGCCCTCGTACAGCCGTGAACAGGAGGAGCACCCATCCTGGCTGCGCGACCTGGTCTTTTCGTCAGACAGCGTGGTGCGCAAGGCCCGGCTAAACCCCCTACGCCCGGCCGCCGAGAGCAGGCTCTCGTTCCTGGGTGTCATAGGAAAGAAAGGCCCCTTTGACTCATGTCCCCTCGAGGCACAGCTGGTCGAGTTCGTCGAGGAGCGTCGTCGACAGGGCGCAGACGAGATCACTCCACATCAGCTGCAGGCTGAAGCGTGCCGACTTATGCACCTGGCCGATCGTCTCTGGCCGTCGGCTCCGGCGGACATACCAGCCACATGGCTGATGGGACTGGCCAAGTCGTGCACGGGGTGGCTAGACCTCTTTCGTGTCCGTGTCGGTCTCATCCCACCCTTCGAACGCCCGGAGAGACCGACCCCGTGCATCATGGACACGTCAGCGCTTGACTCAGTCCTGAACAATTACAACATTCTAGATGACAAGCTCATCAGGAGGATGGAGGCGCGCAGCATGGATCCAACCAACTCTGAGCTCCGCCAGCAGATGCTCTCGTGCATAATGTCCGAGTTTGACGACGAAACCGACGCCGAGTGGAAACGGGCCGCTGCTGCCAATGATGCCTGGCTTGCCCGCTTCAAGAGACGTCACTTCGCCTGGTCGGGTATGTACACTCCGCCCGCGTATGAGCAGGATGCGTCTCTCCATGCCGCCGCCGCCGCCGCCGCTTCCTCATCTTCACCTTCAGTCCTGGTCGCTCAGGGCAGCAGTCAGTACCAACCGTTGGCCAGCACCGCTGCCAACATGACCGCATGTGGTAACATCGAAAGAATTCTAAAGGCCCCTTATTTCCTCAATGAGCCCAATTTTGACCGCTGGGTTCCCCGCGAACTGGCCCGTTGGGTCGCCGCCACAATGTCCCCCAACAATCCGAATCAACATGTCCCCACTGACGAGGAGCTACAGAACCAATCCAGGTGGATAATGTATGAGGAGTGAGTTCTATCAAGGGGAAGGAAATATCTCATCTCCGCTCCTTCTTTTCTCTTCTACCCTACTGTCTCGATGCATTATATGTGTTATGTGTGGACCTGGTACTAACAGCTCATCAGCAATGACCCTTTTAACCAGACAGCGGCCGATAATATAGAATGGCTTTCTCGTTTCAAACGAGACGTCGGCATCCTGAATGATTTTGGTCCAGGGCTCAATAACGAAATGCTGTACATGCCCCGCGCCAACCTATCCGATATGTTTGGGTGATTGTAGTTGTTGGTAAACAATATTGACAGACCTTAATAGTATAGAGTCATAAAACAAATACGGATTTCAACATGACTAATTCCATATCTAAGGTGAATATCTTTCTATATAAATATCACATTGTAGCCGCGTTGTTTTTGTATATCCTATAGTGATTTCTTTTACCCATGCCTTTGCCATTTCTTATTTTACGCGCCCCCCTCCCCCCTTTTTCTTTCGTTTTTTTTTCTTTTTCTTGAAATGTCCGCTCGTTTATTCACTTCAGTCCACCTTGATAGCCGTATCATCCTTGGAAACCTCGACACGCCACCCAAATGCATCCTCCACTTTTCCCAGTTGAATGCCCTTGAGCTGTGCCAGAAGACGTTCGCAAATCGGCCCTGGCTCCTCCTTCTCCTTGGGAAGATAGGTAATCGTCTCAGCGCCATCTTCACCCTTGGACACACGGGTCGAGTCCACGGACACGCCGTCGCCCTGGGCAACCTTGCGGCGGGTGATAGACCTGATGGGGACGAGGGAGGCAGCCGTACCGGCGGCAACGACCTCGCTGAAGTTTGGAAGTTCCTTATACTGAATAGCCCTCTTCTCAACCTTCCACCCGAAGCTGCGGGCAATCTGGAGGATACTGTCGCTAGTGACACTCTCGATGACGCAGCGCGAATCGGGGACTACGAGGGTGACATCATCCTTGTCTGCGCCGACGATGGCACCGATGAAGCCGCTAGTGCTGAACTCGTCAATCTCACGGTGGTGTGCGCTGTCGAGGTGCAGTGTGATTCCGTAGCCTTCGTTGCGGGCGGCGTCACTCCACCGCAGAACGGGAGCGTAGTTGCCACCGACCTTGGCGCTGCCCGTGCCGTTGGGGGCGGACCGGTCAAAGTCGTCGAGGATGAGGCACTGCACAGGGTGCGCACCATGGTACACACCCGTGGGTATGACGAAGACGGCAAAGGTGTACTCGTCGGGGGGGCTCAGGCCAAGCTGCGCGCTGGACCCGTAAATCTGGGGACGGATATACATGGCCGCGCCCGTCTCGTGGGGCGGGACAAACTCGGCGTTGAGGGCCACGGCGGCGCGGCAAGCCTCGACGAAGGTGGCCTCAGGGACGCGGGGTATCGACACCATGTCGGCAGAGTGCTGCATGCGCACAGCGTTGCGGTCCGGGCGGAAGATAGTGATGGACTTGTCACCCGGTGTGCGGAAGGCCTTGAGCCCCTCATAGGCTTGCTGTCCATAGTTGAGGGCCGGTGCCATGCCGTGGATGCGCATGAAAGGGTCGGCCACGAAGCGAAGAGGGGACCACTTGCCCGTTGACTTGGTCCATGTCGACTCAATGTGGCCGTTTACTGCAAGGAGCTATACCATCAGTTCATATTCTCTGTTCTGGATAGAGTCCTCTCTGTATTGCGTCCGGTCCTCCCGGTAGAACGTACCCTCGCGAACCTTGAAGCCCACATTGGGCCAGTCGATGGTGTCAACGGGAGGCGGGGGGAAAGACATGGTGTTCGTTGTGTTGTTAAATATGGGTACGGAATAGGTATTGTGATAGTCAATGTATTCGCAAATGGACTGGACGTGTATGTAGATGTCCTTTCTATTATATACAGCAAAATTGTCAGAGAAGGTGGCGTAAAAAAAAGGTCGTGTGAGTAATGTGGGTTGGTTGGGGGACCGTGGCACGGACTCAGACCAACCCAAACTGAATCCGACATCGCTCGCTGACCCTCTTTCATTTATATCTTCTTTGCACACAAAATTACTGGCCAATCTTTGTAAAGCTACCTGCTATTTCTACGCCACAAGGCGGGGCAATAGCCCGGCGTCAAGCCACGACGCCACAACCGTCAGTCGCTTCAACTGTCCGAACACCATCGTCACCATCACTAATAAAGATCTGCCGTACAATTTAACGAGATGTTTTTTTTTTTTTCGTTTATCCCATTGGTACGTTTCTAGGAAGTAGAGATGATTTAAAGTAAAGTCAAAAAAAACCATCGCAGTCGCTAGAATTTTATGCAATTTTTGTAGTCGTCCCGGCATCTGGCCTTTGGTTTTGTGTGAGTATCTTTGCTCAAAGCCGGCCTTGTCGGGTTTGAAACAGCGCAATTGAGTCTCTGTGTGTGTGTCTGAACAAAAGACATAGAAACATGAAAGAAAAAAGACGGGGAAAAGAGAAGGGGGGGGGGGGGGGGGGGGGGGGGGGGGGGGGGGGGGGGGGAGATGAACGGATGGGAAAACATGTCATCATCAGGTCGCCCCTCGATGCTTTTGTAGATATGTTCTGAGTTCGAGAAGAATAAAGGGGGAAAACCAAAAGCATATTATGCCGGATCAAAAGTCATTCGTATCACCACAAGTCTAGTTCACCGACGCTAGTCGTTGAAGACATGTCAAAACACCTGTTCACAGTCAGTTTTATATATTCATAAGACAAACGCAGAGGGACGAGACGAGGGAGGGGGGAGGATGCGAAAAAAAAGTTAGAGGAGAACCCACCATTCACACCCTGTGCCAATGTGGCCGTGGCCTCCGTGGTACGTGTCCCAAGGCTGACTGTCACCACGTTTTCAATGTCGTGCTCCTCGCCGAGTTCGTTGGCCCATCTAAACACCTTTTCGTCTTCTCGCCCGTCGCCGACAACCATAAGGAAGTCAATAGGGTCCGTGTCCTTGTTCTCACACAGCTCGTGGTAAACCGTCTGTGCGGCTGACTTCTTGGTCCAGTCGACGGGCTCCACCACGACGGACCCGTCCAGTGGTATGGCGTGCACGCGCTGCGACTCGCATGCGTCGTTGAGGTGGCTGGCGCATTCGGCCGCCTGCCGCGATGCGCCTTCGCGGTTCTCAGCCTCCTCGTAGTGGAAGATGAAGCTGCACCGCCGCTCTTCTATCTCAGCTCCGGGCGTCCTCTCCAGGTAATACTTCAGTATAGGCTTGACGGACTCCTTCCACCCAGCCACCTTGCTGCTGTCCGCCATCTCGCGCCACTCATCACTGCCCGCCGCCCGGAGGAAGCAGCCGTTTTCGGCAATAAGACCTAGGCCGGGCGCCCGCCGGAAGACGCCCTCGAGCTCTTCCGGTCTCCGCCCCGACATGACATACACCATGTTGCGCTCATCCATGAGTAGGTCGTTAATTATATCCAGGGTCCGCTGTGGGCTGACTGGGATTATCTGGTTGACGGGGCCCCAGCTGACCAGGGTACCCTCGTAGTCCAGGATGAAGAGGCGGCGGCTCGCACGCCCGTACTTCTCCATGAGGTGCGGCAATGACAGGCGAGGGACAGCCACCTGATCACGCCTGTGCTGCTCATTGTAGGCATTCTCTAGGTGCTTGAGGAATTCGTTGAACCAATGAGCGCCCGTGTAGCAGCAGACGGTGCTGTAGAGCTTGTCCCAGCGAGTCTTCTTCTCCTCCTCGCTCATCTCAAGAGCGCGCTTGATGGCCTCGGCACACTGGCGGTAGTCCCAGGGGTTGACCGACAGCTCGTTCCGATTGAAGAGGGATGCTGTACCGGCAAACTCGGATAGGATGAGCGACCCGTGCTTCTTGTTGGGCCTCAGGGCACCGTCCTGGCAGAACAGGTACTCGTGGGAGGTTAGGTTCATGCCCTCACGCTGGCTGGTGATCATGATAGCGTCAGCAATTGTGAGAAGTGCAAGGTACTGGGCGTAGTCAATGTCCTGCTTGAGGTATACGACGGGCTGATAGGCAAGGTTGGCCCAGGACGAGTTGACACGCGTGACAATGTCGGAGACGGTAGCATCGAGGTCACTCTTCTCGCTCGTCGATAGGGCCACCTGAATGAGGACAGTCTGGCCCCGCCACTGGGGGTTCTGGTTGAGGAAGAGCTCATACGACAGCAGCTTCTGACGGACGCCCCTAACGTGATCGAGCTTGTCACGGGCGACAATTAGGCGCTTGCCCTGGTAGCGCTCCTCCATGATGCGGAGCCACTTGAGAACCTTGTCGGAGCCACGGTGCTCAGCCAGGCTGACTGGATCGATGCCGATGGCCATGCTCGTGACTTCGACGAAGCGGTCTTCAAGCTGGACTCCCTCCGGTGTGGCCTCGACGTTGAGTATACGGCTGCACGTCTGCAAAAAGTGGCGGGTGTACTCTGGGATCTGGAAGCCGACGAGGTTGGCACCAAGCATGCCCTCGAGAAGCTCCTTGCGGACGGCGAGACAGCGGAAGACCTCGGACGAGGGGAAGGCGACATGAAGAAAGAAGCCAATCTTGGCATCGGGCAGCTTACTGCGGACCATGCTGGGAACAAGCAGTAGATGGTAGTCGTGGATCCAAATCACATCTCCTTTCTTCCAGTTCTTGACAATCTTATCGGCAAAAGCTTGGTTGACGTTGACGTAGTACTTCCACGAATGATCCTCGTAAGCCTTGCTCTTGGGATTGTCGGGCATCTGGTAGTGGAAGACGGGCCAAAGGATCTGTTTGCAGAAGTGGGTATAGTGGCCGTCAAAATCTTTGTCGGAGCAGAAGACGGTCAGCATATTATGCTCAAGGGCCAGAGTGGACTCGATCTTGTCCCTCTGGGCGGTGCCGTCGAGAGCGTCGGTGGGCATGCCGAGGGTTCCGACAAAGATCAAGTCGTCGAGGGAGCCACCGTCACGGGCGGCAGCCTCGGCGGCGTTGCGTAGACCACCGTTACCCTGGTCAGCATCGACGATGCGCCAGCGGGCAGATGAGAAGACCCTGTCATGGCTATCGCTGCGGACCCGGGGACTAGGCTGACAAACGCCACGACGACCAAGCTCCCAGGCCTTGTCATAAGTGCGGGCATGCTCAGAGATGGCGGCAGGAGGCGGCGAGTTGGCTCGAGACTTGGGCTGATTCTCACGGATACCCCAGATGACAGACTCCTTGTCGGACGGGGATCCTAGATCGTGGGGGAAGCGGACGCGGGCTCCGTCCTCATTGCCAAAAAATTGGTCGCCATTGATGCTGTCGTCGTCACCAGTGGGCGTCTCAGGCGGGGTGATGTTGGGACGTGGGGCGAACAGACTGGGAGGGGCTGGGTCGGTCACGACGGGGCCCGTAGATTTAGAGCTTTGTGCAGCCGATGGCAAAGAGGAAGTAATCTTTCGGTCGACCGTGTTGCGTCGGCGGGATCCCGGGAGCTGAAAGTGGATGGTTTTGGGGAGAAAACTAGAAGTGGGATGCAGTGGTTCAACAGATTAGCCTTCAATGACAATACTGCGGCGAAGCCCATGAAGTACTATTGGGTTAGGTAGTAGAGACGGATATAATTTGGAATATGGAAACGAGATGGTGAGGAGCAAACACATACAGCGAACATATGAAGACAGTCATGATGGGCTGTGGTGACGCAGACGACGGATCTGGAGGGAGACGAGGGGAATAAAAAAAAGAAGAAAATCGCCCTGTATGCTGATCAGTATAACTGGAGGGGCTCCCGAAACCAAGAGGCCCCACGTATAGGGTGGGATTGTGCGGGCACGAGGTACGCAGCAGCACCGACAAAGGGAAATGTCGCACCAACAAAGGGGCGGTAGTGAAACCGGTAGACAAGCAAGAATTCAAGATGTCGAGATATCTGTAGTAAAGGTGACGTTGATTTTTTTTCTGTCTCTTTTATTTTTTTTGGTCTTATCGAGGGGGCGGGGAGGCTGTACGGGTGCCAAGATTGAGAGAAAGTGCTAGTCTTGTGCAGCTGCTGGCAACTGACGTAATAGCGGACGCGGCTTTTAACGAAGGCGGCTGTACAGATCAGAAGAGGGCTCAGGAAAAGCAAGGGGGGAAATGTGACTGATGTGAGATATTATAGGATGGAAGTGTAAAATGGTAGAGGGATTATTGGTGCCGGTCAGCCGAGCGGTTGTCAAAATGAAGTTTTCTATTCAACAGTATTGCGACGTTGATGGTAACGTCAAGTAGAGAGGTGACGGGAGGAATGGGTGAGAAGCTTAGTAAGATAATATATACAGGTATATTAGATGCTCAGATATGGGAATGGGCCCAAACGACGGACATTTGGGGCATTAGAGGAATGAAGTGAATGTTGGATTGTATTCATTGTTTTTATCCTCTGGTTATGGATACAGAGGCGATTTGTTGACACCCGGTGATGCTAGTGCTCACACATGATTGGAATGGCTGGTACATGAGGTAATAATAATACTGTAATAGCCGTGTGAGAGGGTGTGATGCCATCCTGTCACCATCATCGACTACGACACAACATTGATCTTGATCTTTCGTAGGAATCGGAATGCACTGCTGCATGTAGGTAGTGGTACAGAGTAGTAATAGTAGAATAGAGATACTCGTACTCGTATTTTATTTACATGCATTTCAAGAACAACATAGCACGCCGCTGCTGATCGGTGATCTCTGATGCGTGTAAACATCTATGATGCGGGGCCTTGCAGCACTCTAAACCCCTACCGCACCGTAAATGCAAGCCCCCCCCCCCCCAGCACTCCCAGCATTATTACCATGTCAGCATCGTACGGGATCCTAGCATCATGTTCCGGTGACCTTGTTTGATTTGTCCATTTCTCCTATGAGTGTCTCGCCCATCCCGGCTGACGTGCATCTTATAAGTAACGCATTGTGTTTGTACTTGTCTTTGCGCTATGTAATAGGAACAAAATGATGATTCGATGTATTTATTGTTCTGTGACGGAGTAAGATGTCACGGAGTGGTTATTCTTATCGTCTATGTCCATACTGTGGCATTCAGGATCTTGACACATGTATAACAATGCTCCCTGCCCTCTAAATGCACTAGATAGGCAAGTGCACTCCTTCTTCCCCCTTCCCCCACCTTCCGCCTGCTGTGGTTAATGTCATCATTTCCATCAGCCTCTTCCATACTATTTCCTGATTTACAATCACTACTAACACCGATAATTCACTGATTAAGGACCGATCACTCGTATGCCCTGTAACCTGGACGCTGAGCCTTAGTACTAAACTAGACCATAGCCCATGGGACATCATCATCTTGCTCTTTTCCCCTTCCTCTTCCTCTTCTTCCTGGTTGATACCGCCATCATCGGAAAGCACACTGCGCAAACACCGAATCGCACATTTGCCGAATGGCAACCTTCCCGCACCACCCGCTGATCCACATGGCCGTCATCGGTCCTCCTGTATCTGTGTCTGTGACGCGCATTTACGGCGACGCCGGATGAGATACAATACGACAACCAGGACAGACTGCCCCTGCATAGTCAAGGACTGTGTGCTTGTTGACGGTAGTCAGCTATGGTAGCACCGTTCACCCGCAGTGGTAAAGTGCGTGAGGCTATTCATGATAATTGACATGGTTGATCGGCGAGGTCTTCTCACCTTGGTAATAATAACGCGTAGTGGCGTATGTGTGGGCCAGCATCTCGGGATTCCGTTAAGATCGTGGATTGTCGCATAGTATTGGCCAATATTCTGGTATCATTTGACTAAAAATAATGAGCGCTAAGTATATTGACACTTTGCAAAATGAGAAACGAAATAAGAGTACCCAGTTTGTGATATGGACAAGCGGGAAGTGGAAGAAGAAAGAAACATTAAAGACGAGCCTCAAGGCTATCAATAAGATTGCAACGTATCTCCATAAAAAGGGCATTAAAATAACGAGAAATAACCTGCTTGTGACGAAGATATGAATGTACTCCTACGTGGAATTCAGTGATAAAGACCTACAAGGTGAAAAGGGTACGATTATCAGCCATAGTTATCAATATATAAGTGTGCGTTGATGTGAGGAGCATCTCGTAGAGAAGGTCGGTGGGGCGTTATACGAGCATCATCTCGGTTTTCCCCTCGATCCGCAAAAACAAACTCAACCGTATTAATACCGATTATTACCACCCAGGTACACCAGTCGTCTCAAAGCACGTACTATTATTGATTACCCGGACAAAAGTCGCCGACACTCGTCTTCATCATCACCAAGGAAAAATACCATGATTTGTCAAGTTGCCACCTTGACGCATAATCTTTGTTTCCCGCTTAGAAATAGTCTCAGCCAACTGCCCCATATTACCCATGGTATTATCAAGGTTACATGCCCAGGAAAAAAACATGTAACTCGACCCGGTATTCGAAAAGAGAGGCATATTTCTCTTGTTGAAGAGGTCCGTCCTATTGCCCGCCCTGCTGTATGCGCGCGCTGGGTCAACAACATATTACATTATTAATGCTACAGGTGACCCCTCTACTCTATATTGACGCAATAATAATTGCTAGAGGTAATACGATTATGAGTACAAAGGCAAGCGGGTCCGCTCTGTTTTTCCTGTAGATATTTCAAGGGAAGAACCTAGTCCAGTATCGATTACATCACCAGACAAGAAGAAACCACTCTTCAAGAAATAACAATACACACGCACACACACACACACAATGGCTCCCGTCTTCCCTCCTTCTCGGACCGTCAAGACGAATAGCGTCACTCCCGCTCCAGCCAAAGGCGTCTCCTTCTTCACCCCGGCACAGGATCCCCCAGCCGGAACGGCCCTCAGCACCCAGGATGGCCAGCCCATCCCCAAACTCTTTACCCCGCTTAAAATCCGTGGCGTCGAGCTGCCCAACCGCATATGGGTGAGCCCCATGTGCCAGTACAGTGCCCATGAAGGCTTCCACACGCCTTGGCACCTCACTCACTACGGAGGCATCGCTCAGAGGGGGGTAAGTTTTTGACGCGTTCTTATAATAGCATGTTTCTCCCTTTATGACTTTGGGTTCTATAAGTAAGAAGAGAAGAGAAAAAGTCAGAGTGGATATGGCTAATACATGAACAACAGCCCGGTGTCATCATGGTGGAGGCTACCGCCGTCCAGGCTCGGGGACGGATCACCCCCGAAGACTCTGGCATCTGGCAAGATGCCCAGATCGAAGGCCACGCCGCTACCGTCGAGTTTGTGCACAGCCAAAACGGCGTGGCAGCGATCCAGCTTGCGCACTCGGGCCGCAAGGCTTCGACCACGGCTCCCTTCCTGCCGGCTGGCATCGCGGCCGCCGATGTGGGTGGCTGGGCTGACGACGTTGTGGCGCCCAGCGCCATCGCGTACGACGCTCAGAATCCCACTCCCCGTGCCATTTCGCTTGACGAGATTGCCGAGCTGCGGCGGGACTTTGTCTCTGCGGCCAAGCGCTCCCTGGCAGCCGGCTATGACGTGATCGAGCTGCACATGGCGCACGGCTACCTCCTGTCGACCTTCCTGTCGCCCGCCACCAACAAGCGCACGGACAAATACGGTGGAAGCTTTGAGAACCGCGTCCGCCTTGCCCTCGAGCTGGTCGAGGACGTTAGGGCTGCCATCCCCGAGAGCACGCCCCTGTGGGTGCGCATCAGCGGCACCGACTGGCTAGACAACAACCCTGAGTGGAAGGGTGAGAGCTGGACCGTTGAGCAGTCGGTCGAGCTAGCCAAGCTGTTTGCCGAGCGCGGCGTCGACGTCCTTGACGTGTCAAGTGGCGGTATCCACCCCATGCAAAAAGTCAACCCTGGCCCCGGGTACCAGGCCTTCCTGGCCAAGCACATCAAGAAGGCTGTCGGGGACAGGATTCTCATCAGCACCGTGGGCAGCATCAAGGATGGCCACCTAGCGCAGGAGCTCATCGCCGGTGGCAAGGATGCCGATGACGCGCCGCTGGACCTCATTGCCGCCGGACGCATGTTCCAGAAGAACCCGGGTCTGGTGTGGGCTTGGGCTGATGATCTGGGTGTTACCACCAGTTTGGCTCATCAGATTGGATGGGGATTCGGTGGCCGTCATGCCAAGGTCAAGGACTCCGCCAAGCAGAATCTCCCGTAGAAGGAAGACAATAGAACAATAGAGTACGCCTAGCACAATGGCAGATGAATATATATATATATATATATATATATATATATAGAGAGAGAGAGAGAGAAAGCTACTAGTAAAGGGTCACGCAATGGTTATATAGGTATGATGGCATGTACGTTCAATCATTGCGATCCTCCCCATTTTGAGAGAGAAGCACCGCACCCAAGATTGTCCGCTAGGATCTTTTCTCCATCCTCTGTCTCTCAGTATTCAATGGTCTTGGGAGCGACGGCTAACCGGCTCCTCGCACCGACAATAGAGAAACCTGGATGTTGGTTTTGCGTTGTTCAATATTTGAATGAAGAAGGAAAAGGAAAAGGAAAAAAAAAGGAAGAGGAAAATTTTGGGATAAATATATGACAGAAAGATATGGGGCGGGTGACTAAAGTGCATCTAATTGGTCAAAGTACTTTCTGGTTTTTCTCTGCGCCACAAGGCTCAGGCTGCTACGAGAGATCCTTGACTTCAGTAATTACTTACCCTACATATCACTTTGTATAGCACCCACGATTGTATGACTAAGCAGTCAGAGGCTGCTGCATTCAAGAAGGTTGGAGAAGAGCATTTGTTTCATTAGTTAGGCCACAGCATTCGTATGCATCTGAGTCTGCTACGAATTGTCCTGGCACATAGACAGTATCTTCCATAATGGACCTTGATAGCAATTCGTCGCTATGGTTCCAATTGATGGGTAAAATACGACAGCTCACGCTCGCGTGGCTAGCATCGTATAACTATCAGACTGAACACAGGCTTCTTTCATGCTTATGTTCCGCATCAACACCACTGCATGAATTGACTGTTAATGGCGACATGTCACATAACTTCTTTATGAGGACCAAAATAAACCAACTATTTCTGATGGATTCCCATTATATGCCAAAGACCTATCGACTTACGACTGCAGACAGAACTAATGGTGTAAGAGCTGAAAGACAGAACCCCGCCCCGTATCTGATGACGCAACCCTTTCTGATGCCCCGCGATTGAAATAGAGCTGAATTGGACCAAAATCCCGTCCCCTTCTTCCTCTGTCTCTGTCATTTTTCTCCCCGAAAAAAAACCAACTTTTTTTTTTGTATCGCCCATTGCTGTAACCCCCCCTTACAGCTCGGCTTACTACACTACATTTCACAATCATCGTATCCAGCCACAACAACCTGCACACTTCCCCGCCATGGCATCCGACCTGGCCTCCAAGGTCGCGGGGCTAAATCCGTTCGGGTCCAAGAACAAAGGAAAGGGTAAGGGAAAAATCGAAGAGGATGACCAAGGCGAGGGCATCGATGCACGCGGGGCTGGCAGCCGCGTGTACCACGGGGTATCGCGCAGGGAGATCCGTATCAGCCCCGCCCTCAAGTCGTACCTGGTTCAAAACAAGACACTCTCCGAGGACGAAGCGGATGCCGACAACGAGGGCAACACGACGGAGGGATTGCGCCGATTTGTCGAGCGACCCTACGTCAACATTCCCCGCTCAGCGACCGACTTCTCCCACAAGCTGCCCGACTACTTCATCAGCTCTAGCCACAACACATACCTGATGGCGCACCAGCTGTACGGGACTACGTGCGCAAGCGCGTACGAGGCGGCCATCAAGGCTGGCTCCCGCTGTGTCGAGATTGACGCCTGGGACAACAGCGACCACCCGGACGAGCCCAAGGTGACGCATGGGTACACGCTTGTGTCCAACATTCCCTTCCGCCTAGTGTGCGAGACGCTGCGCAATATCTACGACGAGGAACGTGAAGAAGCTGACAAGAAGGTTCACACGGACTGTCCCGCGCTGACGCCCATTATCATCTCTCTCGAGAACCACTGCGGTGCCAAAGGTCAGAAGCGCCTCGTCGAAATCATGCTCGAGGTTCTTGGCGACAGGCTGCTGGCCAAGCCCATGGTCATTGGCTCTAAGGAGCATATCCCTCTCGCCCAGCTGGGCCACAAGATTGTCGTCATTGTCGAGTTCCACATGGTCGGCGAAGCGTCAGACGACAGTGATTCTTCGGCATCAGATTCACCAGACTCTTCCGACGAGGAGGAGGACAGAACGGCCCGCAAGCAGTACAAGGACAAAAAGAATCAGGGCAAGGAAACGTCGTCTGTCATCATCCCCGAGCTCGCCGAGCTAGGTGTCTACGCCCAGTCGGTCAAGCCCCCAGACAATTCCTGGTTCGAAACCGGCACGCTGGCCAACGGACCGCACCACCCGCTCATTAACGTTTCCGAGACGGGACTGGCGGCTCATCTGCCTGCCAATGCTGTCAGTGTGGCCAAGCACAACGCCAACCACCTCATGCGTGTATACCCTAAGGGAACGCGCATCTCGTCGTCTAATCTAAAGCCCGTGCCATTCTGGAACGTGGGGGCTCAAATTTGCGCCCTCAACGGACAGAATTTCGGCACGAGTAACCAGATCAACGATGCGCTCTTCATCGGCACGGGAGGCTACGTCCTCAAGCCGGCGCCTCTGCGCGAGGGCGGGTCGGGCACGCTGTCCACAGGCCGCAAGGTGACGCTGCGTCTCCATCTCGCAGGCGCGAGTGACGTGCCCATTCCCAAGGGCGTCGATGCCGACGACCTTCGCCCTTACGCCTCGTGCACCCTCTTCCACGTCGACAACATGGGCCGCGACCCACCCAAGCGAAGGACGTCGCCCTACAAGCCGTCCAAGCTGGGCTTCCTGCACAAGGGAGGGTCGCCGCCATCCACAGACCCAGTGTGGGACGAGGTTCTCGAGTGGGAGTACGACTACAATGAGCTCACCTTTATCCGGATACTCATTAAGAATGATGTCTCCTGGGCTGGCAACTCCAATATGCTCACGCTTGCGGTGCGGCTGTCGTATGTTACACAGGGGTGGACGCTACTCAGGATGCTGGATCTCAAGGGGAACGACACAGCGTGTAGTATTCTAGCCAAGTTCGAATTTGTCGATGCTTAGATTAGGCTTGCCATTATGGAGACATCTTTTTGGTACATGAATCTCTTTGCTTCCTGTGTAGAGCCTCTTTTTCCATTCATGAGGAATGTGTGTGGGCATAGACAACTATTTATATACGGGTACACATTCCTTTGTTCTTGATGGAAATACTACACGTATGTACTATTACTTCATCATGACATACAGCTAGTGATATTTCCGCTTGGACAGCTCTTCCTTATTTCTGACGAGTAAACATTTTACAATGAATGGTTTGGGCCTGGGTGTTGATACCGAGACTTTGAGGACAATACGAAGGTTCTCAAGAACAGTCTCGAAAGTCAAAGACCTCTAGGACAGAAAAGAACAGGGTCATAGCAAGGGAGTTGTTGAATGATGCTTAATACAGTAGCTGAGCCTTTCGTGCTAGCCAAGCTAGTACACGCGATTTGGGAATCGGAAAGCCGCCCCCACGAATTCTCATGATGACATTGGGACATTCGCCATGCCACTTTGCAATCCACAGTGGGAAAGGGGGGCTAGGAGTATATGTTTCCATACTCCCTCGTCACATCTACATGCACGGGCCGTTATCTCGTCGAGTGTGGTCCATGGCAAGAAGGGGGGGGGGGGGGTGTAACAAGGGATGGATAGACATGGCCCTGCCCTTCAGAGCATCAATTTCGATTCCCTGAGTCCCTCTCTTTCCCCTAAAATAGAAACAAAGGAGGAAAACAGTGATACAGATGTTATTCGACACTCTGGTGAGTTTGTATATTCTGCTAAAAGTTCAAATGTATGACATGTATCTGGCTCTAGTGTTAAGATTCCCTGGGGTGGGTTGACATTCCAGGGGACATGGTGATCATACGTGTCGTGGGGCTTGTGGTCATAAAGGGCTTTGAGTAGAGATTACAGAGACATGAGGTATTATTAGCAGCAGATTATATCGATCAACATCGCAAGTAGGTAATACTAGCACTTGTAAACTAAAATATCAATGCTGAGGGAGAGGGGTTGGATGGGGCTTGTTCTCGTAGGAAGTAATACTCCATATAGAGTATAGTCTATTAATACGGATTGGAGTGTTCAACTGGTATGGAAAGACGTTGTCCCAGCAGGCACCCAATGTAGATCCACATAATAGGCGCTGCTTAGGATTGAAAGATGTGTCATGTGAGAAGCTATGAGAATACTATGTTCCAACTGGTAGAGATCTACGGTGTAGGGGCAATAATAGCACTCCTCATAACCAGAAGAATTGGACAGGAGCCCGGGAGGAACGCTGCATGTGCCAGCCAGTGACACGAGTGGCATGGGCAGTAATAATACCAATAACGAATATCGTTATCCGATCACGAGAGTCCCACGAGCGAGAGCCTAGTGGTCATGGGGACTGAAGTGTTACTCGGGGATATTAGATAGCGTGCTAAAGTGAGTGTATTAGAAGAAAAGCAGAAACTAGCGTCTACCTAGTGATAGTAGTTATGGTAGGATGATGGACAGAGACAGAAGGAGAAAAGAGAAAAGAAGGGCCCGAGTGAGATGGAAAAAGCAAACAGCGGTGGTCGGGGATCAGCCATGTGATGAATGCTGTGCCAACACAGAGGGCCACTAATATCTGCGGATCCAAGAGAACGGGGCTTTATCTGATGGATTGACAGGATTGTCTACTGCTTGTAGATAATATTACGGATTACTCGTGCTCGACAGGTGAGACGGAAAGCGGTGGACCTGGTTGGGTAGAATGCAAGGCGGTGTATAGTCGTTCTGCCGACAGACGCAGACTGCATTGCTCCTTCGAGCTGTTGTTCTATCGTTCCTTCCTTGTACTCCGTATGTTTAAGCCCTGATCCGCTCGGAACGTGTGCACATAACAGCATATGCAAGGACCGTGCACTCGCCAAGATCACGAGTTAACCTCGTTAGGAAGCAGTTTTATTATTTTATCTGCATCTAGTGGGTCAGGGCATGTGTCCAAACGTGATGCAGACTCTCGCAATGTATCCTTTCGCCGTGAACTAGAAGTAAGGTTACTAGGAAGATATCTTGTAAGCAGTACACTTGCTCTAATTTCACCTACACATATTCTACTACGTAAGTAATCTGTCGAGAGGAGGAGGGACCATTTGCTAAGCAGAACATAACATATGTAGCTTTGCCTACAGCCTAGCCGGCTTTTGTCGTCGCGAGGGCATCACTTCAGACGATATAATGGATAAAACCGAGCCCAGCGAAGCCGAAAATCCATTGAATCGACCGGCTAGAGGATGACTTGAGGGATATCCTTTTGGTCGAAGTCCTTTTTCCGGAATTATGGCAGCAGGTAGTCGTTATGTTCTTGTCTTTATTGTTGTGTCGCCGGACTCCACAGGCTTATTGTCGAGTCCGGCTTACCTAAGCTATATATGATTTCCTATAACACATTTAGTATAATGGTGATATATCATTTCCTCACCACACAGGTTATGTTCTAATACATGTTCTGAACGGATCAGGACCTTGGTATTATTACCTTGCTCCCTTTTACAGCATCACCATATTTTTATCCTTTTCCACTTCTTTCCCTCCTTTTCTCACTTTCTCTCTCTATAACCCACCCCGTCTTACGGCGTACATGACTCTACGAGCCGTTTTTTTCGGGCGCTTTCCTTTCTGAGGTCAGATGTCTACGATACGACCAAGTCAAAGAACCAACCAGTCTGAATGAGCAGACCAGCCTAGTCAGAGTAAGGAAAACTGAGCAGCAACAACAGCTTCACTCTGCCCCCTCCCCCCCACCGTTTACTCGCACGCATATTCCGACTATGAGTCTATGACTATCAGTATGGAAGGGGGAGGGGAAAGGATTGAGTGGGGATGAGTCATTGTGGACACTCCACGGAGTAATACCTGGTCTACGAAGTACCCACGCTTGGTTTGCCATGGATGCTGTTCGCACCTGTCCGGCTGTTCCAGACAGTGGGACCCCAGCAATGGCCATTGTACTCGTAGAATATTTGCTACGTGGAGAGGGTGTGTGAATGGGTAAATAGTACACGGCAGGAATATATCCATTTGCGAAAAGTTCTATGGTAATGCTACGGGCGTGACGAATGATCAATGACTGTTTGCACGCTTTTACTGGACGGTACAGTATCACCAAAGCCTTGCACATCTCGTATAGGCTGTAGGCTGTAGTATCATTTTAACATGCCCTCAGGGGGAACTATGGCCCATGACATCACAGCGCCCGGCTCCGCGTCACGGCATGTTTCGACTAAGCCTACTCTGGTCTTGGATAAAAAACGCCACACGGTCATTGTTGGACCCCAAAAAAAAAAAAGGGGGGGGGGGGGGGGGAAGAGAAGATGTCTCCCCGCCGCCTATGTAGAGCAGCTTATGGTTCGAGTCGTGACAATGATTCGAGAACAACAAAAAGAGAAAAAGGCGTTGTCGAATAAAAGAGGGGCTTTACGGGGCGTATTGCTACTATGTAGGCCGCATCTGACAGCCTGCGCTAAACTAGAAGTTGTATCGATTTTTCTCTCCTTCCTTGGTCCTCTTCTTCTTTCTGGGACGGCGTGTCGGGTATCTTTAGTGATGAGGCATACTACAAATATAGTACCGTAGCATTAATACCTACGGTACAAGTAATAGTTATAATAGTACTAGGACAGTATTATTTTACAGAGTATGGTTATGTGAATACCCCCGTAATACTTGTAAGGGGTAAAATGGCGCGTGGTAATGACATAGGCTACGGTCGGGGTAGACTAGGGTGGGGGGGAGGTTAGACGCACTCACACAGATAAAGAGAGAAAGGCAGAGAGAGAGTGTGTGTGTGTGTCAAGATAATAATAATGCTATCATGTACGGATGATATAAAGACCCATGGCCTCATTCTCACCGGTTCCTTTAGTGTGTGCCATTGATGGACAGTGGTGTGTCGATGAATGCACCAGATTGGGCACGACCCTGTCGTGTGTGGGTGGATGCGACGATGCGTGCGACAATACCGTCCCGACTCGGGATTTTTTCCTCTTTCAAGAGGACGTCAGTACGACTACAAGTACGAATACTATACATATCACTGTATGTCTACGATACTACCTAGTACTACGAGTAATATATCAGCAGTACATCGATGAGTAGTAATTGATAGTAATCATGTTCATCCATCGTACGAGAGTTGAAAATGTTGCTCCATTGGCGGCGATACCGCGACATAATGACGGTAATATTCTTCCTTCTTCCGGTTCCTATCCAAATAGGAGTTATTAGTAACAGAGAGCAACAGAGGTATCATCTTAAGTAATTATATATTACTACATGTATGTGTACGTCGTCCAACTGAACCAAAAGGATATACATTACGCGTAGCAACCGGCACTCATGAGAAGGTATCCGGTACATATGGCGTCACAACCTGCCGCCTCCCCCCCCCCCCCCCCCCCCCCCCCCCGCCGATCCCTCCCGGCTGCCAATCCAACCTGCGCTCGGTTCTCTCTTGGCCATTCGGTCCTCTTGGCGTCTAGGGAGGAGAGGTCTTTGTCTTTCTCTTATTCCTCTTCTTCTCTTTGGACGAGAACTTGGTTGGCCATGGGGGTGGAGAGTAGGGCGGCGAGGATTAGTATTGTCCTCCTCCCCCTCTCTACCTCCCCTTTTCCCTTCGTCTACCCCCCTTCTCTCAACAGCTGGTACATGTATGCATGTGTCTGTACGGTAACATAGGTATTCATACTTCGTAGCTTGTACGGAATAGCCCCCATACGGTAAACCAACTGGCCAACTACGGATACTGGTAGCAGCCAATAGTCCACATGACCGTGGCCCCGTTGTAAGGACAATCCTCATTTCCCAAAACGCACGTCACTGTTGAGAGAGTTAGGATAGGGCAGGGCGAGCCGACCAACCCCCCACCCGATGGGCTAGTGGGGCTTTTTTTTCTTATGGCCAGTGGAACCCGCTTGTTGTGTTATTGTGTAGCTAACAGCTTCTACGAGTATTCTAATTCTACATGTAGTAATAGTATTTACTTTCAGCAGTATTCACTTTCCCCTTTGCCTTGTACGTACATGTGTCACCATGTCCAGAGTTGTGGACAGTATTGTTAGACATTGAAGAATTCGTCACGTTGAAAGTAATACCATATAAGACGGCACCGTCACGATGACGATAATGCACTGGTTTTTTTTCCCTTACCCAGACAGCTGGACGGGAGCTACAAACCTACGAATTCTGACTCAGAGATAATATAATACGCATATAAAACTACACGTCAATAAACAGCGTCATGTTATCTTCAACACAGCTAAATAATCCCATTTTATCTAGTAGTAGCAATGGTAGAACGATGCTCTGTACTGTAGCGATCAAGTAAGTCAATGTACCTCTCGTCATATCCAACCACTGAACTTTTTTGTCGTACCAGACTACAGATTACAGTCTACCAATAGCACTCACCCCCCCCCCCCCCCCCCCCCCCCCCCCCCCCCCCCCCCCCCCCTCCCCCCCCAAAGGTAACTCACTCCGCTCTCCTTGCTCCTTCCTCCACTCCACACTCCTTCTTTACTACATGCACGACACTACTCTTTACCCTCACACACCTCCCCCTTTACTTTTTCCTTTTCTTTCTCTTAACAACTTGCCCAACACCATTACCCACGACAACCATCTAGTCTGCCTTCCCAATATTCTCCTCCTCTTCTTTCTTCATTCCTCTCACGGTTCTTCTTCTCCCCCTTCTTTCTGGCCCTCTCGCTTTACTCTACGACAGTCTCCATTGCGCCACGTGCCTCACCCGACGTCCCCCCTCACGAACTGTCAACATCCTCCGCCCCTCCACCCTAGTCAACAACACACGACCCTTGTGTGTGTTTGTGCTTCTTCACCGACGCCACTCCCAAGCATTGTACGACTTCGGAGCCATCCCACCAACACCTCAATCCGCGAAATACACGTGCGCCGGACCTCCCTCCTTCTCTTCGATCTCCACTCGTCCCTCGTTTTTCTCCGCTACCACCTCGCTTCGAACTCTTCAGCAATCTGGCCTTGTAGTGACAACTTTTCAACTTGGTGCCGTTGTTGCTTAGTGGAAACAAAGACTCAGCTTTTGCATTCTTCGCTTTCCCTTGCATCTTCCTTTTTCTACGACTCAGCTGGTCTGAAGGGAAACCCTCCGTTGTTTCTCTCTCCGAACTGCTCCACATTGCATCAACACGGCACATACACAACAATGGCCGAAACCCAAGATGCTACCGTGAGCCCTGCTCCCGCCACTTTGGAGCCTCAGCCTACCCCTGTCCAGCCCACGCCTGCTCCCGTTCTCGAGAGGTCGAACTCGTCCCTGTCCACCGCAGCCACCTCGGAGGCCAACGAGGTCGTCATCCACCAGCCCATTCCCCAGAGGCCGCGTCTACCCAGTCGCAAGAGCAGTGGCCCGCTCGTCGTCCCCCGCGACAGTTCCGCCGTCGGCCCCATTGAACCCCATTTCGGTCCCGATGATGTCAGGGCCATGAGCCCCAGGAGGACGAGTGAAGATATCGACAAGATGGGCAAGGAGGCACGCAAGGAGCTCAGGAAGTGAGTCTTCTCTTTTCCCTCTACCCCTCAGCTCCTATATGCTAATACGTTCTAGACATGCCCAAGCTCTGCAAGAGTCACTCTTGACCATCTTCAACCGCATCGAGGCCGTTCGCGAGGAGCACGACAAGCTCGACAGCAACAACAAGTTCCTGCAAAAGTACATTGGTGACCTCATGAGCACCAGCAAGATTACTGCCCCACCCAGCAAGGGCAAGAAATAAGCTAAGGCGACTCGTGCTTCACACTTGAAAAGGGCGACACGACAATGCCCATCGGTTTCCAACCTCGGATCCAGCGCCATAATAATCCAACAAAAAGTAATGCAACAAAATCTCGGCGTTTAACGAAACCTCTATGCCAACAGGACGAATAGAACGGCAAAAACAAGAAAAAATAATACCGGAAAGAAAGCATCAACACTTGTCGTGTTCAATATTTTTACAAAACAAACGACTTGGCACAGTCGGGGGATTCTCTTCCTTCTTTACCCTTCTTCTACCGACTAGATAATGTCTTCCAACTCCCTCGTACTGTGGTCTCTAAACCAACATTTGATACCCGCGCTACAACGGCGCTTTCTCAAAACGACACCTTCCTCGCCTTGCTTTTTTGTTTGGCCGGCTTCTTCTTTCTGCCCTCGTTCAGTCGGCACCTCTTTTTCTTGGATCGTCGGAACACAAACTGTATACTACTCTTCTCAACGAGAAATGAATGTTGAGCATTGGGAAGCCTATGCTTATGAAACCGCGGCATATAGTGGTGGAAAGCGCATGCAGCAACTTAGCGTCTTTGCGCGTTTTATTTCCAGAGGAAGAGGATTTCTTGACTTCATTATATCGGTCTTTCTTCTACAAAGCTCTCTTTTTCGCCCGTCGTCTTCTACACGATATTATGAGCATAATCATGGCGTTGCTTTCTAACCCTCCTACCCCCTCTTATGAAGGATGTAAAGAGATGGGTGTCGTCTGTCTTCCCTTTCTCTTCCCTTTTGAATATTGTCTCTTTATCTTTGCATTAAGTTTTCCTTTTTTTTTCATGTGCTTCGGTGTGGTATACATTAGATGATTCAACACTTAAAAGAGCTAAAGTCACGAATTAGAAAAAAAAATATTAAAATTTCTCAGGTGCTAAACGAATTCCTTTTTTTTTTTTTTTTTTTAAAAAAAAAAAAAACCGCGACATGATCTCAAACAACCATCTCAGCTGGCGTTGCATAACGAATGTCCAAATCTATTTGATAAAAGTGGAACATGACATGTCCCCCCCCGCTGCCAGGCATGCGTGCGTGTGTGTGTGTGCTGAAACCCTCGTCATGGTGTTGCAGTTGCGCCGCCAGCTAGCTGTACGGGTTTTAACATGTATTATGCGTGCGTCAACTTTCGGTACAGAGTAATATCACGGCGTACGTAGTGCCCTGTGCAGGAATTAGGATGCATCAGGCATGTATTGTACATGAGCGTGGGCGTCGACGCATATGCACGCTGTCAGGCGACGGGGGTTGATTTTTTTCTCTTTCCCTTTCTCCTGCAGGGATAAGACACGATGACGCTATATTACACCAAGAGTAACTGCGGATAAATAATATTGATCAAGGAGGGAGGGGGAGGGGGGGAAACCATATACGGATAAGAGAGAGAATGCGGGAAGAAGAATGGAGATTTTCGGTCTCTTGGTTGTTTTTTTTGTGTTTTTTTTTTCAAAGAAAAAAAAGAAGAGGAGAAACGGAGAAAAGACTAGTGATAGTAATACTCATGCTACGATCCTCTCCCCCTTGTTCATCCTTTCCCCCGACAGAACAAGAGGCTGACCACCTGGTCCACTAGCATCAAGACTAACAGTAACATGATGACGTCCACCGACGACGTGGATTGTTTCCCCCAGGTTTCTAAAGTCCAGTTCGAAGGACTGAGCGTGGCTGTCGAGCGGCTCGCCGTCTGGACCGATCTCGCGAATCTCCACGCCGGGATAGGCGAGATGGCCCTCCCGCTGGGCGATGAGGGTGAGTGGAATGTCGGCCTCTGTCTCTGCCGTCGACGACGAAGAGGACGACGGGTCATTGGCGGCGGTCCCTGGGATGACAAAGTGCCCCTTTCGTCGGCCGCCGAGTAGCCACGCCTCCGGTGGTGCCGCGACTTCGTAGCTGAATTCCTTGTCTTGGGAGGGCCCCGTTGCGCTGGTGTCCCACCGGCGTGTCCAGCGGAGATGGACCGTCGCCGGGACCACCTGACCGATTGTCACGATTGCCGTGGGCGGCGGCGGCACCTGCTTGGCAGCCTGGCCAGAGGTCAGGTTCAGTCGCATGTCAGCCGTGTGCACGACCGAGATGGACTGCACCTCCACTGGGATCATGATGGACGCCTTCTCCATGACACCCCCGGACGGGAGGGACACGCGTCGGTGCGACGACAGCCACTCCTCGAAGAAGGCCGACACCGTCGCGCCAATGTCCTGCTTCGTGCCCGGCACCTTGCCTAGCCCCCCAAAGTGCTCCCTCCATTTGATGCCCAACAGGAACCCCATGGGTATCTCGCCCAGTAATGCCGCCCTTTCCAGAGATGGCCCGTCCATGGCGGCCCTGACGTGTCCGATGATGACCGCCTCGATAGCCCGCTGCAGCGGTGCCAGGGATGTCTGCTCCAGCGCCTTGGAGATCGTCAGGCGTATCACCTCTTCAACCTCCGAGTCTACCTGCGAATAGTACAGTTTGAGGTACATTGTTTTTTCGGCCTTCTTGGCCGGCCCGTCGGGCTTGGACGGATCACCTGTCTTTGTCCGCTTGATCTTGTATAAGAATGTCGCAGGCTGCTTGGCAAACACAATCACGGTGCCCGACGGTGCCCGTCCGGACGTCGACTCGAATAGCTTCGTGCCCTGCAGCTCTGATCCGAATAGTCGTAGTGGGCTTCTGGTCGCCGTGGTCACGCTGAATCGCGAGAAGAGGGACTCGTGTTTGAACACGTCTTGCACGTTGACGTTGAGCGCCAGCGCCACGGACACAGGCTGCGACTTGGCAAAGTGGAATGTCGAGTCCGAGTCAGGGTCGGAGTCTGTCTTGTACGTCGCCTCGAGCTTGGCCGCCACCACGCCCACGTCGTTCTCGACAGTAAATGGAAAACGCACAGTCACTGTCTTGCCCGCACCTACGGGGTTGAGGTGGAACACGCCAGACTCAGGCGGCTTAGCGAAGCCACCCTCCGAGCCAACCAGCTTGGCCTCTGTCATCAGGAGTCGGAGTCCACCGGTCGCAGGCTTCACGCGAATCTCGCACTTGGATAACGAGTTCCACCCGGGACGCACAATTAGGTCGAGACAGTTGCTCTTGTCGAGCGATGTGTGCTTAGATGCCACCAGTTCAACGTCGAATGCACCAGCGCGTTGGTAGAGTCTGACGTAGGGCTTCCTGAATACGTAGTTGGGAGCCGTCTCCTTCTGCAGGATGTTGCGGTCGTAGTGCAGTACCAGGTTGCCCGACACGATGCTGAGGTGATCAACCTTGTAATCTCCAGGAATAACGGACTGCATTTCAATGTTAGAAGAGATGCCCGTGAGCCGTTGTGATTGTCCGCACACGTACCTTGCACTCCAACTTGATCGTGTTGTGGCCTCTGCTCAGCACCGCACCAGCACCGGCCTTGAACAGCAGTTCCTTAAACGGCCCGTTGGCGTTGGTACACGACACCCGCAGCGCTGCCGAGTCTATTTTCAGATCCCCTGGAAGCAGCGACCTCAGTGATACAGCCAGCTCACAGCTATCCCGCGAATCGTGATAGACTGGCGGACCGGTCAGCTCGACATCGGTAGCAAAGTTGAGTAGCGGCATCTGAGCTTCTACAGGTGTGGACGCCGCGAGGTCCGTGATGCTCCCCACGACCTCCGATATGGCCGACATGTCTATGAGGTCAACAACATTGGCTGCCTTGACCCTGGTGCTGGTGGATGACGCCACCCGACGCCACCGTTCTTCCTCTGCCGCACATGCCTTGGTGAGCAGCTTGAGCGCGACGCGCACGTACTCCTTTGACTTGATCTCCTGCAGGCAGCGCGTATACATGACCAGCATGGACAGCTCCAGCCAGCTCCAGCCACTGTCACCGAAGAAGGGCGTCGTCTGGCAGAAGAAGGAGGTCGCGGCGCGGTACTCTTTTAGATAGAACTTCAGCACTGCCAAGTCCGACATGTCGGCATGGACTGAGTAATCGTGGCCTGAGACGATAAAGTGCCGCAGAGACTTGTCAGTCAGGATCTCATATAGTCGGTAGAAATCATCTGGGTTGTCCACTGCTGTTCGCAGCAGTTTACTGTTGATTCCAACCGTCGACGGCTTCTTTGCTTCATCATCAGCAGTCGTGGAAACGTTCTCCTCATCGTCGTTGTCGTCGTCGAGGCTGACTTCCTGCATCTTCGGCACATTCACCTCGCCAATAAGCGGTGCATGGTCCCATCCATTGCTCCAGCCGCGCTTCTTTCCCAAGCCGTTGAGAATGCTCCGTGAGAGAAGGTACAGGTCAGCCCGTTTGGCTGCCAGTTCCTCCAGTCCAGCTCTAAGGTGGTGGGTGTTGTGGGCGTCCGCGTCAGAAAGAGTGGCGGAGCGCCCAGCAAATACATTTGGACTCGGCGGTGGCCTCTGCGTGGGACGTACATTCAGCGAAGAGGTGCGCGAGGGGTGCATCATGGTCTTGGGCTCGGGAATGGATGCCTTCGGCTCCTCCTCGCCCACGGGCGGCAGGGTTGAGGGCGGGATGGGCACGGCCTTGGTCGATGTTTGCGCAAGTATCTGTTGCGCTACGGAGAAGGCAAACGACGCCACCGTGTTGTCGATGACTTCGGCTTTGCTCGCCCCCAGACGTTCTGCCAGGCTGCTTTCGTCGCTAACGGTGGCTTCCAGGGCCGTGATGATGTCTTGCCGCAGGAGCGACGACACCGCGGGGATGAACTCGAGCGTCCTGCGGCATATCTCGGCCAGCCTGGACAGATTCTCCGACTCGGTCGTCTTCTTCTGTGGCGGAGGTGCCTGCGGGGCCACACCGTGCAGTATCGAGGCCTGCTGCTCCTTGAGCTTAGCGAGGAGCTCTTCCCTCGTCGACTGCGCATTGCCCAGACGCAGGAGCAGGGCAATCTGCCGCGAAAAGATGTAGCAGCGGAAGTCGAAGACGGACACGTTGTTGGCGAGAATCAAGTCGCGGTACGGCTTCTTGGTCGAGCTGATGGGTATCTCGTCGAACTGCTCCTTTGCCGTATCCTTGGGCTGCTGCAGATCAACGACGGCTTCCTCGTCATTACCATCATCCTCCTGAGCTTCGGAGATGATGTTCTCGATGCTTTTCCTGACAGCCTCTGTGTATCCCAGAAGGACGCCTCCGTTGTGAGCCGGCGAGCTGGCCTCTGCCTGCTCCTTCACCACCGAGTCCAGGCCGACGCTCAGCTCGTCGTAGCCAACAAGGGCATCCTCAACGAGCCCGACGTTCTCGAAGCCCTGTGCCAGCCCCTCCTTGAGGATGAAAAAGGTACAAAAGTTCCAGCCGGGGAGCGTCCTCTGCGAGTCCTTTTCCTTGATGTCCTCTTCGTACTGTGTAACCCTCTTGTCGAAGGAGGTGAGAATCAGGCTCTTGAACTTGGCAATCAGCTCAGCCCAGGCATGCTCGGCATCCTGCTCCGTCTCCGAGTAGCCCGTTGGGACGGCAGGGACCACACGCGGCAGATGGTCGTAGGGGACGTCGTTGATGCCGATGCGGATCTGGGTGATGCGATCGACGGCGCTCTTGCTGGAGCCGTTGAAGTCGGAGCGGAACTTGTCCAGGAGAGGTGTCGACCCTGTGCGCCACCTCGAGGTCGTCTTGGTCTCGGCCGTACCGCTCTCCAACTTGGCGCTGGCGCTCCTGGGCTGCGTGGCGGCGGCAGTGTTGGGGATGACGACGTGGACAATGACCCACTCGTAGGCGTCATGCCTCTCCTGGTTGCTCCCCCTCTTGGAGCCGCTCGACGGCGGCGTGTTGTTCTTGATCCACTCGCGCACCTCGGATCGGACCGAGTTCTTGTACGAGTCGTTGTCGTCGCATCGCACCAGAAGCGCCTTGAGATAGGGCGTGCGCCGCAGGCCGGGGATCTGGTGGCGTCGCCTGCCGCCGCTGCTGGCACCCCCAAACGCCGTCGGCCCCGCGGCCTGCGACGAGCTCTCTGCAGTCTCGGACGATGGTGCCCTACCACCAACGCTCTGCGTCTGGAACCCATCATCGCGCGCCGTACTATTAGAACGCCGTGTTATGGATGACGTGGGCGTCAACGTCGACGAGGAAGTGGGCTGCTGCTGCTGCTGCTCGTCTCCCGCCCCTCCGCGCACCAGGTCCACGTGTAGGGTTTCGATCGAGCGTAGGGGACCTGAATGCGACTTCCAGTGCAGGTCATGAAGGGGCAGTCGCGGGATCAGGCCGGGAGCGAGAAGCTTGTAGACATCGTGAGGATCATGGTACTCGACTGCGACAGTTTGTGTCAGTGGCAGTGTCAATGAATGGCTGATAGGGGAAGTAGGAAGGGAGGAAGGGGGGCCATACCAGTCACCTTGGACGATGAGGCGTTCTGCTGTTCCATGGCAAGCAGAGGCAGCTCGAGGATCTCCTTGACATTGCCCGGCCTGCGAGAATTGAGGGGCGTGTTGTGTATGCCGAGTGTTACTCTGTATTATTCGGTTGGCGATGTGTAGCTTGGTGGTGTTGCTCGTGGTGTAGCTGGTTGAATGCCCCAAGGCTGCACTTGTCTGGACAATAGGCGGGGCGGTGCGTGTTTGGGGTCGTTGGACGCTGTAGAGCCACTGTATTCATCCACTATAAATGCACACCGTTGGCCACCGCCGCTGTAATAATACTCGTAGCTCTCCCCTTTTATCTATTACTCGTGCCTGTATCAAAGAAACCATCCATGGAACAGATTGTTATAACTGCAACCTTTAACAGACTGCGACGATATGAAGGTGTGCCATTTCTAATAATACATGCATCTGCTGTTAAAACGCTTCTGGGAAAACACCGCCGGGAAAACATATATGAGTACATGTATGCAAACCCCGTGGCCCAAATATTATACCACTAATATAATACCACCTAATGATGTTATATAGAATACGTACATGCAATACCATTGTCAACTAATACTCTTCCTGGCCGACAAACATCTGAAGCAGGCGGGGATCACCTAATGAATGAGGGTTCTCCTTCATCGTGGTCTTAACCAAGTCCCGTGCTGTTACTCTTTTACTGACAACCCTTGACAGCATGCGCTGCGTGAGCTGCATCGCCAATATGTCTGCTCCTCGTCTCGCCCAACTTGACGACCCCACTGCGGATTATCTCGAGCCATCCGTCCTTCGGTCGGGTGAAGGCGCAGCCATTCGTTAGTTTTCCATGCCAGTCCTCGAGATCGCTGGCCTGCAGCCCAGCTCCAGGGAGAGGGGTACGCTCCTCAGCATGCATGGCATGACGACGCCCAGGGACCAAAACGTCTGCAGGTTCCGACTTCACTCCGGAATATATTACAAACTCGGGAGCAAAGTACCATGGAGCCTCACCTGGTGACATGTCTTGCCCCATGCGAATGGCGAAGCCGAAGCCAATGAGCTTGGCGCCCATGTCTCGATTGTAGAAGAACATTTCTGAGTTTTATGTTGTGCAGAGCCCGCATTTCTTCGATATATAGCAGCGCCGAAGCCACGTCGTCGAGGACCCTCCGGGCATCGTCGTAGGGGACATCCTTGAGTTCTGTTGATGAATGGCTGCACATTGCTTGTCGGGTCGTAGTAGGCTTGGCACGGATATCCCACGAAACATCCGTGTATGTCTGCGGTATAAGAAAACAATCCGCTCCGCTGACACCGAACTCATCGTATGTCCCTGTGTCTGCGCACAAGGTCGAACGAATTTCGGGATAAAGCAAGACTCGGAATTGGTGCGGTCGAAAATCGACATTCTACACCCCCATGATCTGTGCGATGTGCCCAGAAGTGTGGGAGGAATCAGAGAGGTATTGGATGGGAAGTCCCCCTCGTCATCCGATTCCTCCATGTTGGCAACGGCGTTAGATGATCGGAGGTTGGCCATAGAAGCAGTACAAGTATATTAGTCAAGGTCAGGGAATCTGGGCTTGTTTCTGAGAGGAACGATGTTCCAGTGAGGTCTCCTTTGCCAATACCTTGTGTATTTAGAACCCAGTCAAGTGGTCTGATGAGTAGGAAACTACAGTCGCGGATATGGCTTTCCCAACTCAGGAAGGTCCGATAATCACACACTCGACACATACACATGTCTGGTAGGTAAGTAATACTACTCGATGACACCAGGGTGCTCTTCCCGAAATCTGGTACAAGGCGGACTTTTTCGTACACAGTATGGTTTGCAGTGCTGAATAAATCAATCATATTGCATTGCATGCCTGGGATCTTGGATAGCAGGATGGAGTTAGTAACCGGCTGTATCCCAACCACATACCAGCAAGGTCATCGAGGTATCACGACTTGAAAGGTCGAGTTCCAAGGAACATCTTGAGTGACGGTTACAACAGGCGCAAACCGTGGGAGCCACTAGCATCGCTAATCTCGAACATACGAGGGTGTAGCTCCGAGGAAGAAAATGGTAACAGCGGTGGCCTTTTCTTCCTGTTTCAGCTGGGTGTCCATCCTCTATTTCTTGGTTCAGGAAAAATCTTCTATCTTTAAGGATGAAGATTGTGTGTAATGATGTTATCACTGGTGGCGATGATGATGGTGGCAAGTCTAAAATCTTGGAGAAATCTTGGGCAATGTTGAAAGCGGTGAGGTGAGAGCGGAATTGTGTGGTGCAATATGGTGGGGGTTGGAGGGGCAGAATAGATGATGGAGGGGCAACATCCCACTACCCCATGGCCTCACGCCTCAACTATTAGTAGGCTGCATCAAGCCTTTCGCATCAACTTCATCTCCCTCTCACCAGAAGAAGGAAACACACTTCCGGCCCAAGATGTCTACGCTGCAAGCCGTCAAGTACACCCGAGGCAAGCTGGAAGTTCTCGACCAACTGCGCCTCCCCCACGAATTTCACTACGATGCCATCTCCAACCGCACCGAAGCCTTTGACAGCATCGCATCCATGAGGGTGCGCGGCGCCCCCGCCATTGCCATCGTAGCCAGCCTCGGACTGGCCGTCGAGCTCCACACCGCGGGCGTCCCTGCCGACTCGGTCGAGGACACAGTGTCGCACATTAACTCGGCGCTCGACTACCTCAAGACCAGCCGCCCCACAGCCGTGGACCTTACCAACGCCATCAACCAGCTCAAGGAGCGCATTAGGGAGCCGGGGAATAAGGACAAGGCGGCCGTCATCACAGCATTCATCGAGGAGGCCGAGGCCATCTTTGCCAAGGACCTACAGACAAACATCTCCATCGGCACCTCCGGCGTCGAGTGGCTGCGGGCCAAGGCCGGCGCGTCCAAGGAGACACCCGTCTCTGTCCTGACGCACTGCAACACAGGATCCCTCGCCACTTCGGGCCACGGCACAGCCCTGGGTATCATCCGGTCCCTACACGAGAATGGTATCCTCCGTCACGCCTACTGCACCGAGACCCGCCCCTACAACCAGGGCAGCCGCCTGACGGCCTTTGAGCTCGTCTTTGAGGGTATCCCCAGCACGCTCATCACCGACTCCATGGCCGCCGCTCTCTTCCGCACAAAGAAGACTGAGGCCAACATTGTCGCCGTCATCGTCGGCGCTGACCGTGTCGTCCGAAATGGCGACACCGCCAACAAGATTGGCACCTACCAGCTCGCCGTCCTCGCCCGCCACCATGGTATCAAGTTCCTCGTCGCCGCCCCGACCACCAGCATAGACCTCGAGACCACCACGGGCGACGGCATTAGGATCGAGGAGCGCAAGAAGGAGGAGCTCACGCAGATTACGGGTGCCGTCATCCGCACTGATGGCTCCGTAGATGAGAACTCCAAGGTCAGGATCGCCACGGCCGACCAACGCGTCGACGTCTGGAACCCAGCTTTTGACGTCACCCCGGCCGACCTCATCGATGCTGTCATCACCGAGAAGGGCGCCGTCGAGAAGGACTCCGATGGTAAATTCGACTTTAGCCACATTATGTCTGAGCGTTGGGCAAAGGTTATCGGCAAGTGAGAAAACAGGAGAAAGGGGGAGCGTTGAATCTTCAAAAGATTACGCACAAGCTATAGATGATACCACTATTACGCATGTTATATATTTCATTCGTACATGCATTCGTTCTTCTCTCATGCTGTATAGTTGCCTAGGGCATTAAGAACAAGCTTCTGGTAATCCACAACAGCCGTCTCAAGATCACCAACGGTAATGTTCTCATTGGCAGCGTGGGCCACGAGAATGGTCCCCGGGCCGTAAAGGTACCTGGTGTGTTCACCCTCAAGATGGGGAATGTCCGTGCCATAGTTGACAACGATGCTATCGAACCCTATTTTCAACCCATGTCAGCTATCAGCGCTTTCAATCAAGAGAGCGTAGGGGGGTGAGCTAACCATCAACATCACAGTTCGTCTCAACAAGCCCATATCCCTGAGGACAGTCCAGCGTAAATGCCTCATCGTCGACCTCGTCGAGCACAGCCTGCAGCCTCTTCCGCACGACCTCACCGCCAGTCGCCTGCGGACCGAGGGCGACGCGACCCATGATCCCCGCCGTGGCCCTGGCAGGAATGACGTTGTTGGCCACCCCGCCGTCCAGACGACCGATATTGATGGTAGTGTTGCCGAACTGCTCTGAGCTGCCCAGGTCGGTATCGAGGACCTTGACGAGCGCGCGCATAATCAGCTCGTTGGCCGACTTGGCCAGCCAGGGGTACCCGCTGTGGCCGGCCGTGCCGCGCGCCTCAATATGGCACACGAGTCCACCCTTGTGCCCGCACGCAAGCTTGCTCTCCGTCGGCTCGCCAAAGATGACCGCATCAAACTCCGGGCGGCGATCGAACGAGTCGAGCGAGTCATTGAACCACCGCATCCCATCGCCCGAGACCTCCTCGCCCACAACGAAGAGAACCATGACATCCTGGGGATTGATCTCATCCTTCTCGAGAAGCTCGTCCACCGCCACAATCATGGCCGCGACGCTGGCCTTGGCATCAACGCTGCCGCGTCCGTAGATCCTCGTGTCGCGCGTGACTTCTCCCTCGTCAATACTGTACGCGATGAACGGCGGCACCGTATCAATGTGGCTCGTCAGGAGTACTTTCGGGTCCGGCGTCCCGTCATTATCGTCCGGCCATGCCATGACGTTCATCCGCTGCGCGCCGGGGGGGGTGCCCTCCCTTGGGGGGACGAATTGGACCGTCGACGTCCACCCCTTGGAGCTCAGATACTCTGATAGCCATGAGCCAACATCGTACTCCCGCCCAGAGATGGACTCAATCTCCACCAGCGACCTGTGGAGGTCCAGCAGCTCCGATCGGAATGACGGCGGTGAGGACGATGAGGAGTCACTCGGACCATGCTGCTGCAGCTGCCCTTTGCCAAGACGCGTCTGCTCTTCGGCGCAAACAGCTTGGCAGGCACATAGCAGCGAATACCACACTGATGGCGGCCGCATTTTGAATCCGGCTCAACGTGTAGTGAATAGATTACGTAGCCTTTTTTTAAGGGAAAGGGGGGAGGGGGCAAAGCTCGGGGTTGGTTGGAGTTAGAGAACCGAACCAAAAGCTCCAACTCAAGCGCAGGGGCCCATTTTCAGGCGCCAGAGTTCAATGACCAGCTAGTTGGTTACGTACAACCCCGAAATATGGGTAATCGACGCGGGACGCGAAGTTGGGTACGACCCGTAAAACATAACAGCATCACACACATTCCCTAATTGCCCCTCTTGTGGTATTAAAAGTGTACCCAGATCTCACAGAGTAGAGTTGCAGACTTACAAAGATATAAGTGCTCAAGAGAAGCCCCAACAAATTTGGTCAGTTAGTATCATTTTTTTTGAGTCCTCTTTTTCCATTTTTTCCCCCGGTTTCTTCAAGTTTCGAGACCCAAAGACAACCAGTGGTAATTGAATACATGACGTTGTCACAGCACTTATAATACACTTAAAGATACACTCTCAGAGGGAGCTCACTAAAATAACAGTTGGTGGCTAAAAATGTAACAAGGAAGAGTCCGTAGAGGAAGACGACATCATACGCTGGTTACTCGACAACCGTCGTGTCACCTTCTGCAAACGGGGTAAGGCGAGCACGGGGGAAGCCACGCTCCTCCTCGTCCTCCTTGACGTTGGCTTTTGCCGACAGCACAGTCATGTTTCTCTCCCGCTTGGTACCCTTCTCCGAAATCCCAGAGATCTTCCTCGAACCGGTCTCTTGAAATGGCTCCTTTCCCGAAAGAGTTCCAAAGGTAGCAGATATGATACGCTGTGCCGGGTCAATCTCCTTGACCGGGGCATGAGCATGAGAGCTGCCAACCTGCGGCGACTGCAGAGCACTCCACAGGATTGATGAGCCGCTCGGAACCTGGGTTTGCTGGGATGCTTCGCCCAAATCATTCGCATCACTGCCATTTGTGGCTATCGGAGACAAGACCAACGGAGATTCTTTGGAGGAGGATTTTCTCCGCTCCTTCTTTGACCGAACCTCAGTAGCGGGCAGAGACCCGGCGTAGGGGTGAGCTTTGTATGGAGGTGGCTGTTGGAGAATCGAATCCGTCAGGGATACTGCCATATCCTTGGGCACGTAACTGTTGTCCAAAGAAAAGGAGAGCCTTGAATCTGCATCATTGATTAGCAATGCGAAAAGCCCATTCGATATCATCCCACAAACCGGCCACATTGGATGTCCCCGCGTTCAACCCTCTTCCAGTTTCTGTGTTCGATGGAGGTTTGGTAATATCCGTGCCATCGCCTTGACTGCTTTCTCCGCCAAGCTGGGGGTTGCATATCATAGCCGGTATTTCGAAGCTGCTGTTGGTGGGGTTTGACACATAGTCGGGCATACTAGTGTCAGTGCTCGACTTGTGAGCCCTTCGAAGATCCTTGTTTGAATCCCATGGCTGCTTTTCCTTCCATGGCATTTGATGTATGCCGCTTAACCAGTCGAAGCCCGGGACTGGTATACCGAACTCATTCCCAAATTCTCCAGCGCCGACACCGAACCCGTTCGAAATTTGATGCAATCTCCGTCCATTACTCGAATTCATTGAGTCATTCTCCATCGCATTTGTTTTCTTTCCCGTCGGCGTTTCGTAGCCGCCAACATCCGCCCGCTTATCGACGCGCCGTCGAGGTGAGTGGGCATGGGACTCCGAACTCTCCTCGTGGTAGGTGGGAACAGACAACGAACCCCCTAGGGAAGTACGGCGCCACATGAGAGGATTGGGCCACGCTATTCCGGTATTCTCCAAGATATCTAGCACGAAATGTCAGTATACAAACATGGTTATGGGCCTGTAGATTGTAAAGTACCGAGTGGTGCATGCTGGAACGAAAAGGCTACCACGTTCTTCACTCTTTCAAGCGGCACTGAGACTGAGTCACGAGGGAAGCCCTCAGTGATGACAATCTTGACTCGACCAATGTCGTCCGCTGGACTCCAATAATTGTGCTGGAGAAGCTCTTGACGGAAATTAGGGAATCTGAGTGGTTCGAGATCGCCATTCTTGGAAAACTCTGACAATATTTCATCCCTGTCAGTCAGTGAAAGCTGCTCAGGGGGCAGACTGACCGGGCGGGCGTCATGGATCAGACATACCAAGGCCATGGGCTATGATGTGTGGCCACGATGTCCTGCGGTCAAAGCTTGTAGATCTAGAGGCTTCTATGTAAGGGACTGCAAAACAACGAGTCTAACTGGGCCAACGCACGCTATGAACCGCCCGTCTATGAACAGACGCGCTTCGAACTTGACGGTCTCGGAGTATTTGCTGTAGGATTTGGTGTACTGGCTGATGGGCGGGAAGTCGTTCCAGGAATGAATCGATATCTGGAAAGGGGTTCCCATGGGCAAGCTGGGAACAAAACAGCAAACAGTTGGCAGGCCAAAGGACGAGTTTGTATGAGCAAATTCTGCACACATGAAGGTCAGCCTTGGTCAACAAAGGGGTTTTACTGATGATAAGCACCGACCAGAATCATGTATAACGTGACAACCGACTTTGAACTCCTTCACCGGGACCTTTGAGTCCTGCGGGAAGAGCAGGATATCCCAGTCCTCGTAGCGCATTTTAGCTGAGAAGCATCAGCGAGAATTGAGACTAATGACGATGAGAACGCAGAGATCCGTCCTAGGTTATGGTGTAAAATCAGTTGAGGGAAGTACTATGGGTGATTTCCTCAAACCTCCAATGATGGAAAGATATCCCCAGCTCTTTCGAGGAAGGAACCAGAGGATGTTGTATATTGGGGAGGCAGTATGAATGGCAGACACACCACTTCGGCCCTTTCTCCTCCGTACCTGCTCCCTTCTAATGGTCTCTGGCTTTCTGCCCCCGTACCCACGCAGAGACTCGGTCTTTAGGATTTCGTTTAGGAAGGATCATCTGGACTCTACAGAATTTGCATCGACGGATGCCGGAACGGTCCTATCAGTCTCTGCGCACAGCACCAATGATAGAAACATACGAGGACTCTGTAGAGAGTTATCCTCCGAGGTATACACGAGAAGATATCACCATGGACAGAGCGAGAAGAAGGTAGACTAATATTGGGAACCAGAGGCACAACACCGTCCCTACAGAACAGAACGAAGAAAGACAGCGAAATAATATCCACATCAGCTCTCTAAGGCCCCCGTTGAATACACGCATCTACAAGAGAAACAGAGAGCAATCAGTCAAAGAGTCCTTTCTCACGGATCCTCGTCACCATCCTTCCTAGCCCTCACGGCACCAGGTCCACCCAGTTCGCGTTCCAAGCCGCCCTCAAACGTCCTCGGGTAGGCCACTTTATCGGGATAGTTGAGGTAGATGAGACCTGAAACACCAAGGACCGTCGCGACAAATGTACCAATCATGATGAGGCCGGGGCCAGGTGTCGTCCAGGTGTAGTCGTACGGGGAGAAAATGCCGAGCACATCGTTGTCCTCGTGAATCGGCTCGCCGAAGTTGCGGCGCTCTTGAGGGTCCCACCAATCAGCGTAGGGGTCGCGGTGCTGGCGCTTGATGGCCGGAGGGTTGATGTATCCTCCGTTCTGTTGTTGGAATTACTGGTCAGTCACGAGTCACAACAAGAAGCGCGGTCCTATCAATGGTACGATCACGTATAAGTGAGCGCGCGCATGGGTTGACTGACCATCTCGGGGTCCTGAGCGGCCGTCAGAGAAGGCGGGCCAGGGTACTTGGCGTCCAAGACCTTGGGGTCAGAGTACTGGGGGGGCAGAAAGCCTCGTCGTTGAATCATGGGGAGTCGCTGAGCAGCGGACATACCGCTGCGGAGGGCGGAAGCCCGGACAACTCGCTGAGAGAGCATCTGAAGGTATCAATGGTCAGTATGAACAGCAGAATAGTAATAAGAATGCAAATATTCGAATAGGTGTTGGCCGTACATTGAGAACAGATCGACCGGACGTCTCGAATGATAATTACCCAACATCTGTGCTTTACCCCAGATGATGCATCAAGAGTTAGAGACGAGGAGGGCCATCGGCTAACAATGTGGATGCCTCAGGTTCACCCCCATGGGGAAGGGAAAATGACTAATGAGAAAACGGTGCTCATCGGGTGGTCCAACTAGACCAATGTGGGGCACCCAGGTGGCCAAAGTGCTATGTAAACCTGTGCGAGCCTGTGCGAGCCTGTTTGAAAGTCTGTGCAAGTCTACACAGTACAAGTAGATCAATGGCCTGGTAGAACCCCAAGCCCCCCCCCCTAAGGCCCCAAACAAAAAGAAAGCTCCATAATGCCACCACACAGCAAATCCCAAAGGGGCGTCATCCCAATTTCTCCTATGAGTAAATTCTAAAAGTTCTGCAGGGCGACGTCGGGTTGGAACACACAAAAACCATCACAGCCCACTCCACAAGTCTCTGGTCATGCTCAAATTCCCTCTGTATAATCAATGAACCCCTAGAAACCCCAGACGCTATTTTCATTGACCCAAATGTCAGCGTCGCCGAGATCACGACCCTCTTCGCGCTCCCCGGCTGCTTCACGTTGCTACTATGAGCGAGCCCGCGTCGACCGACTACGTGCCATCCGAAGCGCCCCGTGATGACCTCGGCGAACAAACCCATATGACCCCGACGCGATCAAGTCTCCTGCCGCCTGCTAAGATTGAGGCCGAGGCTTTAGATGCTAAGAGTTACACAAACGGACGCGTCGAAGATGATCACGGGACCCTCCCTGAAGCTGGTGATGACTCGGAGCCACACGCTGCTGCGGCCGACGCGTCTCCAAGACCCAACGGCCATTCGAAACATAATGGAGATACGAAGCATACCAATGGACAGGGCGATAGCCCCAGCGGCGATGATGATAAGCGACCCTCCAAGCGACGCCGCACGGGGGAAGCCACACCCCCGCCCTCCAAGTCTCGCAAACCAAAGCACGAGTCTCCTCCCTGGAAACGAGTCGTAGCCGAGGGCCCTACATCATACACTGAGAATGGTCGTCGTAAATCAGGACGCATAAACACGGTTCCTATTGAACATCAGCCTCTGGGTGAGAAACGCCTCACCAGGCGTGCCTTGAACGGCTCAACCCAAGCGAGCCCCCCGCCTAAACAACAGGCCGCCCCCAACGGCCGCACGACTCGCACATATAGCGCATCTAAGAAGTCGTCGCCCGCAACAACAACAACAACAAGAACAACAACAACAACAAGGGCATCCCACGCCCGGTCTGTGTTGGCGCAGACCCCTAAGTCGACGCAAAAGAAGCCCCCTCCCGAACCGAAATCGAGTACGCGATCGAACCGCCGCCGCTCCCCTTCTCCCTCCCAAAACGATAGACGATCCACTAGACCGCGCCGAACATCTCGTCTAGTAGACAAATCAGAATTGAACGCCCCCGAGACCCGTGATGGCTCTGGTCGATCCCCGCGCACCAGGCATCGTTTGAACCCCCCAGACGTCATCCCTCTTGTTCACGCCGACCAGGTTCGCAAACGACCCAAGATTGGCACCAGCTTCGAAGACTTTTGGCGACGGGCAGGCGACATTTCCGTTGAACAGGGCGGACTGCGTATGTCTGATGATGGACCAGCCTATAGTGATGAAATGGCACGCAAGGACGCACGTGTAATCTTGCGCGTTGAAGACGAAGTCGAGCCTGGCGGTTTACTATCAAGTTCGAGATGCTCCCTATTTGTTCCTGACACTCCAGAGGAGCCACCACGACAATGGGCACGGCAAGATCACATGGTCAAGGCCATGGCCAACTTCCGACGGCTCATGGTCCAAGAACAGCAACGACACCGTGCCACAGCCAAGAGGATCGCTGAGGCATGCCGCGAGGAGTGGGCCCGACGACAGCCAAAGTCGACGGAACAGATCGAGGCTGAGGCGCGGGAATATTGGATTTCTCGGTATCGCCTGGTGGCAAAAACCTTGTCTGGAACTTGGGAGAATGTTCGCATCGAAGTCAACAGGAGGAGGCTCGAAGAATGGGAGGCTGAGGAGCAGAGGAGAGTCAAAGCTGCACTTAATGAGGCGGTCAATCTTTCCGAGCAGAGGCTCCAGGCGCGTCAAGGAGTCGACGAAGAGCTCATGTCTGACGATGGATTCGGCGACCTAAGCGATGACCTGGTCGGCACGGATGACGCGTCAGGCTCTTCCTCCCAAGGCGGATCTAGCGAAGCCGACGCTGAGGACAGCGATAATATGTCCTCTGATGACGACGACGACGATGAATCCGACGGCCCCGATGATGCAGCAGACGAAACCCTTACACAAGAACAGCTTCGGGCTAAATACGCAAACGTCCCGGGGCCTCAAGTTCGATCAATCGAAGCCGAGCAGACGCCAGCCGAACAGACAAACGATGGAGCTAGCGAATCAATGATGGACACCATGGATGACACGAGCGATGAGTCGGTCGACATGGACGATGATGAAAGCTCTGAGGCAGACGACGATGAACAAGGGTCAGACGAAGAATCGGGCGAGGAGGCTGATGGGCTGCTCGGGATGCTCTTCGGTAAGTCCGAGTTGAAGAATATCAAAAAAGAGGAGGACCCGGAGGAACCCGACGGTATGGAGGAAGATACCATAATGGAGGATGCTCCGCCGGAGGCGAAAGGCGAAGCCGAGGCGACCGACCACGAAGCCAGCGGCCCTTCGCCCTCTCAGCAGTCTGACTCTGCCAATGGAGCGGCAGCATCTGGGACGGACCAGCCTATGGAACCTTCAGGCAAAGGGCCGAACTCCGAAGCGCCACCTGTCTCCGAGACTGTAGGAGATGATAAGCCAGCGGAAAGGGCACCACATCTCGAGCCGGAAATGGCCACCGAAGCGATGTCAAAGGTCCAAGAGGCTAGGGACGTTGATGATGACGATATGCCCCAGGAAACGACAGAAATAGACACAAAATCCCCTGACGAGATGACGCTTGCCAGGGCAGGACAAAGTGGAATGGCAACACCTCAACAATCGATGCACAAGACCGATGTCCCCTTCCTACTCCGCGGCTCCCTTCGTGAGTACCAACACGATGGTCTCGACTGGCTCGCTGGACTCTACGCCAACAGCACCAACGGCATTCTTGCCGACGAGATGGGTCTTGGAAAGACTATACAGACTATTGCACTTCTGGCCCACCTGGCTTGCTACCACGAGGTGTGGGGTCCACATCTGGTGGTTGTGCCCACCAGCGTCATGTTGAACTGGGAGATGGAGTTCAAGAAGTGGTGCCCCGGTTTCAAGATTCTTGCCTACTACGGCACTCAGGAGGAGCGCAAGCGCAAGCGCCAAGGCTGGAACAACGACGATGTCTGGAATGTGTGCATTACATCATACCAGCTAGTCCTGCAAGACCAGCAAGTGTTCAAGCGTCGTCGGTGGCACTACATGATTCTCGACGAGGCACACAACATCAAGAACTTCAAATCGCAGCGGTGGCAGACGCTTCTCGGATTCAACACGCACTCGCGACTTCTCCTGACGGGTACCCCGCTACAGAACAACCTCACTGAGCTATGGTCCCTCCTGTTCTTCCTGATGCCCGCCGAGAATGGGGTGGGTGGCTTTGCGGATCTGCAAGAGTTTCACGACTGGTTCCACAAGCCCGAGTCCCAGATCCTAGAGAGCGGACGAGAGCAGATGGATGACGAGGCTAGAGCCATCATTGCCAAGCTCCACAAGGTTCTTCGTCCGTATCTACTTCGTCGTCTCAAGGCAGACGTCGAGAAGCAGATGCCTGCCAAATACGAGCACGTCGAATTCTGTCGACTATCCAAACGTCAGCGCGAACTCTACGACGGGTTCCTAGCTCGCGCGGACACGAGAAACACACTCGCATCCGGCAACTACATGTCCATCATCAACTGCCTTATGCAGCTTCGTAAGGTCTGCAACCATCCGGACCTCTTCATCGACCGCCCAATCATGACATCGTTCCGGATGCAGAGATCCGTTGCCAACGAATACCAGCATACCGAGAATACGGTCCACCGGCGCTTGCTTTTGGAGAATCCGATGGACTCGGTGAGCCTAGGGTTCCTCAATCTCATTCCCACGCGGTACGAACACATGTCAACCAACACAGCCGAGCGTATCTCACAACTCAGTTCAAATCAAGCCATGATCGAATTGCGCGAGATCCAGAAGGTCCGGGCACAGAATGCTTTAACGAACCTCGATCCTTCTACTGTGCGGTCGAACATTGCCTACCTGGAGAGCACAGCGCGCTGGGGTCGCTTTGAGGAGCTTCAGCATTGCGTGTACCTGAACGCCCTGCGCCGGCAGCAGAAGCCCATCTACGGCAAGAACCTCGTGGAACTGCTCACGGTGGACGCCGATGTGCGCCCCTTTAAGCGCAGGCCCAAGGTGCCGCAGAAAGTCATGTCCTGGTTCGAAGAGGACTCGTCATTTCTGCGGGCCATGGTGCCGTCGCTTGAATACCGAGCCGATAGCCTGAGGACGACGATTGAGAAGTTTTCATGCGTCACACCGGCTGTCGTCACGCGAGACCTGGGGCAGGTTGTCCTTGGGCGTAAGTGTGTGGATGCCTTTACCGACGAAGACATCAAACTGTCTGCGCCGGTGCGCTGGACACCCTGGATGCCCAAGGAAGCCCCGCCGGATCCGTGGCACGAGGCCCGCATGCGCCTCAGCATCCAGTTTCCTGACAAACGACTCCTACAGTACGACTGCGGCAAACTCCAGGTGCTCGACAGGCTCCTGCGACGGCTGCAGGCTGGTGGTCATCGCGCCCTGATCTTCACACAGATGACCAAGGTTCTCGACATCTTGGAACAGTTCCTCAATATCCACGGGCACAAGTACCTGCGATTGGACGGTGCGACCAAGGTGGAGCAGCGGCAGATCCTGACAGACCGGTTCAACAACGACCCGCGCATCTTGTGCTTCATCCTATCGACGCGGTCAGGGGGGCTGGGAATCAATCTTACGGGTGCGGACACGGTCATCTTCTACGACCAGGACTGGAACCCGGCCATGGACAAGCAATGCCAGGACCGATGCCACCGTATTGGCCAGACGCGCGACGTACACATCTACCGCCTCGTCAGCGAGCACACCATTGAGGCCAACATCTTGCGAAAGGCATCGCAGAAGCAGATGCTCGATGACGTGGTGATTCAGGACGGCGAGTTCACGACCGACACGTTCAACAAGGTATCTGTGAGGCAGGTCCTGAGCGAAAAGGTCGACTCCACGAGTGAGGGTGTTACCGCCGCAGACGCCGCCCTGGACCGTGTCCTAGGTGGCGGTGATGGTGGTGGCAGAGCAGGCGATGGCGGCATCAGCGGAAGCCGCGCCGTCGGACGCGCCCTCGAGCAGGCCGAAGATAGGGAGGATGTGGCGGCCGCGCACGTGGCCGAGAGGGAGATCCAGGCCGACGACGCCGATTTCACCGAGAGGCCCAGCAACGGCAACACACCGGCGGCATCGGGACAACAAGATATGCCGGGGCCCAAGACCGTTCTCGACGAGGGCGTCAGCATACTCGATCAGCCTGGTGCTGAAGAAGAGGCTGAGGTCGAGGACAATGCCTGGGGTGACAAGATGCGCACAGTCGACGACTTTATGCTCAGAACCATGGCAGAGTTTCTCAGGGGAACAAAACTTGAGTTGCCCAAGGATAAGAAGAAGGGCAAGAAGAAGGGTAAAGATACGAGAAAGAGGTAGCGATCTCTCTGCTCACGGCGTATTGGGCTTCGTTCAACTCTTCAGTCCTCTTCTTCTACTCTTCTTTCCTTATTGTTCGATTCTTCTTTTGTTGAAAGCAAAAAGTGTTTGGAAGCATGGTGCGGGGGTAGTACGGTATGGCAATACATTGCATAGGACATATTTTGGCTAGTAGAGGGGGAGGAACGAAGAACGAGGAAAAGTGTATCAACAGGTCTTTATGTACTTCTTGGCTAGAATGGTGGTGTCGGGTTTGGCTAAGCATGGCCTACGCGGGCCCATGGAGTTTAGGTGTGGTGAGCAGTACTATTCAAGGAATTGTTCAAGGTTGAAGGTCGTGATAATGGTGTGACAGCGATCTCAACTACTCACTCCATGGAGCACAACAACACATATCATTTCGCCTAGTAATACACGCAACAAATGACGCTGTAGAGCAAGCAAGAGTCTACAGGACTAGTATAAGTATATGTATGGTATAGTTCTATCACTAGTCATGGTTGACAACGTGTACCCCAAATAACGCATGTTTGATGCCAAATGATAGCTTGTTGGGCCATAGGGTATTATATATTGTTGGACTTGATGGTATGACGACGACGGTTGGGCATACACGCAGGAAAGAACAAGGAGATTGCAAGAGTCTTCTCTGCGCATATTTCAGAGTAAAAGTCAATCACTGTTACTGTCGACTCTGTCGTTATGACTACTGTCTATTTAGGACGATCGAGCATATGTATGATGCTGTATAAAAGTTGCATATAACTTGCCAGCTGATATGAACAATATATTACATGAGTGACACGGATGGAGAGGAAGAAAGAAAGGACCACCAAGAAAGATATGACGTGACAAAAGGACGAGTGTGACGCCGAAATGACAGTGCAGGGACTAGTGACAGCACTTCCAGGGGGTGACGCACCGAGTCTAGGCCCTGAGACACCCCGCAGACCACTGTACTCGTATGTGCATGTAGGTGCGGAGCCCTTGTATTCCGGGATCATCCGCTGTAATGACCTATGGATTGGGGATGTGACTCTCTCTGGAATTGTCCGCGACAGCACCCCAGACCACTGCACTGTAGGGAGTACGGGAGTACATATTACCTGCACGAACAGGCGCTACCTACCTATGTTACGGCATTTACCTACTTGAATAGGCTCTACGAGTACCTGAACAGGCTGTCATGGGTACCATATATTGCGTCGTAGACCATCTGCACCCTCTCTCTCTCCCTCTCTCCCTCTCTAAGGAGCCTTGATCATCCCACCGTCTTTCTTTTTCTGGCCCGTATCCCCGACTCCGACTCTCATCCCCCCCATGCTGATATTGGCCACACCTTCAAATTCAATCTCCTAACCGTCACCCCCGGTAACCTGGTTGGCTCTTTTCTCCCACACCCACACAACAACCTCTCTTTTTCCCCTCCTCTATCCGCAACTTCTCTTTTTCTGCTTTCTATTGTTGCTCTAGAGAGAAAGGGAGACGAGGAGAAAGTCTGTTCCTGTCTTTTTCGTCATTCTTCGTCCATGGAGTTCTTGTCTCTTTCAGCATTGCGCCTTGTTGTTTGTCCTTGATATACTACATCTACTCCTTTGTTGACCTGGGCTTCTTCTCACTGCCAACCTTCCATTCCTTCTTTTCTTCTCTTCTTTTTCTTCTTCTTCTTCTTTTTATTTTTGCTACGACCAACTGTCTTCCGATCGATATAATACTCTTTACTATACCGTCTAATACTTCCAACCCCCGATCTGCTTTGCGCATAACAACATCAACAATCACCAACTTCACACCGCCCGAGACCATATCCTCCGGCGCTTGTGGAGGGATGCAGACGGCAAAGGGGAGGACCGAGGCTCTTGGACGCAAAGCCAAGGTAAGCAAGTCAACAAACGAAACTTGGCAATCCATTCATCTTATTTCCATGACGCTGACAGTCATGTAGCTTGCTCGTTCGTACCAGGAGCTTCTCGAGTATGACGCGATCCCTCCCGTCCAAACCCCCGCCACCGCCAAGCCGGATACCCTTAGACTAACATGCTGTCTTCTTCCTCTAGCGAGTTCTCCAACAAGGATCTCAAGTCAGTCGGAAACTATACCCTCGGACGCCTCATCGGAAAGGGTTCCTTTGGCAAAGTCTACCTCGCCACCCACAAACTCACCAACGGCTCCAAGGTCCGGAGCGAATCTCTCCATACCTTTATCCTCCTGCTTCCCTGACTGACTCTCCTTTGTAATCACGCAGGTTGTCCTCAAGTCGGCCAAGAAGGATGACTCCAACCTCGCCCGCGAGATCCACCATCATCGACAATTCGTCCACCCTCACATTGCGCGACTCTATGAGGTCATAGTCACCGAGAACCTCGTCTGGCTTGTCCTCGAATACTGTCCCGGTATGCGGCTCTTCTTCTTCTTCCTACTGTTTGCCAAAGTTTCACGGCTGACTCCGGTGGTACAACAGGCGACGAACTGTACAACTACCTCCTCAAAAACGGCCCCCTACCGGTCACCAAGGTACAGAAGGTCTTTGCCCAACTCGTCGGCGCCGTCTGCTATGTTCACAAGCAGTCATGTGTCCACCGGGACCTGAAACTCGAAAATATTCTGTTTGACAAGCACGAGAATGTTAAGCTGGTCGATTTCGGCTTCACCAGAGAGTACGAGGGCAGGTCCAACTACCTCCAAACTTTTTGCGGCACCATATGCTACTCGGCCCCCGAGATGCTCAAGGGCGAAAAGTACGCCGGCGAAAAGGTCGATGTCTGGAGCTTAGGCATCATACTATACGCCCTGCTCTGCGGAGAGCTTCCCTTTGACGATGACGATGACAATATTACCCGTACCAAGATCCTGTCCGAGGAACCCAAGTACCCCGAGCATCTGCCCGCCGACGCCGTCTCGCTCCTGAAGAGCCTCCTCTCGAAGCGCCCCTTCCCGCGTCCCAGCCTCCCCGACATCCTGATACACCCCTTCCTTGCCGAGCACGCGTCTGCACAGCAAGCAATTCTCGACGTTGAAGCCAAGTCGCCCTTTGCCTCGGGTCTGGAGAAGGACTGCCTCCACCGCATGCGCGCCGCCGGCGTCGACATTGATTCAGTCATCGAGAGTGTACTAGCCCAGAAGTGTGATGCGCTGTCTGGTTGGTGGACGCTTCTCCTGGAAAAGGAGGAGCGTAAGATGCTGCGGAGGGAACGCAAGCGACGCGAGAGGGAAGACAAGAACCTGCGACGCGTGTCGGCCGCGTCGAGTCGTCTAGAACGCATGGCTCCGTCGCTTCAGGACGTCGACGAGGATGGCGGTTTCACAGTCAACGCCAGGACTCGGGGGAGGAGCACCCGTCGGAGTGCACACTACAACTCGGATTTTAACCTGCAAGAGGTGAGCGAGGGCGGTTTCCAGAGCGGTCTGAGAAGTCCGGACGAGATCCCCCCGACACCCATCGACAAGGACTCGGTTCGATCTGCGTCGACATCACGACACCGCCGACCGGTACCACCTCCCAAAGAGGGCATAATTCGCAGCGCCAGGTCGCGTGGGTCGACGCTTCACCTGGTGACGACGTCTGACGTTCTAGGTCACCATGATCACGCCGCCGAGGGCCGGCATCACGGGGTGGGCGGACATGGCAAGGCCCGGAAGAAGCCGAGCGAAGCCATAATTGCGCACTGGAAGAACTGGACCCATTGGATATTTGAGAACACGACCAAGCGCCGACGCTGGAACGAGCGCAAGTCGAACCGCAGCACCCCCGACCTCCACAGGAAGGACAGCAACGCCAACTCATCCAGAGACGGGCGAGAGGCCCCCAGGCCGCAGACGAGCAAGGGCCCCAACTCTAGCTCCTCGGCTGGGGGGCAGGCCACGGTGCCACTGCCCAAGGGGGTTGTGGCTAACGGGCAGATGGTCAAGGCGAATGGCACACTGACGCAGAATGGGGTGAACGGCGTGGCAGCCGGCGGCGACAACCTCAAACCGTTGCCGCAGCTCCAGCTCCAGAACCCTTCACGTACAGCCAAGTCGAATTCCTACAAGCGGCACTCCCTCTCCCCGGCGCCGCTGACGCCACGGTCCACGATCCGCCGCTCATCGGGCGGTCTCCGTGGACGCAAGTCTACGTCGTCTTCGGTGTCGTCTGTGCGATCGATGCACCGCCACCGGCACTCGCACTCCAAGGCATCGTCCACCAGTTCGGCAGGCTCCATATCGACATCCAAGACGCCCCATCGCGGGCCCTCACCGCACCACTCGGTCAAGGTGCTCCCCGCAACCCCTCCGGCGACGTCTTTCCCCTCCAACATCCGACTTGTCCGGGCTGCCCCTCCCCCCCTGAACTTCTACAACGAGGGTATGCCCTCTGGCCACGAGCAGATGGGCCCAGTGTCGCCCAATCCGTTCGGCACAAACGTCCTCTTTGCCAAGCGCAAGAAGAGCCTCTTCAAGGGCCCCTCGATGCACCACCATTTCGGTCATTTCGGCGGAGGCGGCGGCGCCAACAGTGCCGGCACCAGCACCACCCGCAGCTCCGGTGGAGGAGGCCACTCCCGCTCCGGCAGCGGGTCGGCCATCGGTCGCCGCTCGGGCGAGGTCACCATTCAAGAAGAGGACGAAGAGTACGTAGACGAGGAGGATGAGGACGAGGAGGCCATCGACGAGGAGGATGGGTTCACTCCCGTTGCTGCTGCCGCGGGGCCGACGAGCGACGCGATAAAGGAGCAGGTCATTGAGACGGATGATGTGGCCACGCCTACAAAGAGTGGCGGTGGTCTAGGCACGCCGATTGATCTCGGAAGACCAAGTGCTATACCTGAATCGCCGCAGACGCCTACTGCTTAGTCTGGTTTCTCATCATCCTCCTTATTCTCCTTGGCCCCATCCTTTCCTCTCCCCTCCTTTACCCATTTTATTCTTCCTCAATTCTTTTATTTTTTCACCACACACCTCCCACTTCGTATCTTCTATATTCCTTTTGTTCTTTCTTTTCAGTTTCTTGTCTACTTAGATGCCCACTTATTTGATACCAGAAACCTGCCTTTTGATTTAGTCTCTTACCTTTCGGCTCGTTCATTGCTCCCATCCGTTTGGAGTTCTTTTCTTACCCATAATGTCTAAGTGGACCGCTGTATCCAATAGGTGTCATAAAAGGAGAGTTGTATGAAGAAGGCAGGGAGGAAAGTAGTTGTGATTATTGCAGCACAAGCCAGAGAGAAAAAAGTTGGTTATTTCGTCTTGAATACACATGCACACATTACTCGTACAATCTCAGTCTTCTCGGTCCTCGCTTTGCTTGCTTGCTCTCCTTGTGGGCTGTAAAACACCTGGGCGTTGGTTGTGTGACGCCTAGGATATTCTATATATGTATCTTAGTTTTCCTTGTCCTCGGCCGCCCGCATCCTCTGAACGAGGGCATACCGATCCTCGCGTAGGGTCATCCAAGCCCAGAACCAGGAGCTCATCTCGACAAACATGAGAGCGAAGACGACGCGGTTTTTGAGGACGTCGCCGCCCCATTTAGCGGGGACGTATGACGGGTTATAACCCGAGGGAGCGGTCAAGGGGCCCCGGGGCGATTCGGACTGGTAGATGGGGGACGAGGGGCCGAACATGTAGACGTAGAAGAGGATGGCCATGGAGAAGAGGGCGCGAAGGGGAGCTGTATGAGAGCACAAGCGTTAGAGAGGGCGGGGAGGGGGTTTTCCTAGTTCGCAGATCGAGGGAGGGAATAGAGGAGATGATGTACCTTGGGCACCCCAGTAGTAAATCAATGCGACTTCCTCGGGCATGGAGAGAGACACAAGATCGCTCAGACCCAGCATGGCGAGGATGATGGATAGTATGCCTAGTGCTGGACTCTGGGTGTCTAGACCGCGAGCGATGGGCTGATGCTTGTTAGTGGGGAGGGAAAGAAGGGAGAAAGGAGAGGAAGCAGCAGAGAGGAGGAGCTTACCATGCCCATGCTTTCGCCCATGACCCATACGAGGACTTGGTCATCGATGGTGCGAGGATTGACGAGAAAAAAGTAGGCGAGAGTGAGATGGAAGAGGGAGATGGAGGTGATGATTGTCGTGGACGAAATGAGCGCCATGTTTGCGGGTGCTCACGGGGGATGCTGGTTACGTGTAAATGTAGGGTTCTGCGAGAGTTGGTACGACTACTAGTACTTGTAGCGGTAACGCCGTCTCTGTTGGAAGGAAGAAGAGGGTAGTCGCATTCTCGGGTGCATCAGGATGTTATTGCACTTGTTTTTGACGAGACGGGGCTGAGTCGTTGCAAGTTGGTTTCTTTCTTTTTTTTTTTTGACCCTCCCTCTCCTGCCCTTTACTTGAGAACTTGGGTCGTAGGGTAGCTATTTTCAGGCACCAACTGCCGCAAGCTCTCACCCCGCGCATGAACGCTCACTTTACGTACTGAAGTTACAAACCATCAACAGCAGCCTCTTGTTAGTCGGCAATGTTCGAAGAGACAACGCAAGAACAATGGCCGACATTCGATTAGACAAGGCGCGTCAGATAAAATACTGGCAGCGTTGCCACGGGTCATACCTCCCGTCACCTTATACGTCCGCCGACTCGACCCGTCTCATGTGGGCATGCTTCATCCACTCTGCCTTTGATGTGCTCGACGTGGCTGTTCCCGCGGGATGGGGGGCACCAACTAAAGACGGCGTCAAGGGCAACTATAACGGCACTGTGAGGTCCTGGGTCCTCAGTCTGCAGCATCCGGACGGTGGGTTCTGCGGGAGTCCGAATCACGCCTTCACGGGCCAGCAAGCAGGGAAGGGCCAGGCCAACCTGGCGGCTACCTTCTTTGCGCTCATCTTGCTTGCCGTTGTCGGTGGCGGGGACGGGTCGGCTGCCTTTGCGGGCGTGCGACGTCGCAAGCTTCTGCGGTGGCTGAGGAGGCTGCAGCGGGGGGATGGGAGTTTCGGACAGAACCTGTGGGAGGGCGAGGCCGTGGGCGGCAGGGATACGCGGCATAGCTACCTCGCCAGTGGGATTCGGTGGATGATCAGGGGGGACGTAAAGCCTGGTGATGAGGCCTGGGAGGAGGATATCGATGTCCAGGGCATGGTGGCGCACATTCGACGGTTGCAAGGGTATGATGGCGGTCTGGCAGAGTTGTCGGAGCATGAATCACATGGTTCGATTCTTTCTTCTTCTCCCTCTACCGCCACGGAGAATTTGATGCTGATCTTGAGATATATACAGCTGGATATGTGTACTGTGCTATTGCGGCCCTTTCGCTCCTCGATCGGTCAGACTCAGACTCAGACTCGGTAATGGCCCAGGGCATCAGCGAGCGAGACAGCCTGCTCAAGTTCCTCGCATCAAGACAGATGGCATATCTTGTCGAGGAGGAGGATGAGGATGACGAAGAGGGCGGCGAGAACTTTGTCCAGGCCGGCCTGGAGTCCATGACGCTCGACGACACGTCTCGCTACGTGGGCTTCAATGGCCGGTGGAACAAGAAGGCTGACTCGTGCTATGCATGGTGGACGATAGGTACACTGGGGGTGAGTCCTTGTCTCTGCTACTGTGCTCCCATCATACTCCCTTTATTCACAGCCCTTCAATGCTTCCATCCTTTCCTCAACTCTAGATGAGATCTCCCTGACCGGATGAGAACAGATGCTAGGTGATCCCTTCCCCGTCAGCGCGACAGCTTCGAGACGCCATCTTATCGAGGTGATGCAGCACCAGATTGGCGGCTTCTCCAAGACAGCCGGCGCACCTCCCGACCTGTACCACTCGTATCTCGGTCTAGCGGCGCTGGCTACCATGGGTGACGAGGATCTCAAGGCGTTTGAAGTGAGTCTGTGCTGCAGCAAGGAAACCGTCGGCAAGATTGAGAAGGCTAGAGATGGGTTGCTGGCATCATCCGTGAATAACTGGGCAGATGATGGATTCTGGGACGCGGTCTGAGTTATTCCATCAAGAACTAGCACTGTACTTTGATAGACCCATCCTAGAAAGAAAAGAGCCATATTCTTTCCGATGTTTTTCAAACCTCTTATACAGCGTATTTTGGTGTATTGCTACTGCTAATAGTTCGACTGTACGTAGCAGAGCTGCTGCCATGTACTTTGCCGTACTTGGCCGAGCTTCAACCGGAGCAATTGGTCCGGGGCGCCAAGCTCTTCCGCAATCCTCAACTTTCAACGCTTTTTGACGTCAACGGACGTCAACCATCATCACCTTCCGGCACAGCACACCAATATATCCGACGACAATGTCACAGTCACAGCAGGGACCCAATGGCGAAGGCGGCCCTTGGGATGATGGAACTCGACGCAGATTCGAAACGTGAGCGACCCCCGACGAACCCACCCCCCTTCGACAAACAGATACAGAATGCAGAGAGAGAAGGGAGGAGCTGACGGCGCGCAGAAAATCCAAGAGCGAATTCTACGACCCGTGTCAGGAGGCTGCACAGAGGAGCTACAAGTGTCTCTTCCGGAATGACGGCGACAAGGCCATGTGTACCGAGTATTTCCAGTACGTTGCTCCGGACGGGATGGTCCCTCGGACAGGATAAGAGGCTGACGATGTGAACGAACAGGGCGTACCGCGACTGCAAAAAGGCTTGGGTACGTCACGTCGATGCAGAAATGACAGGCCATGGGAGACGAAAATATGCTGACAATGTGTAGCTTGAACGCCGACGGAGAGGGTAGAGGCTCTCCTTGCGACGACTGCGAAAGTATCTGCATACCGGGCAATCGCACGGGATCATATACCACGGTATCGAGAGTAAGGAGGGGAGGGAAATGACGAGATAAACGATATCTGAACTTGTATTAGCATACCTGTCTGTACCATCATATTATAACACTGGACAATGGAAGGGGAGAAGAGTATTACTGTACGAATAGTCGCATCTAATGTGGAGAGTTGCATATAATAAGAAGAAACAGGTATCCAATTCAAGGAACTCGAAAAATGCGAAGAATAGACTGAACATGGCGATACATGATTGTCTAATGCCTTTTGCTGTCTCGTGGTCATTCCTTCTTCTGCTCTCGCCTCTGGTGGGTTGTCAAGTCGTTGGGCCGACGCATCGGACACATAAAGGCCGGAACCCCACAGACATTGACAAACCAATGGAGGAGGGGCAACACACACATATCTCTCTTTCATAGAACACCAACTAGAACATTTGAGGAACCCGACAACGCCGATATCTTACATAAAAATCCTACACCTCAACCAGTCGTCCCGGGGATCCCATAGAGAGATACAAGAGGCAAGAGAAAAGAGGGAAGATATTCCTCATCCGTGCCCCGCCCCTCATGCATCGCCAGAGGCCTCAGCTGAAGAACGGCGTGGACCTGCAGCTCCAGTCAGCCTTCTCAGACGGCAACTGGCCCTCTGTCATCCGTCTAGCCGAGAAGAGGGCACGCAGCCTGAATGATTCTTATTACGAGGTATGCCAGTCGTCGTCGTCGTCGTCGTCTTTGTATCCCTCTTCCCCACCCCCCTCCCCAAGGGATTCAACCGATAGAACTGACCGGAGGGGCAGGTGGTAAAAAAATGCGCCGAGAGCCAGCTCGACGATCCTGCAGCCAAGTATGCCGCCGTGGCTGCGGTATCGCAGTACATCCGGGATGGCACCGTGGTCAAGGACGTAGATGCCCTCGACCTGTTGGAGTGGGCCACTCTCGACCTCACTGACGAGGACGACTACCCTAACACCCTGGGCCCTCTGCGCGTCAAGGCCGTCAAGGCCAGCCCAAAGGATAGGCACATCGCCTCGCGGTGCCTCGAGTCGTGTCTCATACACTGGGATCTTGTCAGTGCACAGCAGATTGCTGCCGTGCTCGACAGGTCGTTTCCCCAAGAGCGGCATTTCATGTTTTGGAACATTGCCATTACGCATCTGCTCTCGGTACGCTTCCATACTTATCAATCTTTCCCCTTCTCACCCCTCCTTTCTCTTGAAGCCCACTCTCCACTAACTGCCGGCCCTTGTACAGACCAGTTCCCAGGTTCCTCCGGAAAAGCAAAAACTGTATGGTACCCTTGCCCTGAGGCAGATGGAGCGTGCGGCCCGGGCACCAGAGGAAGGCGCGTCGGAAAAGGAGAAGGCGCGCAGAGTCAGGACAGAAGAGGAGACTCTACTCCTTTACAACATCACTGAGAGGCACGGAACAGACGAAGACTTCAAGAAGCTCGTGGAAAATTCAGAATTTTCTCCGCTTGCAACCTTCCGTCAGGGCCGAAAGGAGCTACTGCTCTGCGTCATTGCCCGGTACCGCCGCCAGGATGACTGGGACGCCATCTACACTCTCTGCAAAAGCTGCCTGTCTGATAAGGACGACCAGGCCCGACCTAACCTGCTGGCGTCTGACTATGGCATCTGGGAGGAGTTTATCGTTGCTGCTCGTCATACCATGGGCTCGAACAAGGGGTGTGTTTTCTATCATGAGGACAATTCACGTCTTTGCGTGTGCTGACAATCAATATGTAGAGTCGTCACGGAGGTCCACGACCTCCTGCTCGAACTGGTCAAGTTCCCGGGACTGCGGGCCATCTACAGGAGGAACCTATTGCTGGCCCGCGTATCGGCGGCATTCCAGCTACTCACGCCTGACGGCGACGACAGCATCGACGGACGGGCCTCGTCGACCAGGCTGCAAGAGTTGATGCGATACGTGGAAGACCAGGCCGCGAGCCCGGCTTGCTTTGACGATGTCAAGACGTTCGTCGAGAAGTTGGACCTCTCGGGCCTGCGGTACTTTGTGGACGACTTCCTTGCCGGACTGGGCGAGAGGAAGGAGAAACTTAGCGCAGGTCAGGCCGGCCTGCTCGCGCTCAAGTTCCGCTACCTGACGGCTACGTGCCCGATCTCGTACACGACTGTTCCTGGGGAGAAGCCGCGCGCCAAGTGCCAGCGGTGCGGGGCAGAGGAGCAATATGCATCCTGCGCATCGTGCTTCCGGGGTATCTGGGATGAGGCTCTGGTCCTGTACAAGGACATTGCGACCAAGGCACCGGACCAGCTGCTGAGCGACGCCCACGTGCCGCCGGAGCTGGCCCTCCTCCTGGCCGTCTGCAGCGTCAGGCTGGCATTCCCTGACCCCAAGGCCACCCCTGCCGCGTCTACCTACACCTCTGCCGAGTCCCTGTGGCACCTGTACCACGCCGTCCTGGTACTGGAGTACCAGCTCTCCTTCTCGCCCAAGAACGCGCCGATTTTGCTGGTACTGGTGCAGCTCCATCTGCGCCTCGGATCGGCTCCACGTTCCCGCCAGCTGTGGGGGGAGCTGGGGGTCAAGCGCACAATCATGGACTCGCTCGGTCCTCTGTTCTACGACCGCCTCTCGACCGTTGCACCGGCCCTGCTCTCCCCCTCGGACACGTGGGGCTGGCAGCTCATGGACATGCTCACGTCGCACTACAGCTACTCGCTCAAGATGCGCATGCCGCGGCGCTTGATCGACGCATTCGAGGCCGAGTCGTACGGCTCCGTGCTGGACATGCCCCGCTACATACACGACTTGCGCACCAGCGCCACGCGCGCCATGAGCCTGGTGGAGGAGACGAGGTCCGAGAGGATGCTCGGCAGGCCCACATGGGAACTTTTTTCCGACCCGCGGTTCGTCGAGGTCAATGACGATACGGTACTCAAGGAGACGCTCGACTATGGGTCTTTCCCGCGGTGGGAGAGCAGCGAGTGCGTGCCTGTATATGTCCGGCTGAGACTGGGACCACCTCCAAGTGTATGTTTCTTTCTTCTTTTCCGTCTTCTTCTTCTTCTTCTCGTTGTTGTTGTTGTTGTTGTTGTTGTTGTTGTTGTTGCTGTTCTCTTGTTTTCTGCACTCTATGATGATGTCACGACACAATCAACTTGCTAACGCTGTTATTCTTACAGAACCGCAGAGCTCACCTGGAAATCATGTCGGAAGCATTCCACGACGTGTTGGGATACAAGGCGCCACAGATGTACAAGACACCACTGGCGACGTCGGAGTCGGACCACGTATTCGTAGTCGAGACGCTGACTCGTATCGGCAACTCGTACAACCAGTTCCTTGGTGGCCCCGAGGGCGACCTGACAGCCGCAGAGGCAGTGTACCACGACATGGTCGGGCTGCTGAGCACGCTGGCTCCGCTGTGCGCGGCGAGCGGGAGCGGAAGGGCTGCGGGGCTGGACGCGTTTTGCGAGCTGACCGAGTCTATCGGCGCGGGGTTGGAGAGTCTGCGAGACATGATCCCAGCGGGGAGCTCCGACGACGTAGAGGGGGCGGTGGCCCTCCTCGGCAGCCTGCACACGGTAGGCGTGTACCGCGACGCGGCGAAGGCAGTGTCCCTGGCAGCACAGTGGATCATGGGGGTCAACCAGCGCGCCAAGGAGCGCGACAGGTCCGGACAGAGCAACCTCCCCAAGGAGGTGGTCGCCCGCACCAAAAGTCTCCAGTCGGCGGCGGAGGAGGCCCTCAAGCAAGGGAAGGGATGGATGGACAGGCTCCGGACGACGGTGAAGAGTGGCGACTTCAAGGGACGGCTGAGTTCATGGCTGTTCAAAGACGCAGAGGCGATTCGGGATGTGGCGTACGAGGAGGTTGTGCCGGGTCTGGTGGGGAATATCGGGGAGAATGTCAATGGATGGCAAGAGGTTCATTGGGAGTGATGGCACACCACGAACCGGCAAACCCGGGGAATATTCAGGCTGTGCTCCGAACTCGTATGCATGCCATGTGTGGTGACGAATATAGAACACGGGGAGGAGGAGAGGGGGGGGGGGGGGGGGGGGGGGTGAGAATTTGTCAACTGACAACGGCCAATCAATTATGCATGATCCATTTGGGGGGGGGGATTCGGTGGTGTGAGTTTGGGTATTGCGACCTACGGTATACAAAAATGGGTGGTGTTTATTAGACGACACGAGAACAGAAGACGTAGTACGATTATAATCTATTGGTACGAATCTTTGAGGATTGTCTGTATCTATGCAGCTGCATGCATGATGAATTTGTATCTATACACGAAGACGAGTACGCAAGTAGAGTAATATTACGTGGCGTGCGAATAGACAGCAGGAGTCTGAGTCTGAGCCTGAGGGTGATTGACTGATGGAGTATTACATGTAATACGGTAGGTAGCATGGTGTTTACGGTAGATACGGTATCAATACCAGAAGAGGTGCTCGTATAAAGATTCGTATCTATGGATTCAAGATGCATAGACCATTACTAAGATAGTTATGCAGATCTGTATAGCAGCAACAGTACGAGTAGGTATCACTTTCTGATTTCCTTTTTAATTGCGTTGTATTTCCATCAGGTTGTGTGAGGATTCCGGGGAGGGGGGGAAGAGACCGAGAGAGAGAGGGAGAGAGAGAGAGAGATCTTCAGAGCCCTCACAAGGACCAGCAACTGTTAGGGGAGAGGGGGTGTCAAGGACGAGATGGATAATGTCACAGGGGAAGGGAAGACAGAAACAGGGGGGTTAAACAACCAGACATCACGTCATAGGCAAAAAGCAGGAGCAAAAGGGAGACGGGTAGTAAGAAAAGAGGAAGCAAGATAAAACGCAGGGGTCCCCCCCTTCTCTGAGGGCCCCCCACTGCTAGGCGGGTTCAGTTGATTATGGCAATGACAATCATTATTAGCCCGATATTGCACATGATTAACCAGACATTGCAGAGACATGATAAGCAGGACAAGAATTTGTGTGTGGTAACGGTGGGAGAGAGAAGGGAAAAGTAGAAGCCGTGAAGGCTGCGACACCAGGATGACGCAGGAGTGGTTTTGGTGGTGGTTGGGGGGGGGGGGGGGGGGGGGGGGGGGGTAAGGAGCGTAATGATGGAAACTTATTTGATGCTTCGTGTCATCTACGTATTCTTCTGTAAGGAGTATGGTCAGGAAGAAAAGAAAGAAGAAGAGTGAAGCAGAGAAAAAACAAGACAAGCATTGGAATAAAGGTAGTCGTACTCGTATGTTTTGTGTATAATGATATTACATATAGCTTAAAGTTGGGTAATCACTGGGGAAGGACTCGGGAGGGACAGCCTGAAGACTATTGATATTATTATCTACGATTTAATACATGCAATAACAATATGATAATACATGTGATAATTACTACCCGTAGTAAGAAGAAGAGAGAACACATGTGGAACAGGGCATTCCAGCGTCGACGTAAACTCCTTGGTATGCTGTCGAAGGAATTCTCTTTTTTTTTCTCCCCCCCCCAAGAGAGTCCTGTAAAGAGGAGACGACCACGAATTCACTCTGCTCTGCTCTGCTAATCTTGTTCTGCTTTGTTAACTGATCCCCCCGGAGGGAACAAACGACGCGTAACGTAATCCGTATGTATGTACGAGTACTCCGTCCAAGTATTAATAATTTCTGTACGAGTAATCTGTACTTGTACTTGTACTCTCTCTCCCTCTCTCTCTCTCTCTCTCAAGTCTTTACGAGTTGCTAACGAGCACAGCCAGCAGTTTCGGAAGGACGACGATCACACTCCCCCTGCTGGAGCGGCGGGTACAAACTAGCAGGGGGTCAAGGGGGGAGGGAGTGCTTCTCTACGGCTGCGGCTTCGCTCCGACTATCCTTCTTCCTCTTCTTCTTTTCTGTTTGGCTAAAGGGGGGGAGTGGAGCTGTACATGTATGTGTGAGTATGAGAGAGTACAAGGTACTCGGTCAATGGCGAGAGTCCAGAGGTGATGGAAGGTGAAGAAGGCGATGGTGACGAGTACATGGTACTCTCACGGTACGAAAACCCGTCAAGTTACGACAAGCTTGGCTTTCCGATACGACCAAAAAAAAAACAAAGAAAAAAAAAAAACACCCCCCATCGTCATCGCAGGGTCCGTTCCTCGCTCATTGAGAAAAAAAAAAAAGGAGAGCCCCAGTTTCCCAAAACTTTTTACTCGTATTCTTTCCCTTTCTGACCCCCTTCATTCCTCAGAGTTCTGTCCGGGCTGGCAAGCGGGGAGGGCTCAACTATCGCCTACGACTACTCGTATGATTGTAACATTGTCTCTCCCCTCCCCCTCCCCCCCCTCCCTCCCCCATCTGGATTGGCAACACCGGGGTCGTGTGCTGTCTGCTTCTGCTCTCTGTTCTTTTTCATTCGTATACATCGTGCATTACTCGTAATACTGGTGCCGATACCGAAGCTGTGTGTGTTGCCCGTGCGTCCGCTTGTGCCCTTGGCTTGATTTATATATATACATATATACGCATATATACATATATATATATATGTATGTAATAATAGTAATAGAGCTTTCCTTAGTATTATTATTACTAGCAGGAGCAGGAGCAGGAGCAGAGTTACATACTCGCACTGGAACAGGTACAACGGAGGTAAATCCGTACCTCAACTTCTCTTCCTTTCATCGCCACAATCTTCTCTTCCTCCTTGTCACATCATCCCAGCTTCTCCTTCTTCTCCCCTTCTTCCCTTCTTTCTCTTGCATTTCTCTTCATTGTTCGACCTTCAACGCTTCCTTTATTCTTTTCCTTTTTTATAGAGATAATTGTGTTCACACCCCTCCCCCCCCCTTCCCTGGATAAACTTGCATCACCACCTTCTGAACATCTTCTCGGGTCATGATTCGGTCATAAGTGGCGTTCCTCATCGTCCTGGGAACAAGACACGCAACAGAACCGCTTCTCCCGTCTTTTCCCCATTTTTATCCCCCCTCTCTCATTCACTTCAACTTTCCCTTTCTCCCTTCTTTCTCCTCATTCTCTGTTATTTCCTTTTCCTTTTTCCCTTCCTCTTTCCTCATCTACGAAACGAGCATACCAACCGACAGTGGGGCCCAGCCAGCGGCTCTCCTGGCTTCCAGAAGGGAAAAACTACCTAGACATAATATATCTCTACACACCAAACACACATACACACACACACACGCGCGCGCGCGCACAACACATACACGCACAGCAGTCATGGCTCTCGTCGGTACTGGGTCCATAAGGACCACCCGAAAGATCCTCCTCATAGCCGCCCTCATCACAGTCATCGTCTTCTTCAGCTGGAAGGACACGGACAACCTCGAGTCCTCGCTACTTCGACAGTTTCCCACCACACCACCGGGCGTAGGGGGACACGGGGAGGGTGGGGAGGGTGTGCCGACAACAGCATTGACATCGGCAGCATCGAAATCGAGAAAGGGAGGATCATCTTCATCATCATCCGAGGCAGCTCTCGGCGACGACCGCAACGATGACGACAATGACCACGTCCAGGACGACGACTATGAAAGAGACGCTGACCAAGACAGCCACGACGCGGACGGCGCCGCCGACTGCGCCAACAACACGTCGACCGAGATCCCGAAGTGCAAGCTGGAAGCCGAGTATCTCCGCAGCCGCCGGTACGGGCTGTCGGATGACATAGTCCTCCACCGCAAGTGCATCCGCGCCGTCAAGTCGGAGCGCGTAGACCGCGACGAGGTCGGCGACATCAAGGAGCCCATGTTCTCGCAGAGCCAGGCCATCAACCTGGTCAACGAGTGCCATGAGTGGGAGGCCATGCCGTGCGAGCCCGTGGAGCTCGAGGTGCCCATGCCCTTCCCCGAGCGCAAGTACCCCGAACTGATATTTGGCGTGGCCACGAGCTTCGACCGCATGGTCGACTCCAAGCCGCAGCTCACCCACTGGCTGCGCAACACGGGCGTCAAGCTGGTGGCCATCGTCGTCGACGCCGTCGACCACCGCGTCGACCTGGGCCGCCTGCACTCGTTCTACGCCGACGACGGCGTCGACCTGGTCATTGCCCGCCCGCGGTACACGGGGCTGGGCGTCAACGAGCAGCACTTCACCATCGTGCGCGACCTCATCTACCACTCGACCCCGGAGACCAAGTGGATCGGCGTCATCGACGACGATACCTTCTTCCCGTCGCTGTACCCGCTCGCCGAGGTGCTCGGCCAGCAGGATCACAACCAGCCAGCCTACCTGGGCGGGCTCTCGGACAACATGATCTCCATCCAGGTCAACGGGCTCCTCGCCTACGGCGGCGCCGGCGTCTTCCTCAGCATGCCGCTGGCCAAGGAGATCGAACCCAACGTGGAGAAGTGCCTGATGCAGGCCGACACCAACCAGGGAGACGCGCTGCTGAAGTCGTGCATCTACAGCGAGACGACGACGCGGCTCATGCTGATCCCGGGCCTGAGCCAGCTCGACATCCGCGGCGACCCCTCGGGCTTCTACGAATCCGGACGCTTCCCGCTGTCCCTGCACCACTGGAAGACGTGGCACTCGGCCCCGGTCGACCAGATGGCCCGCTCCGTCGACTACTGCGGCTCGTGCTTCCTCCAGCGCTGGCGCTTCGACGAGGACACGGTCCTGTCCAACGGGTACAGCGTCACCGTCTACCGTGAGGGTATCGACCTCGACGAGCTCAACCAGACCGAGGCCACCTTTGACGACAGCCCGCAGTTCGAGTGGTCGTACGGCCCGCTCCGCCCAAAGGCCACGCCTGAGGAGAAGAAGTCCTTCTACCTCAAGGACTCGGACTTTGTCGACGACAGACTCAGGCAGGTCTACATCATGCGTGGGCCCGAAAAGGACGAGGTCCTCGAGCTCTGGTGGGAACAATGAAGCATCTTCCTTCTCTCCCGTCTCTTCTATTTCCTTTCTTCTCCAAATTTCACATCAATAAATATGTACACATTTTTCCTTTTTTCGGGGGGGGGGGGGGGGGGGGGGGGGGGGTCGTACATGATAAATTTTGGAGAAAGGCGCCAGCACTGGTGATGTCGTCTTCACACCTCTTTCTATATGGTTTTTTGTTAAAAAAAAAAAAAGTTGAAGAAAGTGTAACCGTGTGAACCCATCGACAGCCTCTACTACGAGCCTCAAGAGCACCCCATGGCCGAGTATGCCAGCAACAAGACGGTCAGGGTTTCGAGGTGTGCTCTATCGGGGCTTTATAGTATTGTCAAGTGGAAGCTAGCAAGTGGTCACGGGAGACAAGTTTTTCCGTGAGAAGAGAGGGATTGGAGAGCCCGAGAGCCATCTGCTCCAGAGTATCAATAGTAGTAGACAGTGGCTGAACAGGAACTGTACATATAGAGCGGTGGGAGCAGCGTGAGGCTTAGCTAATAGAATGCCAAGGCAGGAGCAGGATTACCGAGCGAGGAAGTCACGAGGGGCCAGGCAATACACGTCGCATATAATCTCCAAGCCTATATATACTGGATTATCCAAGGGCGTCTAAGCATGATCTCTTGCTACGACCATGTAGAAGGCTTACGGTGGTACAGTGCATCTCGAGGTAAGATACGAGGTCAATACAGAATCTAGGAAGTACGAAAGGGTGTGGACTTTCTACGGAGTATCATTACATATACGACTAATACTATTGTACGGCTGAGTGTTTGGTGTCGATATTGTTGACGCCACATATATCGTGTACGTCCTCAGGCGCTCAGGCTCCAAGGCTACCAGGCGTTGACCTGCATCTCGCCAGCCACACGGTTCCCCGGCCATAAGCCACGTGAGGACAGCAGATTGATTTGATATCGACGGAATGGCGGAATGTGTGCAATGTTTTGGCAGCTGGTGGCTCTAACTCGGGCACCAGCCACAATATTCTTCTACGAGCCCTAGTATATGTTCTACTTGTAATCCGTCATCTGTACAGGTAATACAGAGGACAACAGCGGATCGCCGCTGCGTATAACGTACTCGTACAGCGCGCACCGTACTAGGTGGTAGGTGGTAGGAACATATCTCGGCTCACAGTAGTAGTACGACGAGTACTCGTAGATAGCGATGGAAGGCCTGGGCAAAGCTGGAAGAGCAGACACGGACTGACCTACGGCAGATCCTTGGCTGGCTCGCATCTGGTGACATTTCTCTCCTCCGCCGTTCCTTTGCGAACCCCACATTGGCTCTCTCTCAATCTGTATCAGAAACGACGACGAGCTATCTCCATCAGCCTTCCCTTCTCTCTCCCTTACCTCCTCCTCTCTCCCCTCTCCCCTCCTCCTGCTCTCGCATCTCCATTTGCTGTCTCCATCTCACATATCGGTACATCTATTCATTGTCTTGGAGCCTGGATCCATAATACCCCCGACCCAGAAAACTTCCGACCCC